GATACTCATGTGCATCTGGGAGGCTATTTCTGATTTCTGTTCGAGTTTCTCATGCATGTGTCTTTGTTAGAGCGTATTGTTACGGACTTGCTCAATATTAACGGTCGTCATCTTCTCTATCATCTTCTCTACTCTCTGTAATTGTCTTAGTCTCCATCCCAGTGTCGGAGGATTTCTTCCACAAACGTAGTCCTTAGCATGGTTTCACTTTACAAGCCAAGCCATGCTTACCCTACGGCATCCAGACAATTATGCAGGCATTTCTCTGATCATGGCCCCGTCATATAACCCTGGCTGCTGCCTACTGGCTATATAGCCCAGCTTATACCTCGGCACCTGTATGTCTTCCCCAGACACCTGTCTGACAGCGGGGAGTGGGGATACTCCACGCTAACGGATGTCGCCTACACCTGGACAGATGAGACTACCTGTATATACTACACCATATGTCAGATCATAGCCCAAAGCCACGATGCAGGTCGCTATCGCCTTCCCGATCGGCTCCAAGAGTCTGGGGAACCGAACCGAGTCCCATCGCCAGTGGCTTCCCGAGGGCAACTTGACATCTCCACCCTATCTCCGACTTTGACCTCTCTCCATCTTCGAGAGTGGCTCATCAACAGAATCGATCTGCAGTATTGCAGTGTTGCAGAAAAGAAGTTATCGCCACTCCCGGGGGATAATCTAAGTCCGTGTCGCGGCACTTGCGCGGAGTGCGGGTCAATTTCCCAGGATTCGATTCGAGAGGAAATTGCAACTACCGAACAACTCTTGCAAGTCTACATTGCACACCACACAACTCATACGCTCATTTGGTCTTATCATGACTGTTGATTCAGTCCGGGGAGATAATTCGTTCCCGACCGCAGTCTCCGCAGAACTCCGCCATCGAGAGATGATCGCGACTCTGCGGCTCTCACTGTGCCACAATGCCTAACGCGCCCTCGCCGCCCTCGCCGATCTCTTCAGGCAAGAAGAGATCGCATCCTTCAGATACTGCGCCGAATCCCGACGCGACAAATTCCGCCTCCAACCCCTCCGCCCCGACAGTGCCCTCTACCTCCCCCGCGGCCCCCTCCTCGGCCTCGTCCTCGTTCCGCAATGTCTCCGCCTGCAACCGTTGTCGCCTGCGCAAGAACCGTTGTGATCAGCGTCTCCCGCGCTGCCAGTCCTGCGAGAAGGCCGGTGTGCGCTGTGTCGGATACGACCCCATTACGAAGCGGGAGATCCCCCGCAGTTACGTCTATTTTTTGGAGACGCGGGTAGCACATCTCGAAAAACAGTTGGCGGATAATAATATTGATTTTAAGAAAGTCGTTGCTTTCGACGAAGAGGAGGCTATCAAAGTGGAGGCTGATGGGGACTCGGCGCAAGCTCAGTTCGGTTCCGATGGTCAGGCTGGGAAGGGGTCTGCCGTGGAGAAAACGCGGAAGAATACATCGAAAGACGACGGTGATGGCTGGGATCAGAGAGATGGGGATATGAACCACGATACGGAGGGCGACCCTCGGAATGAGGATAATTGGCGCCTGCATAATTTGGTCTCGAATATCGGCATGGTCTCTGTTCAGGGAACCTCTGATCCCCGATATCTCGGATCGACATCCGGTATCTCGTTCGCTCGTGTTGTCTTCGCAGCAGTCAGGAGCTCCCTCCCGGGCAACATGCCAGAGCGTGCGCCGCTACGCACAAGTGACAGGCTGCCTCAAAGCGCTGCTGCTGGTACGGGAGGAAGCATGCGCGATTCATTCTTCGGGCTGCAGACGAGACCCATGATGAAACGCGCAGATTTTCCTGACCGCGAGTTGGCCGAACGGCTGGTTAATCTTTACTTTGAACATGCCAATCCCCAAATGCCGATTCTCCACCGTGGGGATTTCATGGAGCTGTTGGACCGCACATACCAGCTGGAAGAGAAGAACCGCTCACCGCGCGCACAGTATGTGCTCAATATTGTGTTCGCTATTGGCGCTGGAATCATTTTCGACGATAAACCTCAAAGTTCGGACGATGAGAACCGCGCGAATCGGAACAGAGCTTCATCTACATCCAAACGACAGAGACTCTCGAGTCATCAGTATCAGCCAGAGGAATACCATGCTTCGGCGATTGTTCACCTGGAATCGTTCCTTGGGTCGTCTTCTAGCGAGGGCTTTGGTGGATTGGAAGAGCTGCAGGCAGTGCTCCTTCTAGCCAGTTTCGCCCTCCTGCGACCAGTTGCACCGGGTCTTTGGTATATCGTCGGCGTTGCTATGCGCTTAGCTGTAGACCTTGGACTGCATTATGAGGATGGGACGGGGATTGATTCCGCAACAAAAGACGGAAATCGGGCCCAGTCACGCATTGATCCTCGTGAACGAGGACGACGAGAATGGGTGCGCGACCTGCGCCGCCGCCTGTGGTGGTGTGTATACAGTTTCGACCGTCTTGTCGCCACCTGTGTCGGACGGCCATTCGGCATCAGTGATCAGGCTATCAGCACAGATTTGCCGTCTATGATGGACGATAAGTATATCACCAAATCTGGTCTGCTGACTCCACCGGACGGAGCGCCGACATATAAGCATGTCGCATTCCACTACTTCAAACTCCGTCTTCTTCAATCCGAAATTCATGATGTCCTTCAATACCAACAAGCGCGTGCTGTGCGGAGAAGGGCCTCCAGCGCAGCCATCCTCCCCCACGCCGAACTCACTTCGCCTTTCTTGCAAGGCTTTGATTCTTTCCGCTCGTGGCGCCATGATGTACACCGTCGATTGGTGGAGTGGCAAGAAACCGCCCCAACTCGTCCAGATACTGGCGTCAGGTTCTCCATTGAGTTGCTTGAACTGAATTATTGGCAAGCCATCATCTTGCTGTACCAGCAGAGCTTGACCGTACCTGCTGAGTTGGCCGGGGAGCTTATCCCTGCGGATGATGTCTCCAGTCCGTCCTTTTCCAATCCGGATGAAGGCGATGACGAGGATCATGTCTATCTTAATGTGGCCGAAGCTGGACAGAAGGTCATTCGCATTTATCGCCAACTGCATAGAGTGCGCTTGGTGAACTATACGTATCTTGCTACGCATCATATTTTCATGGCCGGTATGGGTTTAAATTTGCCCTCTTTTATCGGATTCTTACTGAACTCGCACTAGGAATCTCGTTTTTATATGCTATCTGGCATTCGCCTTTGGTTCGAAGCCGACTGGTATGTGCTATGTGCCCCTGGTTTCTGTTTTTCGTCAGAATATTAACGCTTCACTTGCCAGACTCTCGACGAGGTAGACTTCACTGTCCTCGCCGCAACCTCTGTTCTAGGTGACTTGATGCATAAATGCCCACCCGCCGAGGCCTGTCGGGACGCGTTTGAGCGGATGAGCAAAGCCACCGTCCAGATGTGTCTATCGACAACTGGCTTCGGATCACAAGTCGACATGAGCCGCATTCATGCATCAAATGCCCGTAACAACTTATACACCGGCCGGAATCGCCAGCAGATGGACCCGCGACACCGGGCAGGACAGGGTCAACCCCGGCGAGCTACACAAGCACGCTCCTTCCGTCCAGTTCCAAAGTTCGACATGAACTTGGCCGATCTCTTCAACGATAACAACCCGTTAGCAGACCGCTCTCGACCAGAGAATAGACCCGGAGGTCCTTCGTATACCCAACAAGAATCTACTGGCCGCAACTTCGCAGCAGAGAGATCATATGGACCTCGTAATCCGTCTATGGATTACTATCCAAAGTACGAAACCCCGCCATCTCCACAGCCGCACCCGCAATTCTACTACTCGACCTCGCCGCAGCAAAATGACTCGCCGGGTAGTGTTCCAAATGGCTTGCCGCATGTAGAGCCAGAAGCGCAAGCGCAACAAGGACTCAGTCTGGATTTCTTGGACTTTGGATCGGGTGACGCCGAAAGCCAGGGGAATATGGAGGGCGAGGCCAACCCTGAATACAATGCCATGTCTGTACCATCCCTGGGCCATAATCTCGGCCAGAATGTTGGGATTGATTTGGGCTTTGGGATGGCTATGGACTTCCAGCATGACTGGAGTGAAAATCCGAACTATGATCTCTTGGAGGGTTATTTCTTTGGTGGATCGGGGGCTGGCCCTTCAGGAGGGGATGCTTAGATTTCTATTATTTCTTTCCTCAGGTATTTCATTTCTCAGTTACTACTTTATTCTGTCAGTTTGGTTTGGTTTGTTCTATTTTACCCATCTCGTGTACTGCTTTCCCATACTGCTATTTCAAGAGGAACGGTGAAAAGGATTGGTTTCGCAAGGGTTGTGTATATTTTTTTTTTGGGACTTCTCCCTTTATACCATATACACATACATATATATATATATATATATACCAAAATCTGCAAGGCATGAACTGATTGGCAAGGTGGAAGTTGTATACATGTAGCGGATGCCTTGGGCAGCAAAAACAAACACTCCCGCCTTTTTTTCAACCCGCCAACACACCAACCTTGAATGCCTCAGTAGATCTCGCTTCCCGTTGGTTGTGATCTACGCTTGGGCCTAACTGCCTAATCTCATCAGCTGCCCACTTCGCCCTTCTATTCCACTTCTCTTCTCCCCACTTCCCCCGGTTTCATTTAGAGAGATGTTCATTCGTCGCGAACACAACCGATCCCCGACCTTCTCTTACCAAGCCGAGATCTGATTAGCGCCGAGACGCTGCGGCCAACCGAGACCCCGAGTGTACACCAAGAGGCTCTGCTCTGCCCTTCTTTCGATCTGGAACGGACTCGTCTGCAACCTTTTGCGACGGAATCTGCCTTGCGCAGGCCGCGGAACATACCCTTTGTTTCCCTTCTGCCTGTCTAGACCTGTTTCGAAGGATCTGCCTTCGTGCAACGTTCTCGACCATACTCGTGGGTTGAGCTGAGTTTGTGAACTGGACATGCGTGGGACCGCAGATCGTTTGCTCGAACACCGACTATGCTCCTTGAGCCCGATACAGCCCCATAAACTCGCCGGAATCCCAGGATCAAGCTCAAGATGGTAAAATCCGACGTACGAAGGGATTACTATGCGGACCTCGGGCTACAGCCCAGCGCAGAGGCGGAAGACGTGAAGAAGCAATTCAGAAAGCTAGGTGAGCCCATGAATAAGTTGCGTGAATCGTTATGGAACCATTCAGCTAACCAGAATGAAAGCGCTCAAGTACCATCCAGACCGGAACCCAGGACGAGAAGCCGAATTCAACGCGAAATTCCAAGCCATCCAAGCTGCAAACGAGATCCTCAGTGACCCTCAGCAACGGCTAAAATACGACACCGATCGTTTGCGCGCCGGCTACGGCAAGTTCTACGGACCCCCGAAGGCCAATACTCAACGCAAAACACAACCGTCTGCATGGGCTCGCCAAACGCCCACTTCTTCGGCCCCTCCTCCCCCAGACTGGGCACACCCAAAACAGCAGACTGGACCATCAGCCGGTGCTCGGCGATACGCGTCACATGCACGTGCCGGTCAGCAACAATGGCAGAAACAGCAGGATGATGGGCAAACAAGGGCTGATGCTTTCCGGGGCTTTTCGAATATGAGAGGTTCTCATGGATGGCAAGGATTTGACCCCGCTACGGGTCGTGCTGCTGGTGCAGCTCCGGGACCTGGAGCACAGCGTCACCCATTTGGCAATTCCCGGCCGAAATCCGCGTTTGAGACCTTCCAGAAGGCATATGCCAAGACAGACGCTCCCAAGAAGAAGCAAGGCTTTGCGCCAGGAGCCGCTGGAGGAGATGAACCTATGGCCCGCAACACTTCTGCCTATAGCAGTAGCAGTCGAGCTGAACGACCAAGCAGCCAATACTTTGAGTCTGCTGTGCCGCCCACTGCAAAGAAACCAGCTGCTCCTGAACCGCCTCAGCATCCTTTCACTCCTGAGTTTGAACGGACTAGTCGGGGCTATTCTCAGACTGGAAAGGGTGAGAGGACTTTCGTTTCAAGTACTCCACTGGGACGATCAGAGAGCGTGCGTACACCTTCGGGGTCGTACCACACAAGTGCACGTCAACCGTCGACACCTACGTCTGGTCGATCTGGGAGACACCGGAGTGCTAGCCCCAAGCCCACCACAACCCCCAATAACTATGACTCCACCAGTGCGAGTGAGTCGGAAGACGACGCTGACGACAGTGAATATGTGCCCCGGTCAAATGGACCCAAACCCAAAGCAGTACCCAAGAGCCGCCTCCGAGCGCACCAAAAACTTGCTGATATGTACCGGCAGGAGCGACCAGGCCCCGGAACTGGTGAGGATCCCTTTTTCTTTATAATTCAACGAAGTCTCGCTTTCGACGAGGATGAAATTAGGACAGCTCGAATGCCGCGATAAGGAGATCTACACCTATGGATATCGATATGCTGACTTGAATTACCGCAAAAGGACACACCTCGGATAGCGCAGCTTTCCCCAAGGGATCGAACCGGACAGATCAGCAATACAAACCTTCGGGTTCTCCCTTTACCGCCAAGTATGTTATGTCCTACTCTGCTTCATGTTACTTTCTCTGATATATTGGACGTATAGGAATGACCCGTCAACGCATACGGAGCGTCCTCAGTCTACTGCCTTTGGGCGTAGCAACACAAATGACCTGCACAAGAAGTTCTCCGCCGAAGACTGGCGAGAGCATTTGGGCCAGTTTGATTTATTCGGTTCGGCTTCGGCAAGCAAGGAATCACTGCCAAGGTCACCAAATTCGCAGAGTCGGGGACGTACGAATAACCGACGGGGTACGACACAGACATCAACTGGGTCACCTCTGCCAAATCCTTTTGGTCCTACGCCTTTCCATCAACCATCACAACAGCAGCAGCAACAACCTACTCCCTTTGCACAGGCAAAGTTCTCCGCGGACTCGTGGGCTGAGCAGCTACGAAATCTGTCGTGGGCCCCAGATGCCGAGAAAGCCCGGCAAACAAACCACCCTCAGTCTCGGAGCCCTAAAAAACAACCCAGAGCCACCAAGTTGCGCAGTACTCCACAACCAGCGAATGTGGCAACTGAGGCAGATGAGGCTAAAGAAACGATCAATGACGAGGGTTCTACCCAGCCGAATGGCACAGCAACACCAGATGTTGAAGCAATGGATCTAGACTATGACCTCCCCATTCCGTCAGGTGTTCCACCTGTACCAGCAAAGGTGCCCGTAGACGGATCAAGTGGTCCGGGCTCTGCTAGTGCAAGTTATCCAGATCTGGCTGCTCAGGCAGCGCCAGATGCACCTCCGGTCAAGAAGACCAAAACTCCCCCAAGAGCAGAGGGCTCCGCAGCAAATGCAGACGCCCGTGCCCCTCTCTTCAACCTCGACAATCTCCGCAACACCGTCCCCTTCTCTAGTACAGCCGGCGGAGGCATCGAGAACCTGGAAGACGTCCACGCAACGCTCCCCTTCGAGTCACAAGCGAAGCAGCAAAACTCCAACAAACGCGATATCCGACCTCGAGAACTCCAACTCCCAAACCCACCCAAACGACCCTGGGCCCCCAAGCCCGCACCCCTCACCCTAACCTCCACGCAACCCGTTCTTTTGCGCGACAAATGGAACTGGTACGTCTCCGCAATGGGCACATACATGCACGAGTGGAACGCCTTCAACCGCCGCATGCTCAAGCACTTCAACGCGCGACAAGAAGCGAACGAAACAGGCCTGGCTCCAGGCTGGATCAGTGCAGTCGGCGACTCTTCACGTCTGAGCATCAACGACGCAGATGATGACATTGACAGCAATGGTACCAGTGGCAAGACCAAAATCCGCGAAGATGCCGATGATGCTCTCGACGAGTTCCTTGTTCCTGGTTCCTCGAAGGGCGGCTTTAGTGCGTATCTTCGTGGCGTCGAGGAGGATATTCAGGTGCGTAAGCATTGGGATGTTGCTTGTGAGATGCATCGCGAGTGTATACTTGATCTGGGTCGGTTGAGGGAGTGGATTCGGAATGGGGGGAAGGTTGTTTAGGTTATCGATCCTCCTTTGTTGGATTGATAATTGATGCTGCTCGGATGTACGATGAATGGGAAAAGACGAAGAAAAGAAGACGGCAGCTGGCATGTGGCTGGTTATTTGGTTTGGCGTTTGCATGGTTGGGCTTGACTCTGCAGTGACTGATTCACATTCAGTATTCGGGGAGTTTGCTCTGGTTTGATCTGGTCTAGCGTCTGCACTGTACTGCTTTTCTGCTGTTGTCTTTTTTTCCACTTCCATTTTATTCTTCTTATTTTTCTTTTGTTCGCGATGCATGACCGGCTTGGTGTTTTTGTGAATACCCGGGATTTTTACCACATCTCCATAGATTTATCTGATTCCATCAGGTTCTTTCAGTCTTCGATTTGTTTGGTTCTTGTAGTGTCAGGGCATGATATATCTAGCATCACCTTTCTCGTTTCTTACTTGTTGAGATTATAACCAGCAATGCAACCTCTACTTTACAAACATTGCCTTGATCTTGCGACTCTCTAACATTCGGCTTTTCCTTATTCGTTATCCCGTCAACTGATAAATAGGGGTTGTGAAACATACTGTACATGTTGACCATACTTAACAAATAACGCTTGAAACAAGTGGCCCCTTAAGCTCCTTTCAATCAGTAATAAAAGGGACGTGTTTTATATAAACATCGTAGCAAGGTATAAGTTAAGGTTTTAGTACTTTGTAAAGAAATCAAGCTAATGTGCCAAACCAAACCACCGCAGAATGGAGCACTAAAGTGACCAGTGTCCATCCCTTCTTTACAGTATGAAGTTGTACAGCTTACATGCACGAGCTCTGAAACCTGTCATCATACTTGGGGAAAATGGTGGGCATGTTGTCCATCACAAACGAGCTACGTGCCCTATGCCAACAATACGCAATGCATTATTGACGACACAGGGGGAAGCTCAGCAGCGATGTCTAAATTCAGCGTTGAGTCTATGGTGAACAGAAAGGTTTTTGCTGCGAGCCCCAGCTGATTGACAAAACCATATGACTCCTATGGCTGTGCGGATAGCAGAGATGTCTATGTTGGATATCAAAATAGAACTATGGGGAGTTGAAACAGATGAGAACCTCTTCAGGTATACTCCCATTTTACTTGGCGTTTTCGCTATTAGTTCAATTCGACAATAGGAATCAAATTGATTGACGCGATCACAAGACTCGACCATTTTGCCGTCTCCTCAGGACTTTCAGTGTACCTACGGATAAAGACGCCAATACGACGACTGCCGCCTCGGGATTTCAAGCTCATTCGCAAATGGAGATGTGATTGCGTGAGGTGTGGTCGGTGGTGTCTGCCGTCTACTTATCATCGTGGGACACATGTTTTATATCCCGCCGCCGGTATCTGTCAAGAGCATCATCCAGCAAGCCACAAGGAGCTTTCGCGGATCCCACCTATTCTGGTACTGAAAAAAGATCGAGACATGAACTAGCAAGTTAGTGAAAACGATCATAGGTTGGCGAATTACACAATCCTCCTTTCCGCAATGAACTTCCGGTCAATGCACCTCAACGGGCCGAGTAAAAAGAAGCACTTCGGGGTTTGCTTAAGGCATGATGATACACTATGAGATAACTTAGTTACGATGTTTAGTCTTGTATTTTTCCCTCTTATACTATAATAATACACTTGCTGTAATAAATGACACCTAACTTACATGTAATCCTACGACATCCTATTCAGGAGGTCCAACCTGGACCGACTGCAGCCAACCTGCAGCCCAATCAATAGTCAATCGCATACCGATCACAATCCCAGGGTGATCACTCCTAGAAAGGGCGCCCGTGTAATGATGTTTGTGGTGGCCCCTGGCACTCACAGGGACTGACGCAAGGGATAAAAAAGACAGATGGCATCTCCTTGCATAAACAGTCATTTCGCCTGTGTCTTCAAAGTGGTTGAGATTATCAACAATCTCTCTTTTCTATCTAGTACCACGAGATCTTGGACTATCAACTGTGCCATCATGTACGGCCTGAAACAACTATCGCTTCTGAGCTTGATGCTTCTCTCAGTATCGGCCGCGAAAAAAGATCCCCAAAGAACACTTGTATGAGTCTTCGCCTCCGGACACTGGATGTTTATTGTTAACACAGTCGCGCAGGTTGGCATTGAGACAGCGGAGAGGAGCCGCGGTGTTGACGTACCACTGAATGAATGCCATGAGCTCGAGGAAGAGTAAGCCGAACTACCAACCATACGCAGACCAAGGCTAACGAATTATACAGAGATGTTCTCACCATTTCCCTGAAAAGGCCTTGCCGCCTCTTCACGTAAGTCCGTGGTCTCGAACAAAGGGGAAAAAATGTTAACAAGATAACAGTGGCCCCCTGTGCACTGGTCACAACACGTTCCTCAGCCCCGGCGCGCACTCTTCCGAGGAACCGATCCCCGTTATTGAGTCCATCTTCTGCCAGACATCATTTTAGGGGCATAACGGGGATTGTGGAGAATCATCGCTTTCTATAGTTCTCACCTGGTTTGAACTGGCTTGTATTATCATTGATCCTTTTTTCTATTGCTAAATCTCCAACGTGACTTCTCATATCAGTCCGGGAATCACTTATTACCACGTGAAATGAAACACTTCATTACTTTGGAAAAAAATCATCGCCACCAGCTACCACTACTCGTCATCTCACTATGACACCACCGTAACTCAAACCCACCTATCGGAAGCAACGTATTTCCTATCGATTACATACGAGTATGGATGAGCATACATTCGTCAATCTTGCATTTCTATCATTCAAATGTGTTATAATGCGGATATCTATAGCGAGGCCTCCTCCTCGTCCACAATCAAAACCTTGATACTACCGTTGCTAGTATCAGCGCAAAGATGCAAAGCATCCTGCGCCTTTTCAAGAGGGAAGACATGGGAGACAAGCATCTTCAAGTCCAAAATACCACCACTCAGACAGGCAATGGCCGGAGGCCATGTATCACGGTAGCGGTTAATGAAGCGAAGATCAATCTATCAAAGTCAACAAGAGCACAATTCACACGGGAATTAGAAAACTCACCTCGGCAAGGGACAAATGCATAAATGGCAGGTTATTCATAATAGCCTTGCCCACACCTATAACCATAACAGTCCCTCCTCGGCGTGCAGTATACGCAGCAGTACACACACTGCTCTCGACACCCGTACATTCAAGCACAGTCTCCGGCGCAACATACTCCCGAGACCCAAAGAGCGCGCGAATAGCCTGCGCATTTCCCTGCGCATCTTTCGTGCGATCAACCTGGTAAGTAATACAAGAAGGAACAAACTCCTTAGCAAAAGCCAACCGAGCAGGTTCGAGGTCGGTGACAACAATGGGATGAGCTCCCGAGGCGCGCGCAGCAACCAACGCAATTAACCCGATAGGACCAGCTCCGCAGACCACCACGCCCCGACCAAGTGACAGACCGGCTGATGTGATTCCGTTCATGACGACAGACAAGGGCTCGAGGAGAGCGCCTTCGGCGAAAGTCACGTTGTCGGGTAGCTTATGCAGCCATTTCGCTGGGTGGTTCTTATACCGCTGCATCGTGCCTTCGTATGGGTAAACGCCGGCAAACTGGACGTCTTCGCACAGGTTGTACCGTCCGTCGTCGCAGAGGAAGCAGTGTTCACATGGAACGCCAGGTTCGACAGCCACTCTGTCGCCTATTCGAAGTATATTAGCGCGAGCGTTCCCACGCGCAATATTGCCATTGGATATACATACCAGGCTTTAAGTGGGTGACGCCCTCGCCGCATTGCAGTACAATTCCTGAGGCTTCATGGCCAATGATGCAGTCGCCTTCGAACACTAACGAGCCAATACGCCCAGTCTTCCAGAAATGAATATCTGAACCGCAAATTCCGGTCGCTTTGATGTGAACTAGGGCCTCGCCTGCCCTGGGGGCGTAGATGGGTGCTTCGACTGCTTTCAGCTTGTGATCGGCTGTTACTTGCAGTGAGGGATTTGGGTGTGAGGCCTTGATGGCGACGCGATCGCTCACTTGTGACTTTGTTGGTGCTGCCACCAAGTTGTTCTGATCGACGAGTACTGAGGGAGCCATTTTTATTGACAAAAGTTACAGAAAGAGGAAGGGCTGCTCTTAAGTGTTAATGGCCACTTGATTCAGTAGGTTGTGGCTCGATATACCCGTTCTGTTTTGTGGGTCCCCCCGTTTTGTGGAGTTGGCGACAGTCGGGGGTCGCGGGGGATCGGGAATTTAGTGAAGTGCTTACATAGTAGAGGGAACTTCGGGGTAGGGGAATCATGCAGCTCTTACACTGGACATTTCACTTATATTGAAGGTAGCCATCTATAGGTATAGGTAGGTATACTTCGGTATCACGAAACCCTAAGTCGCCGGACCCTCATAATATTGAAAAGTAGCGTCTAAACACCAGGTCGCGACAGTTAAAATCTCGATAATCAAAATGACGCATTCGCAACTGGTCTGATTCATCCCGAAATCTCAAAGACAACTCCGATGCGTTGAGGGGCGAAAGATGTCCTGTTGGGCGGGGCTGACTATAACCCGATTAGGAAATATTAAGCATCACCGCGTGCATTATTTGAAGAAGCTCCCCTGCAGCTTTGGATTTCAAAGATTCGCATTGCACATTCGCTCTATACATCATGACTGTCGAAATCCAGAATGGCATCAACCACAAGTCGGCCTTGCCTTTGGTGCAGAAGCTATCCAAGGACCATGACTTGGTGCTCAAGACATTCCGGTTGCTGATTGCCGACCTTTGCCAGCAGTTTAATGGCGGACATCCTGGGTATGACTCTCGGAATTGATCATAATCATTTGTAAAACTAATGCGACTCTAGTGGTGCCATTGGTATGGCGGCGATCGGTGTTTCGCTGTGGAAGTATGTGATGCACTACGCACCCCATACTCCGGGCTTCTTTAATCGTGATCGCTTCGTCTTATCCAACGGTGAGCTTGAACAATGCGGACTCGGGTGAAATAAACTCACACAAGTATAGGACACACTTGCCTCTTCCAGTACTCCTTCCTCCACCTTACCGGCTACAAGGCCATGACCTTCGATCAGCTCAAGTCCTATCACTCAGACCGCGTAGATGCGTTATGCCCCGGACACCCAGAGATCGAACACGAGGGGATCGAAGTCACAACTGGACCCCTTGGCCAAGGTATCGCAAACGCCGTCGGACTCGCTATGGCAACCAAGAACCTCGCGGCAACCTACAACCGGCCCGGGTTCGACGTGGTGAACAACCACACCTGGTGTATGATCGGTGATGCCTGTTTGCAGGAGGGTGTTGGTCTCGAAGCTATCTCTTTGGCCGGACACTTCCGCCTGAACAACCTCACCGTCATCTATGATAACAACCAGATCACATGCGATGGTTCTGTCGACCTCACCAACACTGAGGATGTGAACGCGAAAATGCGCGCTTGCGGGTGGAACGTCATTGATGTCACTGACGGATGTTTCGATATCGAGGGTATTGTTAGTGCGCTTGAGCAGGCTCGTGCATCTACCGATAAGCCCACTTTCATCAATGTCAAGACTGTTATCGGCCTGCACAGCAGCGTCGCTGGTACTGCTACCGCTCACGGTGCTGCCTTCGGTGCCAAGAGCATTGTCGATATGAAGACTGCGTATGGCTTCGACCCGGAGGAGCACTTTGTCATTGGTGACACTGTGCGCCGGTTCTTCCAAGGCCTGCCCGAGCGTGGAGAGCAATGGGTCCAGGAATGGGACCAGCTGGTAAAAGACTACTCTGCTCAGTATCCCGAACTTGGAGCTGAGTTCCAGTCTCGTGTTCGTGGCGAGCTTCCTGCGAACTGGCAGGAGAAGATCCCAGCCAGCTTCCCAGACAAGCCCACTGCTACTCGTGCTGCGTCCGGTCTGGTTTTCAACCCTATCGCTAAAGATGTGAATTCTTTCATGGTCGGCACTGCAGATCTCTCGCCATCAGTGAACATGATCTGGCCTGGCAAGGTCGACTTCCAGCATGTAAGTGTGGAAGCTGATATTGCTATACCGAGACTCTTACTTACGACATATCTATAGCCCGACCTCCGTACGAACTGCGGCATCAACGGCAACTATACCGGCCGCTATATCCACTATGGTGTGCGCGAGCATGCCATGGCCGCCGTCTCAAACGGTCTGGCAGCATACTCCCCCAACACCATCATCCCAGTAACCTCCACCTTCTTCATGTTCTACCTATACGCCGCCCCGGCAGTGCGCATGGGCGCCCTCCAACACCTCCAGATCATCCACGTCGCCACACACGACTCAATCGGCATGGGCGAAGACGGACCAACCCACCAGCCAATCGAGCTAGCCAACCTCTACCGCGCCATGCCAAACCTGCTCTATATCCGCCCCGGTGACAGCGAAGAAACAGCCGGCGCATGGCTCGCCGCCATCGGAGCTAAGAATACCCCCAGTATTATCTCTACCTCCCGTCAGACTCTACCTCAGCTCTCCCAAACCCGCCGCGACGGCGTCGCCCTTGGCGCATATGTCCTGTCAGAGGACGAGTCAGCTTCGGTCACTCTCATCGGTGTCGGCGCCGAGCTTTCCTTCGCATTGGAAGTTGCCGAGCAACTCAAGGCACAGAAGGGTATCACAGCCCGTGTTATCAGCTTCCCTTGTCAGCGCCTGTTTGAGAAGCAGTCTCTCCAGTACAAGCGTGATACCCTGCGCCGACACCGCAGTATCCCCGCTGTCGTTATTGAGCCCTATGCTCCTAACGGATGGGAGCGGTATGCAGATGCGGGCATCCATATCACACGCTTCGGTCACAGTTTGCCGGGTAAGGCTGCGTACAAGTTCTTTGGGTATGAGATTGAGACGATGACTACTAAGGTTGCAGGTTATCTGGAGCAGATTAAGGCTGATGAGCTGCTTCGGGGTGAGTTTGTTGAGCTTTGATTTTGTGATCGTTTCATGTTTGGTGTCTTTGGTAATAGCTATAGATTGGGCTGGGTATGAGCATGCTGGCTTGTTATGTTCGAGCTGGATACGTATATATATTTTGCATATTCTTGTACATCTCTGTTTAAAATTGATGTTTTTGAGAACTTTTATTTATCTTCAGATCTAATGCGTTGCGTATGAGAGCTAAGTTACTTTGCAGACTAGGCAGTATGTAGACAGTGGTTTTTCTTTCATGCTAAGGAGCACTTGGCTCATATTTGTCCATCATGCACCCACTTGCGACCTTACATGAAGCCTTGGCATTGACTAAGAAAATACGGCGAATGGACCTCGGAAAAATGCACGAGGGTGGGGAGAGTGCAGAACTCCTTCATTTGGCAACGCCTCGCGGTGTGCGCTTCAGATTACTCGATTGGGAAGAGAGTGTCGTTTTGTGGCCTGAACTCTCAGGCATAAAATATACCCAAATTGCCATTTAACCATCTAAGCGCACCCATCTATGCTAACCACTCATCATATCCCATCAGACATTGTAGAATCGCCCCGAACCAGCGTTCTCCGGCACATGAGCCCGTTCATCTAGTGGCTCATTGAATTGCTCGTTTTCCGACTCGATCGGCGAACGAGCATTCTGCTTCAGCCTCTTCTTCTCCATCTTCTTCTCCATTTTAATTGCCTTTTTCTGTGCCTTCAGCTCTTTCTTCTCCGCTCGACTTTTCTTCGGGAAGCTCGAGTCCGGCCCCTGAAGAATGCGACCGGGGTGAAATATGTTCAAGGCTATCAATCCGAACAACATGGGCACGGCATCAAACACGTATTCATACTCCTCATGCGTGAGGACCGGGTTTTTGGTCGATGTTCCCTGGGCATACTGTCCAATGCGAAAGATGATTCGAATATGCAAAAGAAAGTGAAAGTTAGAATTCGGTCTGATACATAGAGACAAAGTTCCCAGTACGCTTACAGTGATCATCCCCAGCGCAAAATAAACCGAATAGAACAACCACCGCCAGGAAAACGGACCTTGCTGAAGCTTCTCCAAACCGAGCACCCCATCTCTCTCCATACGAAGTATGATTCCATGTAATTGGATCGTTAACCCCAAAAAGCAAAGGATGAAGAATTCCTGCATGCCAATGCCGCCCATGTAGATGTGCAAACCTAGCAGGACGGTTTTTGTTTCTGTGTCGGTATTGGTTGTTAGTGAGGCACCTGCCAGCTGGACTAGGAAGGCGATTATGTCCAGGGTGACGAATATTATGCCGTAGCGTTGGGCGGAGATGCCTGCTAGCTTGCGTTGGGGGAGGTAGAAGTAAATCATGCGGCCGAGGGTCATGTATATGAAGGCGTTGATCCCTAGGGCGGGCTATGTTAGAATATATAGAGTGATGGGTGATTGGGACCGGGGTATAGTTCTCACAGATCGGTGCTAGTAGGAAGAAGATGGTGAAAATGGTAGCATAGTTTTCATTGTTCTGGTGCCGTGTTTGAAGGGCTCGAAAGATAAACGCTACTAGCTCCCAGGCTGAACCCATGCTTATTACCCAGGCGTATGGCTTACAGGAAAGTCAGCTATCGTCCCGGTGATGTTTTGACGGGACTCGAGTGAACCTTTTTGTAGATGAATGCTTGGACGGTGTGCATGATGGTAGTCAGCCCATATAGGACACAGAATAAGATGGCGGCCGCGAAAGATGGAATATAGTAGAGAAGGGCATCGCAAGACTCTGGTGGAAGGTATCCATCTTTTCCAGGAGCAACGCTAATACAGGTTGCAGATGCTATGGAGGTGGCAGTAGCCGACGCTGGCAAGGTAGTCGCGGTCGGGGCCATGATCGAATAGCTCTGAAGAGTGAGTTGAGGATGTTCCTTCTTTAGAGGCCATTCTGCGCTGGATTTATATATCCCCAACTCGATGATTCGATTCTATTTTTGCGAATCGTATACTTCACAATTTCTGAAGTACTACCGACCAATCAAACTGACGGCGATCTCAAGTCCATGCATAGGGTGAGATGGAATCAAATCCAGCCAAGATTGGGGGCCAAGAGTGAACGAGCTGATTGATTGAATTCAACCAACTGATGTCTTCTATAATAGTTAAAAAAGCAGCCTAGTTTTTCCGAAGATCTTATTGGTCCGTTCGTTTAGTGAGGCCATAGGCTCGGGATGTTTATAATCTGACATCTTACTTCGCCCGTTAGGCATCGTTATTTGGTAGACCACTTAGAAGAACTTTTCACCTGTTTTCTCCGAGGCTGAATTCAGCGCAGTTCAAAGAACCCCAAACATGAATTTGATCCGATGACCTTCCCTATAAAATACCCCGCGACCGTCTAAACTTCATATGGACTTTCCCCGCTCACCGAGTCAACCCGACTTCGGCCACGAGGGTTGTGATCTGATGACATATAAAATGGATCGCTTAGCCCCGAGGGTGGTATTCAGACGAATTTCAAAAGGAAGTTCAGCAGTCATCGGACCAGATCATCTCTTGGAAATCATGATCACAGTATAGATATTCCTTGACAGCGCTTCATGCCAGCGATATACTAACCAAGAAGCATACAAAGTCATGCGGGGAAATGTTTTCGGTTGCAACAGATAAGTTAGGGGACCCGGATTATGACGTATTGTCTGAAACTACTGAACTGTATGTCGGTGAATTTTTGTGATGTGAAGTACCTCGAAAGTCCGAAGGGCAAAACCTGGTTCAGCCAAGAGGATTAAATGGACCCTGGCCTGAGCCAATGCTGGTCTTACCCACTCACCGTACAAGCTGCATCAAGCAAACCTTGGAAGGCGTAGAAATTTTCATGAATCTAAGACGGCTAATGCTGCAAATCAAGCACGGAACACGGGGTGTTTTCGACCACCCCCTCTGAACATTTCACAAACATCAGATGTTCATTTCTACTCAGTAAGAAGAAGAAGATAAGAACATCTGATCTTCCTAAAATCGTGGCTCGGAGACAGGGGGGTCGTTCGGCCAATAAAAATTAGCCCGCGGCCCATGCACCGACGCGGGGGATCCAGGGCTGTTGATGATCGACAGCGTGCTGCTCTTGCATATTGTAGTTGGACCATGCAGCACATGCGGCCAAAGGAGCATCTGAGAGGATGCTGGGGGTAGCTGCAGGGGAAGCGAAATACTTATAATGGCCGATTCCTTGATTCTAAATTTTCCAACTCAAACATGGCGCGTTCTTTGTTGCTCACAGCCCTAAGTCTCGGCGCCGCGGCTCTGCCCGCCTCGTCGGGTTCCAGCAATATCAAGAACATTGTCGTCTTGGTGCAAGAAAATCTCTCCTTTGACCACTTCGCTGGCGGTCTGGACTATGATCCTAGCATCGATGGCCCGCAGAACCCTCAATACTGTAACCCAGCCAATGTTTCTTTGCCAGACTCTCCCCAAGTCTGCGCCAACCCTATTGCGAAGAATATCGCATCCGATGACCCCAACCACAGCATCTCAGGTGGTAACATGCAAGTATTCGGCACCTATCACCCCGTTTCAGGGGCCCAGCCCGGCATGAACGGGTTCATCAGCGAGCAGCGCGCCTCCTACCCCAAGGATGACCTGGCCCGGGCAGCAGAAGCAATCAACTACTTCACACCGGACCACATCCCAGTCTTCAACTCCCTCGCACAAAACTACGTCCTCTTCGACCGCTGGTTCGCCGCCGTCCCAGGCCCAACAAACCCCAACCGTGCCTATCTAACCTCAGGCACATCCCACGGACACGGCAAAAACGACGACGATTTCCTCAACTCCGCCCTGCCTCAAAAGTCCATCTTCGAACAGCTCTCAGAAAAGGGCATCACATGGAAGAACTACGAAAACTCAACACAGTCCAGCCCAGCCTTCTTACCCGATGCCCTCTTCTACGACTGGACAGCAAAGAACGCAAAGGACAACATCCTCCCAATCGACCAATTCTACACAGACGCCAAAGCAGGAAACCTTCCCCAGTTCACCTGGATCAACCCAGAATGCTGCAACTACATGTCCATGCACCCGCCCTCCCCAATTAACATGGGCGAGAACTTCGTCAAGGGCATCTACGAAGCTGTCCGCAACTCCCCGCAGTGGAACGAGACCCTATTCATCCTAACCTTCGACGAACACGGTGGTTTTGCAGACCACGTCTCGCCGCCCACAGATGTTCCCGCTGGCGATAGCTTGACTTATACTGAAGCTGCCCGAGACGGCGAGCAGTATACGTTCCACTTTGATCGGTTGGGAGTTCGCGTGCCGACGGTTTTGATCTCGCCTTGGGTTGCTAAGGGTGTTGTTCAGCATGCGCCTGGTTCGGGCAATGACTTTACTCATACTTCTATTATTAAGTTTGTGCAGGAGCTTTGGGGGCTTGAGAGTCTTTCGCCTCGTGTTGATTGGTCGCCTTCTTTCGGTGGATTGATCACTAATAGCTTCCGGGATGATACCCCTGAGAGGTTGCCTGATGCGGCGGACTTTTAGGCTGGCTTGTTGATAGCTGGAAGAGGTGGTTTGTGATGATGACTTTATATAAGTTCAATGATAATGACCCATGAATCAATATGCTTATCAAATGATTATCTGTAATTGTTATGTACATAGTATATGGCTGGGGTATTATAAAAAAGACAAGTTCATGTCTGTGCCCTTTCAAATCTCCAGCAAAGGAGGGCGATCAAATAGTTTTTTATCCGCAACTCAGTTCATCAATCACGATGAAAAATGGTGTTCTCACTTGCGCCCAAACAATTTCCAGCCATTGCCCGACTGCGACCGCCGAGTGATAGCAGAGTTGCGAGTGTTCACGCGGTCAATATCATAAGGATTAGCCTCGTAAGTCCCAGTCCGCTCCAAAGACGACTGAGAAGTGAGCGACGCAGCATCAGCATCAGCCATCGCCTCTGGAGCCTGAGTCCCATCCACAACAGCCTCGGCCACAATCTCATCTTTCTTCTCATCATTGTCACCATCACCCTTCACATTCGCCTTCCTCGCCAAAGTACGCATGAAGTCATCAGCCTCAGCCGCATACTTGCACTTCCGACGAATAGCAGGACCATAACGATAAAAGATAAAAGGAAACGGACAACAAGCAAGCGCCAAAAATGCAGGCACACACGACGCCCAGTGTATCCCAAGATTGTGATACATATACGTCGTAAAAAGCGGGAACCCAGCACCAAAACACGACCGAATAATCGAGTTGGCGGCGAGCACAGAAGCAGCATAGATGGTGTACGCATCAATGAGATAGTTCATGATTCCCAAGAAGACGAACACCATTCCAAATCCAAACGGCGCGGTTGCAAGCACACATACAATCCACGGTATGGATGCGGAATTCGTCCATGCGAACCAGAATAGCCCGATGGGAATGGCGAGACCTCCCCACATTGTGGGTGGGAGGCGTGCTTCGGGTGGTGCGAAGCCGTTGTGTGCTTTATGGATTTTCACGTAGCGTTTGTTGTCGTACATGTTTACGCCCACCGCGGCCATCATTCCAATCATTACGGCTAGGAAGGGGAGACTTCCGACTCCTTCACTCCAGCCTCGGATTTCTTGGAAGATGATTGGGAATGCGTCGAAGAGCATGTATAGCGTGCCATAGACGATAGCCATGTAGAGGGATAAGAGGAGGACGATGGGTTCTGAAAATAGGAGGATCCATGGGCGTCCGAGGGCTGTCGTGAATGCGTCTCGCGGTGATACTCGGCCGCGCTCAATCTCGGCTTTGCTGCGGTAGACTTTGCCTGTGAGGGCAGATAGTCTTTGCGCCCGTTTGGCTAGGAGTACTGGGGCATATGTTTCCGGGATTAGGAGGCTCTCAACCATCCAGATCAGGCCGGTGAATACCGCCAGGAATCCTTGGACCCATTGCCAGCCGGCATTTTCACCTAGGAACCCTCCGATCACGGGTCCCATTGTTGGACCTAGGAACGGGGCACCAGCGAACAAGCTTGTCGCTAGACCTCGATGTTCAGCGGTGAAGATATCAGCAATGACACCGCCGGCATTTGTGAGAGGCGATGAGCCGAAGGAACCAGCGAAAAAGCGGAGAATAATCAAGGTCCAGATGTTCTGCGAGCCTGCTGCACCCGCACAGAAGACTGAAAGCGCAAGAAAAGTTATCAGAAAGACAATTTGGCGACCGATGAGTTCACAGAGTGGCGCCCAAAGCAAGGGCCCGACAGCAAATCCAATCACGAACATTGAGACTCCCAGAGTAGCCACTTCCTCGCTCGTATCGAGATCGATGACCACTTCATTGATACTACCGGCATAAGCAGATGATGATAGTGATACGGCGAATGTGGCAAAAGCGACGGTGACGGTATACATCCATTTCAGAGTCGTGTTGAACTCCATAGGATTGCGCGGGTCGTCGGGGATCCATTCGACGATATAAGGGTCTTCTTCTGTGCCGGAACCAACGTATGGATAGTCGATGATCTCAGGGGTCACCACGCCCTGGTCTGTTAAGATCCGCCAGTGTGGTATCCGGCGTGGGAGCGCTGCTTTGACAGCATCGCTTTCCGTATCCTTTGCCATGGGGGAAACTCTAGCGGGAATAAACTCATGGTCGGGGGGAGGAGGAAGCTTTTTAAAAGGAGTAAAATACCAAACTGTGAAAGGTCTGTATAATTTGGGTCCTATAAGAAACATCTGATGCTTGCGTGACGAGTGGAGTCCGATCGGATACCTTTTCGGCAAGCCGAGCCTCCTTATACTTGGCTTTCGGCGACCGCGGGCCGCGGCTGGTGGAGTATTCGTAGTCTGTATTTTGTATTCTGTATTGATTGAATTTTGACATTTCTCGATAACTCCTAGGCTCTGTGGAAAAGACATTCATAGTTCATTATCAGCGGGTCGTGGCGATCCCTAACAATGTGCGAGCCTACACCAAGTGAAAAGAAAAAACTGGATTTTGGGTCCTCAAAATTTTGTGGATCGGCACTTGCAGCTTTATGTCATTGCCGGGCCCAGAACTGTAACCAAGGTTCAATGGCAAATACAGAATGTCTAATCACATCGATCGAGGTATTTTACATCTGCATCTGCATATTTGTGGTCAATCGTCACAGTGGGTTCCAACATTACTTGCCACCATGCTAATTAGTTAGGAATTCCACCGACGCCATTTTAGCTGGCCGTGGACTCGGAGTTGACAAGTATGAACACTAAACGCTATACGCCGTTTATCATTGTATTCTGTACGACCACGCATTGAGTCTTTGGGGTCAACCTGGGTCTAGGAGGTATTCATGTCTAGGATCCGGCCTCGTGTCGGTACTGCATTTATCCGACCTTTTCTTCTGATCTCGCACTTATACATAGCATTGACATTCAGAAAAATACAAGTCGGTGGTAAATACATCAGCACCATTATACCATTCAAACCGCCTGGGATAGGTATCTGGAATTTAAAAATTCCTCTACGCTATAAGAAGCCCGCTCCGACAGTTAGCATGTTTACAATGGCACACAATAATTTGGCACTCGATTTAGATTGAACTCATCGATTAACCTTTTTAAAACGGTTATGCTAAATTCCTCATATGTCCAAATGGTAGAATGAGAAAATTGAATAGCAGGGAAAATTAAGGCTTGGTGTTCGTTTGATCTGTGTTTGCTATATATGTATATCTGGTCAGAACACTGGAGCGGACCGCGAATTTTCCAATCCACCACTCAGTGACCGTGTAAGAGAGATCCTGAGGTGATCAAACATTGTTCAAACTGAAAATACAGCGTTAGTCTTCAATTATTCTACAATCCACGCTTATGCCGCTGCAATCATATCTCGAAAGGGGTAAACCCGAGGAACAAGTATACATGTACCCCAGGGTCCACTCCACATTCACGGATAAATTGCGCTGGCTGACAGCATTGTGTATCAAGTCAGCTAATATCCGGGGAAATATGGCATCCCACGCGGGTGATGCACCGTGGCGTCCGACAGGAAGCTTAATTTCGCTTGTTTGTCCACGAATGAAATCGCGCAATGGGGTTCCAGCCGCTCCCGATTCGTGGCAATTGCTTCTGTTCCTGGGCCAGCGATGCTCCTCCATTCAAAATCGAAACATGGACCTGAAATATGAACGAGTTTATGCAGGGTCTGGGACGGACCGATGTCCTCACTGAATTAGGAGCGGCTTGGCAGGGTCTCCTGAAGAGGCAAAGCGGGAGGAGGTATAAGGCTGAAGATGAAAAGTATAAAATGAACCGTGGGCTGCTTGTGCAGACTATCACATTTTGCATTGAGCTTTTTTACCCTGAGTATCGATTCACCAAGACCATTGTGGTTCATTATGATTGTAGGCAAAAGCCTGTACATTCTTAGCCTTCTGGGAGCCATTGCAAATGCTCTCCCAGAGCCAGCGGCACCCCAGGTGACGGCGCCAGCAAAGTTGGAAGAGAGAGCGACCACTTGCACCTTCTCCGGATCCAATGGTGCTTCCTCAGCTAGCAAGTCGAAGACCGCCTGTTCTACCATTGTACTCTCCGCAGTGGCGGTCCCGTCGGGGACTACCTTGGACCTGACCGGCCTGAATGATGGAACAACAGTAGGGTGACCTACATCCCTGTACGAAGGACGCTGCCAACACAATTTCTCATTTAGGTCATTTTTGAGGGCGAAACAACCTTCGGCTACAAAGAGTGGTCGGGTCCTCTTGTCTCAGTCTCCGGAACGGACGTTACGGTCAAAGGTGCATCGGGAGCGACTCTGAATGGAGACGGGAGTCGCTGGTGGGATGGAAAGGGCTCGAACGGTGGCAAGACGAAGCCTAAGTTCTTCTATGCTCATAAAATGTTTTCTTCCACCATCAGTGATATCAAGATCATCAACTCTCCAGTCCAGGTTTTTAGTATTAATGGAGCAAAGGATCTCACCTTGAGTGGAATCACCATTGATAACAGCGACGGCGATGTCAAGGGTGGTCACAACACCGATGCCTTTGATGTGGGATCAAGCTCGGGTATCACTATCACTGGCGCAACTGTCTACAATCAGGACGATTGTCTGGCGGTTAATTCTGGAACGGTATTGACTACAACACACAATAAAATAGATCAGTCGCTAATGTGGACTAGGATATCACTTTCACCGGAGGTCTCTGCTCGGGAGGTCATGGACTTTCCATTGGATCTGTCGGAGGGCGAAGTGACAACATAGTTGACAACGTGCACATCGAAAACTCGGTCATCAAGGACTCTGACAATGGTATGTGAACATAAGAGGCGAGTGCTGAAAAAATTGTCAACCTCACTAACACTAACCCAAACAGGTGTGCGAATCAAGACAGTCTATGGAGCAACTGGCTCCGTCAACAACGTCACTTACAAGGGCATTACGCTTTCCGGGATCGCAAAGTACGGCATTGTGCTCGAGCAAGACTATGAGAACGGCAGTCCCACTGGAACCCCCACGGATGGCGTGCCAATTACCGGTCTAACTCTGGATGGCGTGACAGGCACCGTGAAAAGCAGCGCGACGAACATTTATATTCTCTGCGCCAAAGGTGCATGCTCTAACTGGACGTGGAAAGGTGTCAGTGTCACCGGTGGAAAGACAAGTGGCTCTTGTTCCAACATCCCAAGCGGTGCAAGCTGCTGAGCGAGCCAGAGTTGTACGGTCCTGCAATATAGCTATCTGATCTTATAACGGCCAACATGTTCGTGTGACGAGCGAGCTGGAATAGAAAATGCAAACAGAACAAACTTGATATTCGTTCCCCATTTCTAAGGCCACAAGGCTCCAAGGCCATTTTGGTATGACTTAGCACCCCCAATCAGGCAATAACCATCACTCGCCATCGTCCGGACGACATGAGCATCCCCTCAAGTCATCCTTTTCCAAAGAGCATCAGTTATTCAAACCGGGTATTCTTTCTCCGGTAGTACAGTCATTATTTGACGCGTGTTCATGTAGGATATTGGATAAAACAAGAATCCGCCGACCCAGGCGATGCATGACCGTGGCCAGCAGGGGTTCCAGGAATTGATGGGCATATGTCCTTGAATAATATGACAGCATGAAAGCCTCAAAGGCCGTGGATGAATAGTCCGGTAGGCCGACTGGTTAAGCTTGCAACAACTCCACTGACAAGAATGTACTTGTGAACAGCTCCCCTCTTACAGAGAGCAACTCCCCAGGCCCTGTGACATTACCGAGGAAAAGTCTTACCAAAAAAACCTAATTGAAATATCTGCATTCACAGATAAGGGAGCTCAAAATCCATTCCAAATTTCAACATGACGCCCTACACCTGCTCTATGGGCTTGCTTGAGCTTCAACCACCAAGGGCACGATTCTCTCACCCTTCGGGCATGAGATATTCCCCTTTGGGACTTGCCTCTGCCAATAATACCGGGTTATCAGCAGATAAGTCTCCGAGAGCACCAGTTCTGCTATGCAGTAGCCCGATCAACATTCCATTTCCTAGTTAATCCCCCGAGCGGGGCGGTTCGTGCACCCGCAAAACTGGTCAAGCCTTGACAAGGCTGTCGGTATTTTTCTGAATCATTGCTGGAGTAGATACCGCTGCCGATCGGCAGTGTAAGCTAGAGAAAATGAAGTGGTTTCGTCATGATGGACCACGGGCAGCATGAACCTCATATATGAGGTGCACTTTCAGTTCAACATTGACGCCTGCAATCCATCGAAATAAGATCACAGTCTCACCAATGAGATACTATTGCACGCATGACCTGCGAAACATTACTGAAATGGCACCTCTAAGGAGTTAGGATCACATTGTTGGGACCAGAGTCCGCCTGGATTCCAGGTATGTGCCTTGCACTAGCTTATTGGAAGGAATCTTGTCAGAAAAAAATTTATTTCGTCATGCCGATAGCTCTGATTAGCTTATTTTTCCTGCAAGCTCCTGCCCTAGCTTTATTTTTGAATCATCGCCTGCGACAGACCCCTTCTTCAAGAGAGGTTCGACCGTGTTTTTCGACACACTACATTTTCAACTGAGACATCTTCCTACTAATTGTCCGGGAAACTGAGCATCATGGAAGCCAAGGACTATCCTCCCAGTTTCACTAGTCGGAGTTCAGGCTTTCTTCCATCAGATCAACAGTCTGACAGCAGGATTATCACGGATGACGAGAAGTTACCTCCTGTTGATGGAGGTACACAAGCATGGCTATTTCTTATAGCTTCTGCAATGCTTGAGTCTTTAGTATGGGGTATGTGAGCTGATGCTATTGCATGTTTTGGATGGGAATTGATAAATTAGCAGGTTACGCTTTTGCATTTGGAGTCTTCCAGGACTACTACAGTTCACATCCGCCATTTGAAGGGTCGGGGCATATTGCTGTTATTGGAACTTGTGCTATGGTGAGTCGTCAAGGAATTGCGGATGGCATTGGATGTAATTAATACGTGATGTAGGGCATCGCGTATCTCCTCGCTCCAGCGGCAATCATTTTCATGATTTTGGTGCCTTCATTTGCTCGTTGGGTATCCACAGCTGGCGTTTGCATTATGTGCTTCTCTTTGGCAATGAGCTCATTTTCCACCAATGTGACGCACCTCATCTTGTCACAGGGAATTGGCTTTGGCACTGGTGGTTGCTTAGCATACACCCCCACAATCTTGTTCATGTCAGAGTGGTTTGCCAAGCGAAAAGGCCTTGCATTTGGAATTGTCTGGGTGAGTGATTTATTGCGTTGCAATCATTCTATACTGAATAAAGCTAACTATGTTCTCAGGCAGGGTCCGGTATATCGGGTATCATTTTCCCACTCGCTATACAATGGCTACTTGACCAGTATGGAATAGAAGCAACACTCCGCATCTCAGCAGTGACTCTATTCATTCTCGCCGCGCCTTTTCTCTACTTCCACCGACCTAGAATCCCCATGACTGAGGTTGCGTACCACAGGCTTAACTTCCATTTCTTGTACGACAAGACTTTTATCGTTTACCAGCTTGGAAACACCCTGGAAGCAGTTGGATTCTTCTTGCCGACAGTCTACCTCCCCACATTCGCGCGCAGCCTCGGAGCCAATGACTTTATGTCTTCGCTCACCGTGACCCTGGTTAACCTGACCACTGTATTCGGCTCCGTGTGCATGGGATTCCTTTCAGACCGGTATCATATCACAACATGTATCTTGATCTCGACTGTCGGCACCGTCCTAGCCGTCTTTTTCCTTTGGGGCTTTGCCACCTCCATCGCGCCATTATACATATTCTGCATTGCATACGGCCTCCTCGCGGGCGGTTTTTCGTCTACGTGGGCGGGTGTTTCCAACGAAGTACAACGCGCCAACCCCACCGCAGACGCAACGGTCATCTTCCCATTCATGGAGACTGGCCGTGGAATCGGCAATGTCGCCAGTGGTCCGCTAAGCGAGGCTCTCCTCAAAGCAGACAACTGGCGCGGACATGCATATGGTGCCTATGGAAGTGGCTACGGTACGCTGGTTGTCTGCACCGGCGCCACTGCGCTGATGGGTGGGATCTGTGTTGTGGCGCGTCAATTCAAGTGGATATAGTTGTGCGAACTGTGCCTATTGTGCACACCGAACATGTCGTGAACGGGAGTTGTTCTATATAAATTGGGTTTATTTCTTGTTTGAGACCGGTTTGGTTTTGTGAGGCCATTCGTCAATATATGTGAAAAAAAAAAGAAATGCTACATATATACCACTTCACTTGGCAACTGTGCTTTGCGCTAATGAGAAATAATTGCACATGTCCCCACAGATAATCAGATTCGAGATGTGTGTCCTGCTTACTTGGTAACCCACCCCCAGACCCTCCAGTACCAGGGCTTCGGAGGTCCCGTTACCTTTTCGTAGTGAAGACGACCAGTATCAAGATCAGCCTCGGCCGAACGAATAAATGCAGGACGGAAGATGATCTTGTGTCCGGCGTAGAGCACAACAAAGACGATAGGGCAGATATAAGCGACAAAAAAGTCGGAGACATTGAAAGTCGGGATGAAAGCCGTGAAACCCTGGGTCAGGGCGATGAGGATGTTGAAGAAGAGGCCGTACCAGGCAAGGTAGGGCTGGAGGATGGCCTTGTAGGGAAGAGTATCGCGAGAAATGTTACGGGCAGACAATGCGCGCATGAATGCGATGTGAGAAGCGTTGATGCAAGCCCATGTCACGAACCCGGCAACACTGGAGAGGTTGACGAGCCAGTTGAAGACTTGGCCGGCGTCGTTGGAAACGTTCATGAAACCCAGCAGACCGAATAGAGCAGTGAATGCCACGCTGATGTATGGGACACCGTGCTTGGTGACCCAGCCGAAGCAGGCCGGGGCGAAGCCTTCATAGGCCAATCCGGTTAGGACTCGACTGCCGCTATATACATTGGAGTTTGCGGCAGATAAGACCACGCTTAGGAGGACGGCGTTGATCAAGCTGGGGAGGATCTTGACTCCAGCTAGATCGGCTGCAATGACCATAGGTGAGGAGGAGGCGTTCGTTTTGGCGGTGGCGAGTCGGCTATTATCGTATGGGACGAGCAGGCCGATGAAGAAGATGGTCAGAACGAAGAAAAGAAGGATGCGGACGAAGGTCTTGCGGATAGCCGAGGGCACAGTCTTCTGAGGGTTTTCAGTCTCGCCGGCTGCGACACCAACAAGCTCAGTGCCTTGGTAGGAAAAGCCAGCCTGAATAAGGACAGCCCAGAAGCCAACGAACTTGCCGATGGATTCCGGGGCATCGATCATATACGTAGCAAATGCTCCTGGGTTGTGCCAGTATTTGAAGCCGATGTAGCCCTGCTCTCCGACACCGACGTCGATGCAAATGGCGAAAATCATAAACCCGATGACGGTTGCCACCTTGATAGTCGAGAACCAGAATTCCAATTCGCCGTAGAAATTGACAGGAAGGAAGTTCAAAGCAGTAATTAAGACCCAGAATACTCCGATGAAAATTGCAATATTCAAATCTGCATTCCAGTACTGAATGATGGTTCCGGTGGCGGTTAATTCGACCGCAAAGGTGGATGCCCAGTTGAACCAGTAGATCCAGCCCATAGAGAAACCAAGACTGGGGTCTATCAGGCGCGCCGCATATGAGGTGAAGGCACCGGGGATTGGGATATATGTTGCGACTTCGCCAAGGGAGCTCATGACCGAGTATACGATGGATCCGACGAAGATATAGGCGATTAATGCACCTGCGGGTCCGGAGTATGCGATTGCAGTGCCACTGGAGATGAAGAGTCCTAGTGCAAGTTAGATCAAGCTATTTTTGAGCTCAAAATGGCTGTGTACCTGTTCCGATTGTTCCACCTGGATATAGTTAGCACGTTACTTGTGAGAGGCGACAGAAAAGACATACCGATAGCAATCATCTGAAGATGCCGGCTCTTCAGTTTGCGCTTCAGCTCTCCGGGGTTAGCCTCGGGGTAGCTTTGCTCGGCGTCCGCTTGCTTGGTATCTTGGAAGGCATTTTTAGGTTCAGTTGAGATCTCGTTCGCAGAGCTCTTGATGTCGCCGGTGGAGGCGTCGTAGGAAGCCATGTTGGACCACCACAATTATGCGTCTCAAAGCACCGCAAATGCGATGGACTGACAATAGCAAACAGTCGAGTTATTATGAAAGAAGCAGACGTTGAAATTTTTCATTCAAGGTCGAATTTCCGTTTTCGCTTGAAGGGTGGGGCTCGGAGGCGTGGAGAATATTTCTTAGGTAAAAAGTCGAACGATCCGGAAAGGAAGGACTTGACGATATATTGGTGGTTGATATTGGCATTTACTTGCTGTTTCTCTCTAAATTACATAGCTAAATACAGTCCTGTCGACATGTCGACATATGGTAGCCCTTAAGACTAGCCTGCAGACTTAAGCTTAAATGTTTGGTTGAACGCCAGAATTTTCCATGAGTGGGTCTATAAGGCTAACTGCCATTGGGACCAAGATGTATACACTGTACAGGGGATCAACACTTCGCAATTGAGTGTATAAAGGCGAGAAACAATAAGTGAATTAATTCAATAGTTATGTCCTAGTGTTGCCTGCAACGTTAGGCCACAAGCCTTCAACATTCTTACATTCCTTGACGCATATGCAGGGGGTTCTGAAACGAACATGTTTCATCCTCTGGTCCAAGTACCATTTGAATGCTAACTACAGAAGACGAAGTGTCAAATCAGCCTAGGTTGACCTCGATACCTGGCTATTTAGTTCAGGGGTCAGATTTTGGCTTTGGAGTGCTCATCCGCGATGTCTTTCTTCTTTGGGCCTGCAAATCCAAATATATACGCGCCAATTTTCCGCATCTGAATCTCCTCTGCCCCTTCAGTGATGCGATACCGACGGAAGTGACGATATATATGCTCAAAAGGGTAGTGTCGAGAGTACCCATCGCCCCCGTGGATCTAATCGGTCAGTCGTGTCTCATCCGTGAAGTATCTGAGAATACCAACATACCTGAATGGCCCGGTCGGCAGCCTGACAACACAGTCGATTTGCCCAGAAGTTACACATGGCAACTTGATCACTTAGTCGGCGCTCAATCTCTACCCATGGCCGTTTTGCCGACGACTGACATTCAGCCACAACACGATCCATCTCCCAGCTCGTCTTGAAGATAAACAGACGCAGCATCTCAACCTGGGTCATAAGCTCAACCACCGGGAACTGAATAGCCTGATTATCAGCCAAAGTCTTCCCCTCACCCCATATCTTGCGTGACCGGGCGCGTTCAACGCTCCGATCCAGACAGTACCGCGCAGCCCCGCATGAGCTGGCCGCTTGGCGAATTCTATTCTCATGCACGAAAGTCTGCGCAATTGCTAGTCCCTGGTTAACGGACCCCAAAACAGCCGTCTCGGGCACCCACACCTGGTCCAGCTCGATGGTTGCGTGGTCAGTGGGCATATTGAGAGTCCATTCGTAGCTGGCAATGCGAAGTCCTGCCGTGTCACGGGGAACCAGGAAAGCCGTGATCCCTCGTGCAGATCCTGCTTGGCCCGAGGTCCGGGCGAAAATGAGAAAATGCGTGCAGTGGTGCGCGCCTGTCTGCCACTTCTTTGCCCCCGTGATTTCAAACCCGCCTTGGGTCTGGCGGGCTGTTGTGGACATGTATGTTGCGTCACTTCCGTGATCGGGTTCTGTTAGGCCGAATTTCGTTCGGAACTCTCCTTTCAGACGTGCTGGAATGAGGGTTTGCCTTTGGTGTTCGTTTCCAAAATGGTGGAGCATTAATACGTCGGGGAAATTCCCCACAATGCTGTGCTCGTTTTGTAAATCATTGGCTAGTCCTAGGCCACCGCCGTATACTGGGTGTGAGGATAGGTGGTATCGAATAGCTGACATCCACAAATTGGTGTCTGGATGTGACTGGCCGCCGTATACTCGAGGCAATGCGAACCGGTAGAAACCAGCGGCATCAGCTCGGTTCCTCGCCTCACCTAGCTTAATCAGCCTGGAGCGACTACCGATATTGTTCTACTTACCTAGCAGCTCTTCCCATTCCTGTCGTGGATTCCCATTGTTATCCCAGTCAGTTCGTGCATATTCACGACGGTGATCGAAGAACCGATCATTGTCATCAGCATGCTGCAGCGGCAGGATATTTGAATGGATAAACGAATCTATAGACTCTAGGTGAGCTTTAAGCTCGAGTGGGAGCTCGAAATTCATGATGGCGATGCTTGACGGACGATTGTGCTCGGCCAGGCTATGTATATGATGTGTTCCCCGCATTCGGACCTCGGCGCGCATCTTGTCTCGGTTGATAATCAAGTGGCTAATGACCAAAGCACAACAGCAATTCGAAGCAAATCAATGCAATAGTAACGAAGAATGTAATGAGTTATCTATGACTAGGGAGTGAAAACAGCCCCTTAGGATGTGATTAATGACCCTAAACCATATTGACATATCCCTACCCTCACCCACACCACCTCGTTATAACCCCCCATTGCAGCAACAGAAGACCTTACTCAAACGATTTCTCACTCTAGTCAGTATACTTCTTCTCTCTCTCTTTTGGCGTTTCCCGAAATCGCCGCCACAGCCAAAACCCAAATATAGTCAACACAGTCAACGGTATAGCAAAAGCAAGATAAAGCCACCACCACCGGGAAACGACAAACTCAGACCGAGTTGAATCAGGAGATGTGTCAAAAGCGACCAAGTTCGTCCCGAACAAGCTACACACGAATGTGGCAGGGAGGTAAATCAATGTCACAGCCGCAATGATCTTCATAGACATACTGTCTTTACGTGCTTCGCGTGCAATGCTCGCACTTTGGGTAGCTATGCGCAAATTGACCGTGCTATCATGCCCTGTAATTAGGTTATAGAGAAGCGTGATAAAGTTGTTAGTCCGTTGACGGAGGTTGAGAATACGGCGATGTCTGTCCTCGCAGAAGTCACGTAGAGCGAGGAGATCGTCTCGAACACGCTCGTGGACTCTGCTTTTTATGTTTGTACCGCCGTTGTAACGCTTCGCTAGCCGACCGAGTCGCGTATGATCCTGTAATAGATGGTTGATGTTTGATGTGTCGCGCTGGTTATTGTGTTCGAGTGTGATTAGGTTCCGGGACATTTTGTGTAGCAGTTGGACGTATTTGGAGAAGCGATCGGAGTCGGTTATCTCGAAGAGCGAGCCTTGGTGAAGTTGTGTTTCGATCCATAGGAGCCATTTGACAAGGTTGTCGAGCTCGGTTGATCGTGTTGAGAGGATGTAGAATAATATCGCGGAATGTAAGGCCAGTGGATGCAGGCGTGATTCTCCCTTGCATCTGCAGGTGCAGTTGTCTGTACAGGAACATGGCTCGGATTGTCGGAGGCCCTCATAAAGTCCATGTACCAAATTGCGGAGGTCGCTTTTTGCCTGGAGGAACATATAAACACTGTGACCTGTTGTTATATCATGGCGGAAGTAAATAGGCTCATGCTGATGATGCAGCACCATGTCGGTCGGGCCTCGCGAACTGATGGTTGGGGTACTATCAAGGGGACTGGTGTTGTTCGCTACATATGATAGTGACTCTGAGACATTATAGCATATTTCTGTCTTCGTGAGCCCACAATACTGACTTTCAATATTCGGGAAAGGGGCACCGACCAAGGCACGGTCGGCCTTTGATGTCAACACATCGACTGTGATAACCAGACACCAACGGCGAAGCCAAAAGAGCCACGGATTCAAGACTGATATCCCAATATTCCTCAAAGAGAGAATTGACCTCCAAGTCCCCCGGGAACGACCCCGCTTCAGGGCTCAGCAGTCTGACACGGATCAACAGAAGCCAGCAAAGTCAGGAGAAAAAAGCATACATAACATGCAGAGGGCTATGTCCTTTACTCCCAGCGGGTGCCTCTGACCGCAGTTGTTCCTCAAAATCAGGCGATTCTGCAGTACGTCAGAGCGTGCATCAGCTGCATCGAGGCTAATCACTTACCGGCCTGATCCAGGACTGCTATTGGACAAGATGCGCCTTGCTCGTGTGAGGCAACCGACCGGCCGCAACACAGAAACAAGGCATACTTCAATGCCGAAGGATCGAGTTTGGACGACATGGCTCCAAGATGATGGCTTGTTCAGCCCATGAGGTCTGCCAGCCCCCGCCCCCACCCTGCAGTGTGATGGCCCTGCAGACCTCAACCAGGACCCAGACAGTCGGAACATGCGGTTTGACATGTCGCGAACATGTTGAGTATAGATCTATGCAATGTCGACTACTCCATATATGAACCGGAAGAGGAACAAAATATTGTATATGGCGGGCCCAGACGCTTGGCAAAATGAACCTCGGCGTCCTGCCACAGCCTGACCCAGCTTGTCGGGAACATGATTTGAGCAGAGGGATAAAACTTCCGCTAGAACACCTTCCGGACACTCAAATGGTCGATCTCCCTATTGACGGAATTTATGGCCTCATACCGTTTTCACGCGGGTGTTGAACGTGCCTTGTCAAAATGCTACCACATCAGGGGATTGAGTCTCCTGAATCATGAAGAAAATCGTGAATAAACCACGGCTTTGTGCGGGTACTTTGACGTCTATTACTATTCCTGATGGGGAAATAAAGCCTTGGCTTTAATCACAATCCTTGCACCTCCGCATCCTTTAGGTCCTTCAGATATGTTAAGGGTACCTATTACGGTTGAATGCGATTATCCTGGTTGACAATAGTACATGACTCGTGTGTGTTTTTGTTCCCATAAAAGATCACTACGCTTTGTCCTCGTATTCACCGATGGGCCTGTGATGGTTCCACTGAGTCCCCGTGCACATTAAATAACTTTTAGGGACGGGATGCCAAATACGGATATCTTCTATGGAGGACTCGAGACGATCCCGGTGCTCTGGACAGGATTTTCTAGACCCACAGGCAATTTAGCGTCGCTTTTATAAGCCACTTCTGCTCCAACGGATGTCCCGCGATAGGTTGAAGATATTATTTCTCATGCACGGTGCCCCAGAGTTCCCTCGCTCTCCTTCCAAAAGCTCACAAGTTCAATACAGGAGAGTCCCGACATCATGGGTTCCAATCACGCTTGTGTATCTATTTGGTCTAGTTGCATTATGTCGCATCATGTCTTTCTTCACTGTTTGACAGGAGTGGCCCCACAACCACGGCACACAAAAGGAGCCCACTAGGGCGAAGCTGGGGTGTTCTGGATTTCTTCACCCTTGCTCGCAACTGGAATTTGGTGGAACATGGCGTGGTGGCATCTCGTTGTCGCGCAACCATGCCTCGCCCTCGGCGTGGTAGGGGTGGGCTACCTGCTTTCCCTGGCCGTATATCGGCTGTACCTTTCACCAATCGCTCATTTCCCAGGACCTAAGCTGGCCGCATTAACCATGTGGTACGAGTTCTACTATGATTCATATCTTGGTGGTCAATATACGTTCGAAATCGGCAAAATGCACCGAAAATACGGCCCGATTGTGAGGATCAGTCCTTATGAACTACACATTGACGACCCAGAGTACTACGACGTTTTGTACTCTCGAGACAAGCCTCGCAACAAATCAGTACACCTGACCGGCATGTTCGGAGCACCAGACTCTGCCTTCGGTTCTGTCGATCACCGTCGTCATCGGATACGCCGACAACCCATGAACCCATTCTTCTCCCAGCAACGGATCCGACACCTTGAGCCAATGCTTCGTGGCATGATGGATAAGCTTCGCAAGGGAATGAAGGCCTGGAAAGAAAGGAATACACCTCTGCATATGTATCATGCATTCAATGCATTCACTACAGATGTGGTTGTGGAGTATTCCATGGGCGAGTCATTCCACTATTTAGATGACCCTGAGTTCACCCCACAATGGTCTAAGACAATCCAGTCAATCGTCCAGATGGGTGTGCAGCTGAAGCAATTCCGCTGGGTCATAGGCTTTTTCGAATTGCTTCCACGGTGGCTAGTTGTTAGCCTCAACCCGGACATTGGCCCGGTCATCGACCAGAAGGTAGAAAGTCTCCGGTTGGCAAACTTGATCATCGACAGTGAAAAGTCCAGTGCCAACTCGACGGATAAAAGAGCCAGTCTACCAAAAAATACATTGTTCCATGCGCTGCTGGACAGCAAGCTTCCTGCGGAGGAGAAATCAGCTAGTCGCCTAAGCCAGGAGATTTTCACGGTCATCTCTGCGGGCGGAGAAACGACTGCGAAGAATTTGACGACACTCACTTTTCATCTTTTGAATAATCCCGACAAGCTGCAGAAACTACGCGACGAATTGAACCGCCTTGATCCTGATGGGACGGCGTCTTTGGTGGAATATGAGACAATGCCATATTTGGTAAGTGCCAATAAACATCATCGGTCGAGAACATACGATTTTTAACAATAGTAGACATCGATTATGCTCGAGGGACTACGGTATGAAGCGAGATTAACTCTCTGTCGTCTTGCTATTGGAAGCAGGACGCTGCCATGTGCATTGTTATTGACTCGTTCTATAGACTCACAAACGCTATTTCGACAAGACTTCAACGCAGCTCGCCCGTTGATCCTATGAAATACAAGGACTGGGTCATTCCACCTGGGGTAATATATTATCCGCCACTCTTTCATCCATTACACTAACAATACAACATAGACGCCTGTTGGCATGACAAGCATATTTATGCACCATAATGAAGACATCTTCCCGGACTCGCAAAGCTTCATCCCAGAGCGCTGGATGGATCCAGATCAGCGGAAGTACCTCGAAAGATACATGGTCGCCTTCAGCAAGGGCTCCAGACAATGCATTGGTATTCCGTACGTGATGCTCCCCTGACTGTGACCTGGAATACGAGCTAACATTTATTGGCCAGTCTCGCGCGGGCTGAGATTCTTTTGGCTGTAGCTACAATCTTCCGCGAATTTGAGATGGAGCTGTACGAAACTACTATCGACGATGTTCGTATTGTGCGAGACATGTTCAATGGTCACCCTAGAGAGGGAAGCCAAGGTGTTCGTGTCATGATCAAAGGGTGGAATGAAAGTCCTGGGACAAGCAGAAGCTCTTCATGATCCTTGCTCTCTTTTTATTATTTTTGCTGCTTTCATTAATGTACATACAATAACGACCCGACAGAGCTAACCAGACAGAAATCGCTACTAGTACTTACTATCTCCAAGCCCGGGGTATTCCCGCCTCCAAAGACTTCAAGTGCGTACTTCTGCATATCATGACCGCAATATCTGGCTAGACTGAACCTGAGCTGGGGGATGGACTAGGCGCAAATTTCTAGACGAGGGGCTTACCCTTGAAAATCATACCTATTCTCGAACCGCTCGATGATTGTTCCAAGTCTTCTAAATATACCTGAGCACTGGCCAGCAGCGTAGTCAGGTTTCCAATCTCCTCCTTTCTCCACTTCGTGGTGGTCAGCAACGAAAGAGCTGGCGAAAGAGAGTAAAGGGGTAAAGACGAACACGGAAAGAAGAGAGAAAGGAAAAGAAAGAAAGTGAGGCGCGTTTAGCCAGACCAGTAATCAGGAAGAATTTCGGCTGCCCAGGAGGCTTGCAATTTTCCAAATCTTTAATCTGACTCGGGCTTCAACGAGCTTCGCTATTCCAAATACCCGCCAACGGGTCTTCCTGGGACTTCATGCGGTAGTATCTGCAAGGTCATGACATTTGGGCAGACAGTTTGCCTTACTAGCGTGGCGCTGGTGTCTACCACGCTGTGACTTGTTTCATATCTAACGAATGGGTTAGCGTGATCCACTTGAAACGTGTCTGAGTCCACCGTATACTTTGAATCTATTCATTTCGACAATCTCCAACATTTTACAGTACACCTTGAGTAATTCAAGATTACACGGGATAGACGGTTGGCGAAAGGCGTTTTCCCCAACCCCTTGGGCCTTTTACCGTAGAACCTGCCGAACAGACACCAAGCCCGGGACACCAGGGCGATGTGAGACAAAGCCATCATATGTCGTACAAGGACAAACATGCTCCTCCATACTTCACTGGCTTTGCTCCTGTGTAACGGATTCCATGAATCGTGATGCACCTTGTACCAGGGCTATGGGAACTCAGCTTTGGGGTCATGGATGAGATGAAAATCCCCCCTTGGGCTCTTGTCCGCATATCCGCACGTCTATACACATGTTGTGCGATTGCTCAGACATTTGCACTTCCAAAGTGAGGATATCATAGGCACAATATGCCAAATCAAGCAGAGACAACCAATCACTCTCAATGACCGTGTGTCCAATCAAACCAAGGCTTGTGTTCCAAAGAATTTCCAAAGGAAGGGCATATACGCAGTGATACCTATCCACGCGCTTTTCTAACCAATTCCCTGGGCCCTAATTTCCAATAGAACTGCCTTTCCTCGAGCCTGAAGTCCTTTTGGATGCGTTGATATATAGCATTTGAACTAATTGATCGGTTCCTGAGGTTTACCTCTATTGGATTAGATATAAGCAAAAGTACATATGAGACCGGGATCTCGATCACTGACAACAATCTTCCTTCATATCATCAACATACAACAGGTATATTCTTGCTTCGAGATGCACCCAACTCTCAACTATCGGCACTCACGGCGGTCCGCTTGTGATAAATGCCGCGGGCAGAAGCTGCGTTGTGAGCGTGGCCATATTAATGGCATGTCTTGTGAACGTTGCCTCAAGGCTCAGCAGCCATGCATCACCAGCATAAGCCACCCAGCACCGGTCTTCCTTCCGACAAGCCATGATAAGAGCATTGTTCAGAAAGATCGGGAGAGTCAAATATTTGGCCATAGCCCTGATCTGATATCTATGCTTCCCAACTCATCCGGCCCGAAAGGGACAAGCTTGGTTCTGCCATCATCCACGAACTCAGGGATGCCCAATATGCTACAGTCAAACAGCTGGAATGATCAGATTTTACTCTCACATATTTCCAGGGAAGACGCCTTTCCGTCGCCCGGCGATCTAGCCTTGAGCATACCTCTAGATCAAAGGGGCTTTCCAATCCCCTTCGAATCGTGGGGTCATCAGCAGTCTTGCTGGTCTAATGAGAATTACAACCTGGTGTGTCGATATATTGGGTATGATATTGAGCGTTCAGCTACTAACTTCAGAATAATACAGCCTCCTCCTGAAACTGCCTTGCCAGAGCTCACACATCATTGTAGTGACGAATCTCTTTACTCCCCGATTCTTGGTAATGATATCTCAATAAATGCCGGAAACAAAAGCGTACCAACTAGCCAGCAACCCATCTATCTCGGAACAGCACCATTCCTTGGAGCAGAAGATGTCCCTGAATCCTTTTGGGGTAACCTTGAGAACCTCCCAAACCCGGCCGAACTTCTTCCTAGCGTGCCTACCCAAGAAATGCCCACATCTTTTCAAAATACGCGGAAGGAGATTTTGAAGTTGAAGATCGAGCTTCTCAATGACCTAGATATGCTTGAAACGGACGCCGTGGCGCTGGCATCCGAATCCCTTCTGAATGACCTATTCAATCCATCCGTCGCGGCGCTCGATCTTCCAACCTATCGGATGCTCAACCATTCGTACCGATTCTTTGAAATGATTCAATCTCTGCACAGAGTACCTAAGACGTCCAGATTGACTCCTGCTAAGTCACCAACTCAGAGTCACTCTCGGGGACTTGCAAATTCAACTTTACTATTTCAAGATGTCAGCGACACCAACTTGGATGAATGTGCGACTGCAATATCATCCCATGATTCGGGCTACCAAACAGCGATGACATCTTCACCGGATCGGACTATGATCACCCCAAGTCCGATATGCGATATTGCAGTGTGGCTGAGCGTGTTAGAAGCACATTGCTATCTGGTTCGCATTTACCGTGCTATATTCACGCGTTTGTATCAGCTCTTCCTCATCATCGCCCCTGCCGACGCGGAAATGTATTTGCTATTACCCAAACTGCAACTTGGACAATTTCATACGGATGGCAATCTCGCTGTTCAAGTCCAGGTTCTCGTTGATCTCTGCTCTAGCATGATGGGTCAGATTGACGAGGTTCTCGAGTTGCCACCAAGCTCTGATCAGACCCACGAAGAGGGAGAGATTCGCTTACCTGCAGCAGTTGGGGAAGGCAACTGGTCAACCGCCATCCGAGATCTTGTCTTGGCGCAGGAGCAAGATCCGTGTGAGATGTCTTTGGTGGATCTGATGAAGTGTTTACGGCAACTTGCTTGGGATCCTGCTTTTCATTTACTGTAGGGTAGCTCGTGTTCGCCTAAATATTCATTAACTATTTCCTATGCTTGCATCAATTATTCTTGATATTGATCAGTTTAATAACGGAATTCTTCTTATATTGGGGCGACATTTATGCTACATTTGGGGTACATACCTATATAGGTAGTACGCGAATCCCAGATACGTGTATAGTCGAAGAGAGAGTGTCAAGTAGAATGCTGATGAATCTCCTTTCATCGGGGCCTCTGTCACTTCTTAGCGCTCCCTTTCCATTCTCAATTATTCTCACTGAGGAGAGGCGAGCAAGTTGCAGGACGCATGATGCTACTGGATGCACAGTCATGGTTCAACTTCAAGTACGGGGCATAGATCGTCCACTCCCTGTCATATAACGGTCCGTTCAGCATGTACTGTACATCATCATTCTGTTCGGTCAAGAAATCAGTAAGTGCGACTAAAATCGGCCCGCAAATCCCCTCCCATTCTGACAACTTGTGTTTGGGTATCAGTACGCCTTGTTTTATATCAACGCTCCCTGCTATTTGTTTCTGGAAATTCTGCTTCGGGTTCGGTACGGTCCGCGGCTAACGTTCCGGGATTGGTGGGTCTAAGGTATTTAGAAACTTTCCAGTTGCGGCTGATCAAACATAGCTGTGTCCGAAATGTATGAATATTCCATAGCAGGTGCCAGGTCGCCCAGAGGTGCTTCTCCCCTTCACCTTATTGCTTTAGATTGCATAGCCCTTCCCTCCTATGCCTCCCTCTTCCATGAGATTTTCTCCTACCGCTGTTAGTACTAGGAACCATGCTAGAAACCCTGGGTTGTAGATTTAGCTGAGTGTGCACGACTGCTAACAGTCCATTACACCGATTAATATGAATAATTCAAAAGCCAGTGATGGGCAGCGAGCTTTGTCGATAACCCGGTAGGTTAAGGTTTTGTGGGATTCGCGGGAAGAATTGTTGATTGGTCCATTTGCGGCGCTTGCATTTCCCAGGCAATAGCACGAGTCATACACTGCCAATGCCATGACCTCGAGTTGCATCAATGCTATCCCCACTTCTAAGCTTTCGGTCATGGTTCAGGCCGTTCTGGGATGTTCTGAACATGGTCCGCATTAGATCCACAAGCATTTCCTCCAACACCCCAGTGGTCTCAGAACTCTAGTATTTGCAGTGGACAAAGGTTCACCGAACTCAAAGTAAATGGGCAATGTGAAATACGAGGGCAACGTAGTATAAAGTACTTATGTTGATGTTTTCGATCACTGTCATGACATCACGAGGCAGTAAAAGTACTCATAAAATCACCTTATCAATGTAGGTTTGACATATCTAATCCTGCTAATCCCATCTTATACTGGCCTATATTTATGCCAATGACTAGCAGGCGCTTGAGTCTGGCCTAAATTTACCAATCATTGCCCCTTAGTTCCGGCAATTATGGTCCGAAACCTCACCCCAGTTGGCGTCGGGCCTGGTGATACCGACGCTCCAAGGAAATGGCCCAAAAACCCGGAAGACGCTGTTGTCAACGACATGGACTCTGGTGCGCTCATCAATGAATTGGCGAAGCTTGCAATTCTGCCAGGGAAACTTGACTTGACTCCCGACGAACAGGAAGCCTGCAAGGAAAACCCCGACAGTCTGATTTGGACCCTCCGTAGAAAGGAGCCGCTACCTAGGATTCAGAAGGGAACATATCGGGGGACTCAGCTGGCGCTCACTAAGCTCTACGATCTTATAGAACAGCGGTACTTACACCAACCCTTTTCCTAATTCCTTTTCTTCCTTCCATTTTCTTCCTTTTTTTTTTTTTTTTTTTTCCCCTTTGCTCCTCGAAGTTGGCTAATATGCTGGACAGCTATGTGTCCTTCATGGATGTAGCCCAGGTTGAACCTTTGATTCCGTCGACTCTGACCCTGGAAGATAAACGCGACTTCTTTCAATTTACAAAGAGTGAAACCGATGGCTTCCCACCCCATCTTAATCTTAGCCTCAACAAGAAATGGGTAAAAGCTGGGAACGAGCCAGACCAGGAACAGCAATCAACCCTCTCTCAAACCCATATTTTTGATTTCGGACGCCTGATTCAGTTATTTTTGGTTATGAAAGGTATTCTGCCAAGGTTGATTTATGGGGGGGTTGGCACACCCGATGCAGGGAAGACGCTCGCAAACGTGGAGGATTATAATAAGCAGCAACGCGGGAAGTCTAGACACAACGATATATTCGATCGTCCGAACGTGGGCGATTTGAAAGATTGGTATAGCGATTCCCGGTTTGCACAACAACACCTTACAGGGACGAATCCTACAACAATTGAGCGGGCTTCAAATGATTGGATAGATCACTTTATCCGAGCCGCAAAGACATCCGATGATGCAGTGGCTAAGAATACCATCACTGAGCTCAGTACCAGCTGCCGAGAGTCGTTTTACATGCAGGATTACAGCTACTTTCGCAAGGCTGCTGGTATGGAATCGGCTGCCGACATCAAATGCGAGGACGAAAACAACAAAGGAAGCTATCGCTATGGTTGTGCGTCGGTGTGCCTTTTCTTTCTCAATGAAAAAGGCCAGCTTTACCCGCTAGCTATTGTCACGGATTGGCGGGGCAGTCTTGAGACTTCCGTGACAATATACAACCGGGAATTGTTCAAGCGGACAGATATCCAGTCAGGAAGCGAAAAGCATGACCCAAAGGTCACCGTAACCGAGGAGGTTAATGACTGGCCTTGGAGATATGGTAAATCTCCGCACCAAATACGTCCCCTACGTTGTGCGCGCTGACTTTTCGGTCTCGGTATAGCCAAGACATGTGTGCAAGTTAGTGACTGGCTTCGGCATGAAGTCACTGCACATCTTACACGTACTCATTTGGTTGAAGAATCCATCATAGTCGCCGCCAACCGGCAACTTGAACCCGAGCATGCTGTGTTTCGGCTACTTCGTCCGCACTGGCAGAAGACCCTGGCACTAAATGGAGCTGCCCGGAGCACTCTCGTTCCCTCTGTCATTCTCCCGATAATCGGGTTTCAGCAAGACGAAACCCTTAAGTTTATGCAGAACGAATACAGGAATTTTAACTTCAAGGGAAGCTACGTACCAACAGATCTCGGCGCACGGAGGTTCCCTCCAGAGCAACTCGACACCCCAAAGTTTCACAACTACGCCTACGCCAGATGCATCAACAGCATGTGGAAGAAGATCAGGGAGTATGTGGAAGGCATGCTTTCTCTGGCTTACTCAGGGCCCGATGCTGATAGGCAAGTCGAGAATGACACATCTATTCAGAATTGGTCGAAAGAGATGCGGTCTCCTGACGGTGCCGATTTGCAACACTTCCCAGTCATTGGAACATTCACAGAGCTGATCGACTGCGTGACGATGTGTATTCACCTCGCATCTCCCCAGCACACGGCTGTGAATTACCTACAAGACTACTACCAGGATTTTGTGATCAATAAGCCTTCCTGTCTTTTCGCTGAGCCTCCAACATCTCTGGAGAGCTTGCTCAGATACACCGAGGATGATCTTGTCAAAGCGCTGCCTATAAATCATACTCATGAATGGCTTCTTGCTTCGCATGTTCCATACATCCTCAACTTCAAACCAAACCAGGAAAACGAAACGCTGATCGCGTACGCTCTTTCGCAGTGGGACATTTATCGTAAAAAGCCCAATCCCTCTGATGTGGAAAAGAAAACCACAGCTGTGCTCTACAAATTTTACCAGGCGCTTCAAGGTAGCGATGAAGAATTCGACCAGTACGCACGCGCGAAAGACGATTTCGATGACATCCCGTACAACGTGTTGAAAACAGATTGGAATGCGGTGTCGATTTTGATCTAGGCACGTCAGTATGAATATTACGGGCTACGGTCTGGTTGCACCAGTGCATATATATGCATTCAATATCGAAATTGAAGAGAGATAGGTTGGTTAGGAAAAAGGCCAAAAAGGTACACGAACAATTGTTTTGACGACTTTCCATAGTTTTAATTGCCTGGGATAATTTTGGTTTGCAATTTGAAGTTGTGTTCATCACATTGATTGCCATATACTGCGCGAAATACAGTTGTCGAAAAGTCCGTCGTCAACGAGCTCTGCGTAAAGAAATATGGGGAGCAAGGACTAAATTATGAAGCAAGGCGATTGTGGGCAGGTGGTAAATTCAAGCACGAGGAAAGGAGACTTGCTTCAAAACACCAATTTCCCATAGTTCTCTATACAAACCTGTTAAACGCCACTGAGGAGCAGAAGTACATCCGGATGGCGGTTAGATTTCCTAATTAGGGTTCCCGCCCGCCCCCTGAGTCTAGGTATGCAATGAAGCTTATATATGCACATCCATAGTCCAAGAGCTGTAAATGGTACTGCTTCCGACATGAACAGGCTTGCCTCACCTAGCTTGCTAAGATGATTCATCTCTCTGGTGGACCTCACCGGTCTATGGCCTGCGCTCCAGGATTGAGATTTCCCCGCGGGGCCCTGCTCGAAGCTGCTCCGCATCCAAGTCCACTCTACTGAGTACCGGTAACCTACTTTACTGGGATCAGCCGCTGTTGCGGAGTGTTACCAAATCTGGCTATCACTCGTTTGCGGCAACTGGATTCTACACCGAAATATTTCAGAAAAAAGCTATATAAGTTCCAAGGTAGAGTCAAGATGTCAGGATTCCTAAGCTGTGCGAATTGATCAATCACGGCAAAGTGCTCAAGACTCTCAAAATGAACAGACTTGTTTCGCCGAAGTGTCTCAAATGTCCTACCTTTCGCGCGGGTAGATGCGCGGGGAAAACAGCCAAGCGACTTGTCGCAACTGATGCACCACTCACTCGGAAGGATAAACAGGAGGGCGATATTTCCTCAGTATTCTCAACTTTCTCTGGTAGGAAGAGCGCGCCACTGCCCGATCGTTTTCGTGACCTGAAGCGGAACTTGACCGTCGGATTCGAAGAGGAGATTCAGAAGTCTTGGGACGATCTAGTTGAGACTCTGAAAGTCCGGACTGAAGAAGTCGCTACCAAGCGAGAAGCTGTACGTTCATCACATCTTTCTAATGGGAATCTACATACTAAGAGAATCAGATCATTCCTCAACTAAACTTTTCTGATATTCAAGCTGGTAATGTAGCTCCGGCCAATATTGAAGCCATTCGACGCACCGGTGTTGCCGTCATCAGAGGAGTTGTGCCAAAAGGCGTCACTGAAGACCTCCTCTCCGATGTTCGACAATATTTTGACGGGCATGCTTTCAAAGGCTTCCCGTCTGAAGCGGAAAAGAAGGTAATATTTTTTGTCAGTTCTTTTTGAACTCATAGTGACTTGATTCAGGTTATTTACGAATCATATTGGAGTCCTTCACAAGTCAAGGCGAGATCGCACCCCAATATGCTCGCCACGCAGTCGTGGATGAATCAGCTCTATCGTGCCGATGCAGACCAGAAGAGTAAGACACTCTGCAATGAGAACACGTACCGGACTTCACTGACGCAACTTAGTTGACCTCTCGGTCCCGCTTACCTATTGTGACCGTGTTCAAATCCGTCCACCTGGTGATAAACACTTCGGGCTTCCACCTCACGTTGATGGGGGAGGTGTTGAGAGATGGGAAGACAACTCTTACAACCATGTCTATCGTAAGATCTTCCAAGGAAAGGTATGTGTATGCCATTTTACTTTGCGAGCATAGTCAACTAATATCACGACAGTGGCGGGAGTATAACCCATGGGATCTGACTGGCCGCCTTGATGCCAACATGAACATGTATGAAGCACCAGGAGGTTGTTCTGTCTTCCGAGCCTTCCAGAGCTGGCTCGGGCTGTCTCGCCATGGACCCCAGGAAGGTAAGTTGCTGTTACATATAAGGCTGGTTCAACGCTAATTGCTCGTAATGTCAGGTACTCTTGTCGTCCATCCCATCCTGCAGCCCACCACTGCTTACTGGATGCTTCGACCCTTCTTCAAACCTACTCGCAAGGGTTCCTTGGACGGATGGAAGTTCTCCCTTGATGATGAAGAGGGCGAACTTTATCTGCATGGTGCCAACCCGGGAACTGCCCAAGAGCATACCCCTGACCACCATCCCCATCTCAACCTCAGCGAAACTATGATCCCATATCCTACTGTTGAGCCAGGTGACACCGGTATGATTATTGCTGATTGAATAAAGCGGACCATGCTAAACTTTTTTCGGTAGTCTTCTGGAGCGCCGATACAATTCACGGTACGGAGAGTCTGAACACAGGAAAGAACGATGCTTGTGTGTTCTATATTCCATCGGTCCCACTGACCCCTAACAACGCGGTATGATGATGATCCAAATCATGCGTATACAGAATTGGCGCTAACATCACATAGCAATATGTCGCTCAGCAACGCGATGCTTTCTTGAAGGGTGTTCCCCCACCAGACTTCCCCGGTGGTCTTGGCGAGTCTCAGTTCTCTGACAGAGCACAGGTTGGAGACATCCAGTCTGAAGCTGGCAGAGTAGCTATGGGTCTGGATCCTATCAAAGCCAATGGCAAGAACGACAAGTTCGTGCAAGAGATCAACAAAATTTTGGGCCACTAAGCGGCTGTAAATTTGGATTACGGGCATATGCAGCACAAATGTATTTCTTTTCAATCAGTCGTAGCACCAAGTTAAATTGATTCAATGAATCTCAGTTAGTATTTTCAGGCCACGAGCTATCTTGCCAGGGTCCTCTTAATAATGATAGTTCTTTGCTATGTTGTTTCTAAATAGGGTCACCAACGGAGACCAACGACATACGATATTATCACGGACCGCCCATTTGACAACGATCAGCCCTAGAGGACGCGTATACTGACTTATAGCTGATAACACAACTAGGACAGAAATTTATTTTGTAAAAACCGAAACACCAACTTGCCCTGCATACTTCCGACGCCGAGTCCGAGTCCAATTTTAACTCGGATGTCATGTGCGCATCATTTAATTTGCCAGGTCAAACGCTCTTAAAAGGACTGTTTCTGTCTAACAAGCAAGCTATTCATCCAGCATAATAGAACATACCCTCACAGCATTTGTTCAGAACTTAGAACTCAATACCGAAATTATGTCTGGCCTTGACTCTAAGAATCTTCCCGACATCACCGGAACTTGGATACTGGTAAGATCTCTGGATTACCTAAATGTTAAAAGAACATGCATTGACTATCATATTTAGAACCGGAAGTACTCAACTGATCCAGAGGATGTTTTTGCTTTGGTAAGTTCCACCGTATAAGGGATCTGGCCACTGAGTGCTCACAAGAAAATAGCAAGGCGTCCCTTGGATCGTTCGCAAGGCCTTGAAGCATGCCCGATTGTCATTACAACTCTGGCAAACCAAGTCCGATGCAAGCTCAGGAGATACAGATGGCAGCCCAGGACTGACTGACGCCAGCGAGTCGGTTACAAGGCTTCGCTTGAAACAGGTCGTGAGCCCTGGGAATTTCGACAGCGAAGGATCTTATCTTGTTGATGGGACTCCACAGAAGCTTTCGCTGCCGATTTTCGGAGACTTGACTATGCGCTTGCAGTTTATCAACACTTCTGAGATCTTAGAGGACGTCCTCCGTGAAAAGTTGAAGAAGTCCAGTATCAACAAAAAAGTGATTCAAGAACTAGCAAAGAATTCGACGAAGGGTTGGGATGCTGAGGTGATTTGGGGATTTGAGGAGATTGAGGGAAACAAGTATCTGACCAGGAACATCAGCACCACCAAGGGCAATGACAAGGTCATTGCTAGGATGGTCTATCACTTGGATAATTAGACTTGACTGTGTGAAGCCTGGTTGCCTATTGGAAGTAGATAGCCGCATAGACTAGATCACGGAACCCGAAAAGAAGTTTCTTGCTCGGAAAGTAACCTCAATTTCTCGGTGTTCGGTGAATTGTCATCGGTGAGCCTTCTAAAATAACTGTGTTGAATCTCTTCTTGTCTGAAGCCTAACGGCTGAGGGTTGGTTGACATTCAGAACCTCTGATGCTGGGGCTAGACCTTAGATTACGCATGTAGAAGAGCCAAAGAGACCTCAAATATTTAGATTCCTAACTCCGCTACCTCACTGACACTAAGAGCTAAACTACTTCTCCTGTACCATCGGCACAACAAGTTTCTTCCCCGAAACCTTTCCATTCCGGAGCATGTCCAACCCATTCAAAATACCTTCAAATCCACCAGGAATGGTTTCAAATGGGCAAGGTTTGATATTCCCCTGATCAATGAGACCCTGGACTGTTCGATACCAGGACCGAGCCCATACTCCAATCTCAGGTCGGGGTGGAATGCCATACGGGTCTGGAAGCTCCACACCTCGTCCAGAAATGGCACCTCCCATGACAAGTTCGTGCTTGATTGTCTTGCGTGCGCAAAGGCTCTCCTGATACTGTTCCAGAGCACAGTACCGGCCACCTGTACGACCAATGGCTGCATGACACAGCCGCAGAGTCTTTGCTTCTGCAAAAGGGTCGAGGACATAGCGCAGGGTACTCTTGGTAGCTGCTCGGATATCCTCCGCACATGTTGGAGAACTATAATCAAATACTAGATCTGCCCCGTAGGACTTTACCAGGTCGAAGTTGCGAGGGGAACAAGTGGTAATGGCTCGGTGGCCACATCTAAACAAGTTGTGTCAGCGGTTATCCAGATATATATTGTAGGGTTCAAGCTCACAATTTGACCATCTGGATGGCGAGAAGACCAATAGTGCTACTACCACCATATACCAGAACATCTTCGGATTTGGCTGCTGGGCTGTCCAAAGTTCCAGGGATTTGAAGTGACCAAAACAGGGCAACGCCGAGAGTCGCGATTGCCGTACCAGAAATGGATGGCGCATTCTCGAGTGTCATTTCTTTTGGAACATGAAAGACAAGATCAGGCTCAGTCCGAATATACTCGCAGTAGGCTCCAGACATTGCATCTGAGAGGTTTGATCCCTGAACAGCCCCAAAAGCTCTATCGCCGAGCTTGAATCGGCCTTGTGCTGCTGCCTCAGCACCAAGCGCAACAACTGTACCAGCATAATCACAGCCATCCCAGAGACCTGGAGTCGGAAATCTCAGTGGCATTTTGAAATCACAGGGATTCAAGGCAACAGAAGCCGTCTTCACGAGCATTTGGTGGGGTCCAAGTTCTGCAAGAGGCAGACCCGGAGTGATTTGAAGCAACCCCCCTTCATGTTGAATGATACCCGTCTGAGTAGAGGGCAAGTTCGATTGGACTGCCATTGTAGGTGAAGGTGGGCGATATAAACGATACATAAATTTGAAGGGAGGATGTGTGATCCAAGGTGCCCTCCGATCTGGGGGACAGCATTATATAGACAGGAGTCTGACAAACAAACTCCCGGAAACTATAAATATAGGTGATAAGTCGGACATTTTTCTGGGCATGCACTTTGTTGAGATCAGCGTCTTCCAGTCTGGCTGAATCTGTGATTTGTTTACACGACACAGCTTGGCAATGCAAGATGCAACATCTAGCTCGTCTAATTCAAAAGGGAAACACCTGACGCAGTGGTTGTTGCAGGGTCTTACCATCGCGAAAACAAGTTTGTTGCTTGTACTTCGCAGCGTCGGCGCTTCTTCCCGCAAGGGATTTGATTTGCGAACCCAACGGCGGCATAAAATGCCTTTTACTGTAACTGTTGCCCATACCTTTTGGACATCCGTGAAAAAGGAAATATGGCCAGCACAGACTGCAGCCTAAAAGCAAATCTGGCAATCGAATGCTCCAGATGAGACGTAGACCGCTGGGTGAGAATAAAACAATTGATGTCAGAGTATCATAATCCTGCAATCAGCGCGGAGGAATTGGACTCCATGCTTCTCTGTTGCACCCGTCAGCACGGTCGAACTCATTAGTCCGAGTCAGTGAGCTTTTTCTTACCAGCCACCCTGGGTTGCGGGTGATGGCGCTTAGATGGGACCAAGGCAAATATTGATAATTCCTATGTGTTAGAGCCATGATACTTTGATTGGAAGTCTGCCAGCATCTTGTAGAGGCCTTGTCATAGTCTCTCATCGGCTTACGTATAGAGGTCTCTGCATTACATCCAAATAATTCTAGAGACCTAACATGGAGGACAATTTGGGTTGCATCAAACAGCACTATAGCCTGATTATAGAATCTCGCCCAGAAAATTTGGACCATTGACTCCACATGCTCTTGTCCATGGTGAAAGATAAAGAATTGATATTTGGCGTTATCCGTTAGAAAGGAAGGACCACTTAGTCTTGGATATGCCTACGTCGGTCATATTGATAGAAGGAGACCGGATAGCAATTTAGAATGGAAGTTATTTTCGTCCTCAATTTAGTTCTATATAGCCTTTGGAGTATTACATTCTTGTTTGCCTATATTATTCTTGTGTTTGACAATAACTCAGTTGGCCATATCATTCCCGGTATTCTTTTCAGTAACTTTCAAACGTCTGTGCTTTTCACCAGTTTAGGAAGAAATACTTGTCCATCCGATGCTGTGCGGAGATACGCTGCCAGCAATCGACTCATTCCAGCTTGCTCGGCATAGGCCACCCAATCTTCTATAGTAACAGTCTGGAACTCTTGGCCAGTTCCCAATTCCATCAAGGGCATAATGTCCTCCTGTCCAAGTTGCATCTCACCAGACTCATACAAATACTTGACTGCCTGTGAATGACTGAGACTAGATTCGTGCACGGCCTCGAGAAGTTGGCTCGCAACAGATTCGACAGATATGAGATCAAAGACCCCAGACCATGAGCTCGAGTCAGGCACTTTGCCGGTTTCCTTGATGTATTGCATGACGTTGCCCATCAGGTCAAGCTCTGGTGCATCGGCACCAGTGATGCTAGATGGACGATGAATCCACACAGGAAGACCGAATTGTCTTTGGATGTTCTCCAGATATACCTCACTCACCCACTTCGCAGCGACGTACCCGTCGTTTGGGGGTGATGGAGGTGGGAACGATGCCACAGAGGATTCCCCGAAGCTCTCCTGTCCAGCAAGACGAGCAACACCGGCCGTGGAGACAAAGTGGAAAGGAATACGTCGAGGCAAGGCGAGTTTGACAAGTTCTTTGGTGGATGCCACGTTTATCAGTTTGAGCGTCTGGTAGCTTTTCATGAATGAGACATCGGCACCATTGTGAATCACGATGTCTGCACAAGAAAAGATTGAGCTGGCATCTGAATCTGAGAGTCCCAGCCGAGAAGCTCCCAAATTGCCCCTGTGCAGATGAACCTTCGGGTGCGAGAAGATCTCTGGGAGCTCAGACGATTCTTTTCTGACAGCCAGACAATGAATAGAGATAACGTCGGTGTCATTCAAGAGCAACCGGAGGAGCTCCTTGCCAAGGAAACCAGTAGCCCCGGTAAGCACCACGACTCTAACACCAGAGGGGATAATGTGGGTACCACCGCCGCTCAGACACAAAGCAAGACTGGGATCAATTTCAACTTCTGTTTTCCAATCAACTTCCAACTCTTGTCCAGGGTAGGACAAATCTTCAATGCTTGCAGCCATGTCTCGGAGTGTGCTTGACTCGAAAAGCTGGTGCAGAGCCATGGATACCCCCAGACGATCTTTTATCAGAGCTTGGAGATCAACAAGGGCGAGCGAAGTTCCACCGACATGAAAGAAGTCTGACTTGGCCTCAATTGAATGATAGCTGACAAGCTCTCGTGGAAGAGCCTGTTTCCAAAGCTGGCGCAGTGACTGCTCAGATTCCTTGAGAGTGTCATCATTTACATGTTTGGATGCAACAGATGGAATGGGGAGTAAGCTGACCGCGGCGCGGTCGGTTTTGCCGGAGGTACTCTGAGGAATAGTCTCGATGGGGATTATAGCAGCAGGTCGCATATGCTGTGGCAATGGTAGCTCCCGGGCAAGGCGCTTGAGGAATTCGAGTGTGTTTTCGGCAATATCTGCAGCTGTCATCACAGCAAAGGCAACAAGAAATTTATCCGAGCTGTGGCTGGCATCAGAACGGACAGATACCACAGCCTGGGCAATAACTCCGGCGGAAGAATTGACAATTGCCTTCTCGATCTCCTCGACATTGATCCGCATGCCTCTCAGCTTGACTTGATTATCACCATCCATGCGCCCCAGGAGTACCAATCCACCGCCCCGGGTGAGCTTGCCGCGATCTCCACTTCGATGGATTGTTGTCCAGTGCTTCTCCTTGAAAAAAAGGCTTGAATACTGATCAAGTGCAAAGCGGTCATTTGCCTTGGCGTTATCGAGATAGCCCTGGGCGACTCCAGCGCCCCCAATAACCACTTCACCAGGGATCCCAATCGGTACAGGGTTGAAGCTTTGGTCAACAATGTAGACGGAGTAGTTTGGCAATGTAAAGAGGGCTTGCACAGAAGAAGCGGCGGTTGAATCCAACGGAATGTGAGCACCAGAACAGGCGATGGCAATCTCCGCCGGCCCGTAGCCATTGATCAACTCCAGTCCAGGTTTTTGTAGCGCTTTGAACTCGTCGATCAGACCACTGGACACAAATTCGCCTCCACAGATAGCGGTTCTCAAGCAGGAGTTAGTCAGGTTGGAGTGACCGTGTTGCATCCAAGCGAGATATTCCGTCGGCGTTGCAAGTGTGAGAGTCACATTTTCGGAAGCGATAAGTTTGGTGAGAGCAACGGGATCACCTCTTGCGTGGCTGGATGCGATCACGAGTGTTGCCCCATTGCAGAGCGTGACCATGATCTGCCACAGAGACGCATCCCATGCGTAGGATGACTGATGCAGGATAGTCTCGTCTCCTTGCCTGACGTTCCACTTTGCACTAGATGCTTGGACATGATGGATGTATGCCGAATGGGAGATCATAAGACCCTTGGGGATCCCGGTGGATCCACTGGTATACATGATGACTGCTGTCTCATCTGGTGCTGCCATATTGGAGACAGAGGTTGCAGTAAAGTCGTACAGACTACGCACATCAATCGGCCCAGCCTTTGTATACAAGAGGCCATAGTCTGATATGGTTGTGGTATCAAGGAGAACGACGGAGGCATTGGTTTCTTTCATGATCATTGCCAGTCTTTCCATTCCCACCTTCTTGTCAAGTGGAATGTAGACGCCACCGACACGGAGAATGGCCATAAGAGAGCAAATCCAGTCTGCACTTGGTGCCTGGAGAACCCCGACACGGGTGCCAGGACTCACTCCGTTGCTAAGTAGCTCGTTGGCAATCATATCGATGCGACGCTGGACTTGGGTGTATGTGATTGAAGTTCCATCATGATCCTTCAAAGCGACGCGGTTAGGATACAGACTAACGATCTCATCCAAGCGGTGAACAATAGTGGTTGGCCATTCCGCTCGAAGCTCGGGTCCTGTGAGACGGTTAGATGAGTACTGAGAAGGGGTGATGTGACTTGCCTCGTCCAAGAGTCACTGCTTCCTCAACATCATCCTTCGAATACAAACCCGGCCAAGTCACTCGTGTAGCTGGGTTCTGCAGAAAAGATTGAACCAGATTGGAGTAAGACCGGAGTAGGATTTCAGCGTGATCCATACTATAGAGACTGTCCTGGACAGACAGGTGAATGAGGGTCTCGCCTGCACCCACATTGGCAACATCCAGACTGAGATCAAATGAGGTCTCGCCACCGCCCAAAAGTGCACCCTCAGCAAGGCATCCGCAGAAACTCCTGGACTGCTCAACTTTAGGACGGTAGTTGAACATAGCCTGGCAAAGAGGATTGTGGGAGGCGGATCGCGGAACATTAAGTTCCGTCAGAATCACATCGAACGGCACACGCGAATGCGCAAATGCGCCCTGTGTGATGTTCCGAACGTCTTTCAGAGACTCTCCGAAGGATTGACCTGGGTGACGGGAGAATCTAACTGGAAGTAGGTTCAAGAACAATCCAACACTTCGCAGAATGTCGGCCTCGGTGCGGTTTCCATCACCCAGACCAATACAAATATCATCTGAATCAAAGAAACGCAAGAGTTGAATTTGCCAGACCGCCAGATGGAAATGGAAAGGCGTGGACTTGAACATTCGGCAGCACCGTTCAATGGCTTCGGAAGTATTTGCATCAGGACGCATTTGAGCAGTGTGCGACCCAAACCGGGCAACCTTGGGCCGGACCGATTGAAGGGCGAACGGGAGCAGAGGGATCGCTGGCGGGATTTCAACATACTGTGCTCGCCAGTAAGCCAGCTCACCTGCCCAGTCACCCTCTTCATATTCGCGGTTTTGTCTCATGGTGAACTCGGGGTATTGAATACCGTCCTGGGAAAGAGGTATACCCTGGTAAGCCTTCTCAACATCAGACCAAAACACCTCAAAACTGATCCCATCCATGTTGATATGATGGAAACCGAAGATCATCCAGTGCTTTTCTGGGTTCATTGAAAGGAGCTGGACACGCATAATTTCACCGTTGGCAAGGTCAAACTCATGTGCCTTCATCTGCTTCGAGGCGTCTTCGACTTCCTTTCTATCGGAAATTGCAACATGTTCCAATCGCAAGTTGGACTTTGCCCAAACACCTTGCATATGGTTTTGCTTGTCATCAGTGAAGAAGAATGTACGCAAGGCTTCGTGATGCTGACCAGCAGACTCAATAGCTCTAGCAAAGTCATTGACCTTCAACCGACCAGTCAATTCGAATGTCGGTGTGATGTTGAAAGCAGCCTTATCCTCGACTAAATGGCCCAGAAACCAGAACCGTGACTGCCCATAAGACATCGAGGTAGTCCTTTGAATTTCGCGACTTGGGGACACCATCTCACTGTCATCTGTAGAAATTGACGAAGAAGTGTCTGCGTTATCTTCGGAATTGGAGTCCCTGGTATTCAAAGAAGCTCCTGAGCTGCCACTATACGTGTTTGCTATATCCGGAATTGCGAACTTGAAGGCTTCGAGGGTCTCGTTTGTATCTGGCGTTCGGACATCCTCGGAAATATCAGTAGTGATGTTTGCGGCTGGCACTACAGGAGCGAGCTGGTGCGCTGGAACGTTAGGGGGCTGGTCACCGTTGGCGAGATTAGGAATCAATGTCCCCGGGAGAACCTCGGCAGCTGTGGCAAGCAGCTCTCGAATCGATGCTGCATTGAAAATCTTCAGCACTGGCATGTCTACTCCCAATTCCTTGAGGAACCATGAGCGAAGGTCAACGGCGACCAAAGAGTCAACACCAAGTTCATCTGGACTCATGTCTAACATGGGAGTAGACGAATCAGCTTGAAGAGAGGACTGGAGCTTCAAAACAAAGCCGTCTACACGGAATACTGTTAGTTCACAATTTATTGCAGCAAGTTCCGGATCACAGTACCTATCAAGATTTCCATCACTTCCTGCATGGATGTCGCCTCAAACAGGCGTGTCTTGATCAACATCCCAGCTTTGCCCTTCTTGTCAGAGATAACAAGGCTGCTCGACTTGGAGACCAAATGCTGGAACATGGGGTTGGAAACCCAACTCTTAGACTCATCATCATCGATTCTAAGACCACAGCACAACTCGGCGGCACCCACACGATCCAAGCAGGATAGAACGCCCTCGGCAAATACCTCGTGGAAGTCTTGTTCGGACATCCAAGAATGTCCAACTCGGTACAGATATGACTGTTGGCCCATGTTCAATTCTCGGGTAACATACCCGTTACCGACAATGGCACCGATGTTGATTGCATGTCCTGCCAAGCCACGCTTTCGGCGTTGTGCAGCTAAACTTGCCATGAACATGTTGGCAGCATTATATGCCACTTGTCCGGGGTTCCCTGTCATCGCAGCCATTGATGAGAAGAAGACCATGAAGTCCAAAGTGTTTTCTGGGAATAGCTCGTCGAGCAGGATACTACCATCAACCTTGGGGCGAAGGACCTTGTCCAGGCGAGGAAGATCCAGGTCAATGAACATCGTATCCTGGAGAACCATAGCACCTTGTGCAACACCAGCGATTGGAGGCATGCTATCACATATCTGGCGGTATGTTGACTGGACAGATTCACGGTTTGTGATGTCACTGAATGCTGTCAGTCCATTCCTGACGCGAGCAAGGGAAAGCCGACATAGAGAAAATAACTTACTTTGAAAAGACACGAACAGTGCAACTGGTAGTAGCCATCCTCTTCAACCACTGGTCATCAACCTTGGGGTTACGACTTGAGAGTGCGATGTACCGTGCACCCTGTCTGGCCATCCACTGACACAGAGACAGACCAAGCCCACCCGTAAGTCCAACGAGCCAGTAAGTCTTGTCCTTGGAGAACTTCACCTTTTTGGTGGCTGGGCGGACTTGAATAGCAAGCCTGGACTCACCCCAGGCAATTAGGGACTGCTCGGCCAGAGGGTCTTTTGTGCGGATGAGGTCTTGTAGACTCAAAGATGCGAACCTGTGCAGGTTCACCGGCATCAGATCATACTGCACTCTCATCCAGACATTTTGAAGCTGCATCGACAGTTGACCCATGTCAGAGGTGAATTGCGATTGGCAGGAAGTCGTAGTAAGGGTTGTCTCATTCTCAAATGGAAAGATGGCCGGTAGGCACGCTTTGAGAACCGAAAGCACATCATCATTGCCCCCCATTGTGACAAGTCTGGCAATATTCCGAGGAAGTTTGGTGATCAGTTCACGTTTGGTGGTGTTCGGGTGGACCTGGATCCATGGCCAGGAGCAAACGCCTTGCTTCGTGGTCAGAAGAACCAGCTGTACGCCCCTTTCGTTCGCATGCTTTGTTATTACTGGAGACAGAGAGTAGTTGGGATCCAAAACTGCCAACGCCGTGCCAGGTTGAAGCTTCTGCAGCATGGAGAGAGACAGGAAGTGCAGATAGAGGGTGAGCATTGAACTAACGGCTTGCTCTTGGGTATCTCCGCAACGCACTGCTAGACTATGCGGCACATGAAGTTGAGACTCCAAAGTATGCGACAGAGCAACTACTCGCTCCTTAGTCCGAGTGTTGTTTCCAACAACCAAGAACAGACTCTCTGTCTCGGTGATGCGGACAGCGCGAAGCAAAGAATGTGTAACATGGATTTCGACGCCATCGGGGAAAGATAGCGAAGACCTAATATCTTTCTCTTCGATTTGATATCCCATGTCCGATTGCTGGATAGTCACAATGGACTTGGCACGTTCAACGTCTTTAATTATGAGTCGCCTGGAAGAATTGTATCTGTCATTTCGGCAAGAGTTGAGACGGAATCGAGGAACCAGGATCTTTCCGTTTTCAAAGGCGATTTCTCGCTCATTAGACCAGAGAATTCCATCAAGTTGGCCACTTTGATCCCAAATTTCGGCAGCCTCTAGATGAAGGAGCTTTGTTGCGATGGCTTTTGCTTCCGTTTCACGCAAGGAATGAAGGTTGAGGAAGTGAACGTGGAGGTGGGTCATCTCCATGAGCAGTGTACGTTGAACACCAGTGAACATGTTGCCGTAGGGGTTATCGCCTTGAGCTCCATGTCCCAGCCAGAGTACATTCTTGCTCCGTTTGAACAGTTCCTGGAAAGAATTAAGGTTCTCGGACGTCATGTTCTTGAGAATCGGCTCATCAAGCTCGATCAAACTGATGACTGTTCCCATAACCGGCAGGTCCGTGGAGACAATATCGCTCAGGGAATTGGCAGTATGGATGTTGCCATAATGGCGACTAACTGCGGTCTTGATGTCAGCGGCCATGGCTGCAGTCAACGGCGTTTTCCCTCCAATAATTGTCAACGAGTCAACACCGAGTGGTTGGTGGATATGGGCCAAGGGGTCACGGAGGTAGTTGATGCGGCCGTCGACTGCCTGGGTAGCCATGGCGGAGAATGGCAGAAGGGAGGTCGAGGAAGATGGCGCGAGAGCCTCCAATCCGGAGAACTTTGCCCTTTGCATTAGCTCATCCCACTTGCTCTCACTAACACAAGGGGATAGTGTTCTTCCGTCCTCGTGGCCCCGCCACCAAACAGGTAGGCCACCAAGGATGAGGCTGAAGCGCATAACATCGGGATTTGTGATCTCCAACATGATCAGGTAACCACCGGGCTTGATAAGCCTACGAACGTTTGAGAGGGTAGCCTCGAGATTCTTCGTGGCGTAAAGAGCCAAGGGAGCAATCACCAGGTCGAAGCATTCCGCTTCGTACCCCTGTTCGATAATATCCTGTTCAATGTCCAGAACCTTGAATACCATCCTGGATTGGTACTCCGAGAATTTCTCACGGACATCATCGAACTGGCTGTCCAGAATATCAGAGTATGTGTAGGAGGTGAACGCCGAGCCCATTGCAGGCAGAACTCTCTCGGTGGTGGCGCCAGCGCCTGCGCCTGCAAATTATCAGTACATAGCAAGGTCGCGGTCATGGACAGAATCTTACCAATTTCTAGGACGTTCAGGTGGGGATATCGGTGGCTGATCTGACGAGACATCCGGGCAATTTCTCCAAGGTAAAAATCAATTCCAAGAGTTTTGGCATAGAAACTACCAAGCATGTTATCTTGCATAAGAATTTCAAGCGGATTCTTCTCACCGCGAATGACAGCAGGTAGGTTCTCGCCAATTGCAGAGAGAACCTTGACATCGATGCTCTCAGCGTTACTATAATTTGGTTAATATGTTGCAGTTTTGGCGCTTGCTCACAAGCTAGCAGAGGGGACCTCACCGGTCCAAAATTGGAGTGATATCAGCTAATGTATCGTTAGCCCATTCAGCCTTTGCAATCTTGTGCTTTCCAGAAGCAACAGAAGAGATGCAATGCTGAGCATAAGACAAAAGATGTGCATGGTTCCAGGCGGCCTTCGCACGTTCCGACCGGGAAATCGAACTATAAAGCTTCTTGAAATAGAAGTGAGCGATGCGCTCAAGATTCAATCCCAGGGCATGGTCTTGCGGTGTCAATTCTGTAGTGGCCTTGGTGCCGGTCGGCCCATCGACATCCCAAATCACCTCCGTGAAGAAGGGAACGTCGTTGGCAGGTGTCAACGGACTGAGCGGAGTAGTATGCAACCCTTCAAGTTGAACCAGGGTATGTTTTCCGTCTGTGGAGAATATATCAACATCACCAGAAAGCTCAGCAAACCGGGCATCCGTAACTGTGGAGTAGAACGGCATATCTGCCCCAGGCGCAGCGAGGGCAGCACAAGCAGAAGGGTTCAGACGAAGCCTGTCAATTCGAGTAGGCAGGTATAGGGTGCGTAGACGACCGTCCCCTGGGAAGCAATAAGCCAACATGATCGACTGGATGGCACCGTCGAGTGAGCCCGGGTGAATGATCAATGGTCTGTCATGTTCATCAACTTCTGGGACAGCAATGAGGCCTGTTGCCTCGTCCATCTTCCTGCTTAAGCCAGAGAGAGCCTGGAAGGGACCCGTATAGCCAAACCCAAGTTCAGAAACTGTGTTGTAGAAACGGTCAGCTTCCAACTCGAGGAAGGTTCCATGGGTTTCGGGTCGAGGGGGAGAGTATCATCTTTCGGATCGCCCAAGATAATTTGCAGTGAAGCAGATGCATGCAGGGACATGTTGGATGATCCCTTGTTAGCGCTGGAATGACAAGCAAAAGACGCCGATACTGAATCACTCCGGAGCTCCTCGATGGAGAGTCTGAAAATGGTCTCGACGCCATCATTCTCCTCGAGGACCAAGGCTTGGCCAATGGTTACATCATGGAAGTCGATCAGCTTCACGGACTGCAGACCATACTTCTGAGCAACTGCCTCAACTGCCGCTGAGATATACCCGGCCGCAGGGAACACCATCTGTCCCTGAACTTGGTGATGAGCCAGCCAAGAGACTTCACGGGGATGAAGGTAGTTGCGCCAGCGCAGCTCTTTGTCGCTTCCGTCTGGGCATTTAACACCAAGAAGAGAATGGAAGGGTTCACTCTCAGTGCGGAAAGCAATCGAAGACCGAGACTCGTGCCAGTAAACTCGGTCGTGATCCCACGAGTACGATGGAAGACCTTTGATCAATGCCGGTTGTCGAGTGCTTCGTGTCGCCTTGCTCTCGAAGCCGGCAAAGTCCACGACACTCTCTCCTAGTGATACCCACAAGGCGCCAAGAGCGGATGCAAAGGCTTCCCGGTCATTCTTGCCACGGTTCAAGGTGCCCGTGTAGGGTAATGATTCACCAGACACTTCTTGGATAGTTTGCATTGCGGGTCCCTTCAGCGCTGGGTGAGGTCCAACCTCCAATGCCATGTCAAATGGGCCGGCGGCACCAACGGCATAGGTTATTGCCTGAGAAAATAGAACAGGATTGACCATGTTATTGCTCCAGTAAGTGTCAGCAAGATTGTCGTTGACGTCGTCGATATTCTCGCCATATACACTGGAGATCCATGTAGGGCTGCCACTGGACCGAGACTGAATAGTTATGCCACACTTGCGGATTGCTGCAATGTAAGGTGCTGCACAGGATAGCATGTGCTGAGAGTGGTATGCCTTGTCGACCTTCAAAAGGCGCGCAAACTTCTTTTCATCTTCGAGGATTTCCTGGGCCTCGTCAATCGCATCTGCATCGCCAGAGAGCGTGACACTGGCGGAGGAGTTGCTGGCCGCTACGCAGATTCGACCTTCTAGCGAGGGCATCTCGCAAAGCTCCTTGGCATCGTCGAAGGATGTACCCGCAGCCATCATAGCACCCTTCGGTCCTTCCTTGTCGTTGGCATACTGAAGGGACCATCCGCGGTAGTACGCAATCCGAATAGCATCCGCTTCGTTGAGATAACCTGCAACATATGCTGCAGCAATTTCACCAGATGAGTGGCCGACAACAGTCTTGAACTTAATATTAGCGGCGTGGAGAAGTTGGACTAGGACAATCTGAACAGCGGTACACAGGGGCTGTGAGAATGTCGCCAGACCAATTTGGGAAGAGTTCTTGTCTTTGAGGAGCTCTTCACTCAAGGACCACTCTGGGCGATGCTCTACGGGCAATTCCTGTAGGGAGCGATCAAGACGAGCAAGACATTCCCGTGCCATTGATGAGCTCTCAAGCAGCTCCGCGCCCATTCGAGCCCATTGTGCACCTTGACCCGTGAAAACTCCAAGAATCTTCGGCTCACGGATAGTTGCTGTCTGGGTGGCTGGTGTGATACCAGTGGATGACTGCACTGCATCATCTAGTTTTGCAACAAGGTCTACGGTGTTCGATGCAGAGACCGCGAGCCGCACCGACAATGTGGACCGGCGGCAGTTCAGAGTCCATGAGAGGTCGCGCAAATTGATATCAGGGTGACTCTTGATATATGCCGAGTATGCAGCCACATTTCCGAGAAGCGATTTCTCAGAAGATGCAGACAAATTGAACGGAGACACAATCGCCGTATTGCCCTCACCAGAGGTACGTCCAATCAATTGCGGGTTGTACTCTTCCAAAATGGCATGCGCATTTGCACCACCGAAGCCAAAACTGTTAACACTAGCACGACGGGGAGTATTATTTGGGAGTTTAGGCCATTGCTTGGCAGCCTGGGCAATCTCCAGGTCATTGTAGAAGGGTCGCACTGTTGCACTCAACTCGTTAAGCAAGAGGTTTGGCGGGATCACTGCATGTTGCAATGCTAGTGATGCCTTCAGAACAGCCGCCAAGCCAGCTGTGCCTTCGGTGTGTCCGATCACAGTCTTGATAGATCCAACATACAAGGGGTCTTCCTGGCTAGTCTTTCGGTGGTAGTTAGCCGTCTTTCCGAAGAAAGCCGTGCTGATAGCCTCGGCCTCGACAGGGTCACCCGCAGGGGTACCTATCTCTTGTTAGCAGTATTCCGCAGAGATTAATTCCAGATACGTCAAAACATACCGGTTCCGTGAGCTTCGAAGTATTGCGGTCGGTCACTGGGCTTAGAAAGATCGAGTCCAGCTCGAGCATACGTCGTCCGAATGAGATCCGCCTGAGCCACAGGGTTCGGCATGGTGATTCCTTTCGTGCGACCATCTTGGTTGGCACCTGTTTCCCGGACGATACACTCGATGTGATCACCATCAGCCAGGGCAGCACTCAATGGCTTGAGTATGACGGCAGCGATACCGTCACCGCGAGCGTATCCATTAGCATCCTTGTCCCACATGCGCGAGCGCCCTGTTGGAGAAAGCATCTTCAACTTGCTCTCTGCGATGTACTGCTCGGGTCCAAGGAGAATATTGGTTCCGGCGGCAATCGCGACATTGCTTTCGCCGCTTCTCAGGCTCTGCACGGCCTGGTGTAGTGCAATCAAACTGGAAGAGCAGGCTGTGTCGATGGTCATGGAAGGGCCGCGCCAGTCAAAGAAGTAAGAGATTCGGTTGGACAGGATACTGCGCGCAGTTCCGGAGGCAAAGTATGTAGGAAAGTTCTGGACATCTCGACCTAGCATATCCGCATAATCGTTTGTCATCAGTCCAACATAAACCGCGGTGTTGGATCCCTGGAGACCCTCCATAGGGATACCGGCAGCTTCCAAGCCTTCATAGACCGTCTCCAGCAGCAACCTCTGCTGCGGATCAATCGAGTTCGCTTCGACTGGCTTTGTTCCAAAGAACTGGGCGTCGAACAGCCGGTGGTCGTCGGACAAGAGGTAGGAGTGTCGGACGTTCGTCGTGCCATGGTGCAGACCATCATGGTGGTAAAAGGCTTTGGTACTAAATCGACTTTTCGGAATCTCAGTCAAGACGTCACGGGGATCCTTGAGCAGATCCCACAGCTTCGATGGTGTTGTTGCATCACCAGGAAAGCGGCAGGCACTTCCCACAATGGCAATTGGCTCTCCAGTTTGTTCACGGTCACCCATCATTGTGTTGGCAGGGTTTGACTGGCTTCTTCACAGGCTGGTACGACCAATTGTGCGTCTGTCAGTATGCAAAGAAAAGTCTAGAGGATATGAATCATGGACAATCGGGACAAGTAATGCTCCGCAATCATTCACCCTCCAGCACCAGGGACGGGCAGCGGTACATATCAAGGTTCCGATGCTCGCTATGGTGGTCAGATTGGGACATATTCGGGCATTGATTCTCGCATCATCCTGTCAGTATCATGCAGCTGGTTCCGACTCCGAGTATCTTGCTGGGTTTGTGGTATGAAACGAAACAAATCACGATTCGAACAAGGGGGTCCACCATGTTTCCGCCATGTGGATTGGGCTGTTTCTGCCTCGTGTTGTAAACGAACTATTGACATAGAGTGGACAAACTAGAATTGACGACTGCGAAACAGGGTGTAGAACCTGTGGCGTTTGCCTGCCGGCTTTTGACTCGGTTTGAATCTCAAGACCGACTCCGACTCCGACTGCTCGTGCCTCGTGGTGGCAGTAGATCGTAGTATTGGCGTCCAACGCCCCTAGCATCATATTTTAGACTCGGAGATATCCCAGGCCGGATTGCAATGCGTTGCATAATCCCTTGTTCCTTGGTGGTCCCCTGGCTTGGTTTCGTATACTGGCCACCACGTGCGACATCAGCAATTTTGAGGCTTTGCTGCCAATAGTATGATGGCTAAAGCCCGGCAAACTTCATCCAATGTCTCACGATCGGTACAAGACATGGCCGAGATTCGAGCCGATCTCACTTTGATATCTTGGAGACACATGACCAACATTGCAGGTCGATCTCAAAAAGTGCAACAGACTATAAATCCTAGTGTCTGTGGAAAACATCTGGCACCCGCATATGCATATCATGATCAGTTATAATCTACCTAGCTAGGAACTCTAGTTCCGCATACAAGAACCTAGCGTTGGCCAAGATGTTGGTAAGGTTTGACCCCTGGTCATGTTTGGCTTGTTTGCTTTGTCAACGCGTCGCATATCGCATAGAACAACCCGGGAGTATCATAATTTAAATTCTCCGTGACTGTATCTTGGTGTCGTTACTTTACTCGTGCATGCAATTTTGCCTAAATAGCAGTGGCTGACAGGCGTGATCGGGGCATGATTGTTAAAGCGCTTCAAGGAGTATCATTCATCATTCGCCGCCACATCTCTGGCTGAGCGCGAGCTATTCAAGTTGGTCTTAATAGATATATACAAATTCATCATTTTGACGGTCGGTCAGATCCTGGAAGGCGTTATCTCCAACCTGGACGGTCTCCTGACCAGCCTCTTCCTGGTTACCCTCATCCATCCCATGGTATTGGCTTTGCATGGAGTGGTCAACAATCTCAGCCTTCTTGCCATTTCGGACACGTCGGCGTGCTTGTTGTTTGTTAAGGACCCACAGGTTAGCCCACTGGATGAGGACAATCGCAGTTAGGGCACCGAAAATTCCCAGACACGCGCGCAGTCCCGGGGTATAGGCGGGTTTGTCTTTCGCGTTGAACAATAAAGGACCAATGATGTTCCCTGCGGAACTGGCGGCATTGTACAAACTCATTATAACAGACTTCTTGGTTGTTCCTGCCGTATTGCCGATGATCCATGTCACGATTAGGGGTTGCCACCAAATAAGAATGCAAGCAGGTAGTAGCCGGCCAACAACTCGCCCTGCACTGATTTGGTTCTGGGGACTGCGAACAAGATTGCGAGGCCAGCTATCGTTGGGATCATGAAGCCCGCGAGAATGGCACTCTTCAGGCGGGCTGTTTGGGCGAGATAACTTGCCAGCAGGATGATGATGAATTGCAGTGCGCCGAATGGCATGGTAAGAAGCGTAGTTCTGTACTTGTCGTAGCCGAGGCCACTCAGAATGAGAGGTCCGAAGATGTTGGTCACGCTGGCGCCGATGTTGAGGAGCAAGGCCATGGCGATCCATAGGTAGGTCTTAGGCTCGAGGCAGGCCTCGTAGACGTGACCCAGCTTGAATTCCGTGTTGCCTGCTCCAGTCTGGTTGGCCCTCAGACGCTCCACTCCCTGGGCTCTCTCTTTCTCGTTTAGGAAGCGAGCAGTTGCAACGTCATTGTCGAGGCGCCAGTAGACGATTGGGGCGGAGATGACGGTAATGAGGCCGACGACTAGGAAGATGCTACTCACAGTTAGAATGAGTAATTATCCCTTTCACGGGAGAAAGGGGGAACTTGCATTTGCCACGCCTTCAACACATCTGACTTGATTTGTGCCAATCCGTACGACAAAGCAGCAGCAACGATAGTAGCCAGACCATTGGTACTGTACCATGCAGCGATCCTGATCGGCTGCTCAGCACGACGATACCATTGACTGGTAATAACACCAAACAGAGGCAGACATCCAGCTTCAAACAGACCAAGGAAGAAGCGAGCAGCCATAAGTCCATTGAAGTTGTGACACGCAGCCATGCATGTCTGCGCAATACCCCATCCAAGACACAGAGACGGCATCAAGATCTTATGGGGGACCTTAACAATAAGATATGACGAGAATGGTTGCCAGGCCAGCTGTGCAATGGGGCCAATGGATCCAACAAGCGAGTATTGATTGCCCGTCAAGCCCGTATCCGCCTGTAAACCGAAAGTCGCACCGTAGCCCAGTACTGTCTTGTCAAGGATCTGTAGGAAGTACACCCAGGCAAGCACAACAAGCATGGTCTGATCGGTCTTTCGACAAATGCGCTTGCTGTCCTCCTCGGTCATGTGGACACGCTCGATACCGCTGTTGTCCACGGCCTTGTCACCCTTCTGCTGCTCGGCGGTCTCATTGTGGATAACATCTGGTTTGGACATGGCGTTGTCCATTGTGAAGGGCGTGTGAATGTGTAATTCTTCTTGGCCAGCTCCAAGGGATATATAGGGCATCCCACCCCACGCCCTCGTCATCTATTCCTTCTTCCCCGTGTTCCCCCACGTCTCCGCGTCCGCCACCAAAAGTCAAATCGAGATCAGCCCACAATAGTCAAGACCCTTAGCGAGTGAGGTTTGCCGTATGTCGACAAGGTTGTTTGCTCTCGACCAATCGTTTACAATCTCTCTCCTTTCCGAAAAATGCGGGGGACCCGGGTGTCTTTTCCCTTCGGCCATTGCCGAGGCAAACCGAAACTCGGGGTCGTGGGGGTGACCATTTTGCTTTCTTTCTCTTATGTGCTCGGGTACTGGAGAGACCGATCACTAAGGTCGGCCTTTGTTAGAGCCGTATCTGATCGTGGCGGCGTCCAACGTGCCGACTTATGCCCCGAGTAAGGGTGTCAGCCCAGATATATATCCATCACATGCCCTACTTCATTAGCCGTCGGTGATCAGTCTTGGTTCTGTCAGCCGCGATAGTCCAACCGTCTTGGGTATTTACTTAGAACATACTATCCAACGAACAAAGATGGAAGACACGATCAAGTTGGCTGAAGAACCCGAGTCTGACAGCCTCAGGCACGACTCACCCCACGCCAAGTTCTCCCACTCCCAATAACCTCGCTTGTACGAGAAGTATGGTCTACAGCCTACAATTGACAGCTGTTACCTAGACAAAACAATGCAAACTTCAGTATTCTCCATTACCCCAAACAAACTCAAAAATTGAGGAACCAGTTCAGATTTGATATCCCACTCCTAACTCCAAACCATAAGACTCAATCTCGAGCAGACACTACTCTAAAATTCACTTTTAGAGCGAGTCATGACCCAATTCTTAAGTGACCGGCAACTCTTACCATTCGGATCCCCATAACCCTCTGCTCTTGCGCCATAATCCCTCCTACAACAGGCGACGACGCGACACATCTGTGCGAATTCCATATTGGCGTAGAATCCCCCGTTTTCCTGCGAAGGATCGTAACGATTGTGACGCCTGTGCTCGAGAATGCTGACTATCCTGCGGCTGCTATTCATTGCACTAGCCTTCTCATTCTTACTTACCCCCGAAGGGGCTTGCTATGCGCCCGGGTAAACACAATTCGGCTGATATTCCGTGTCAATTGTTTCGCTTGATTCGCCTGGCAAACCTGAGAATACTGACTGTTCTTGTTCCAGCAATCCTTGGGGTACTTCCGGGCTCATGTTCACGTAATCATTGAATTCTCTGAGTAAGTTGTTAGATTTTGCTTTTTGCTTTTTGTACTGAGTTTTGGGGTTAATTCAATGATGGTGACGTTGTCTTTGGGCATTGTTTCGGTTGGTAGATGAGTTGTTTGGAAAATTGAGGTTCAATCTAATACGTTGAATATGGAGGAAAAAATGGTACTGCTAGGAATTGAGACTTGGAAAGGGGTTTAGATTGTTGGTTTGCTACATTTGACGTGAGAAGTTGGCAACTATGTTCAACTATTCATTCATTATAACTAGGGCGGTGATTGGACATTGTCAACAAGTGGCTGTACCAGCCATAGTGGCTTAATATTAAGATTATAGAACAATACTCAGTGTTGTACTCCCGCGGAGATGTGTGAACTTGACATAGATCCTTATCTTGCCAAGACCCTGAGTCTGATAACTGCATGAGCTGTGACTCGACAGAAGTCAACAAAAAGAAAACGATCGCCAATGCGATATCCTATCACAAATTTATCTTCAAATGATTGCCTGTAGTTCAATAATGCGGAATTTTTCTAACCCTTATGCCGGCAAGGGTCACGGAAGCTTGGAGAGATAAGCCTTATATTCGAGCAGATGAATAGATATATAACCATGCCATGGATATTGGTCCACCTCTGTTTACTTAGTAACGACCAGTGAAATCAATACCTTTTTCTCTCTTCCACAGCCGAGTGTGTCGCATACACAATGACATTCGACGCTTTCTCCCCTCGGGAGGTGACCGAGATGGTCTCAAATGCCGGAGTCCTCAAGGGAAACATGCGATTAGACAAGGTATTCATGAGCGCAGCCTCTGCGGGCGCTTTGCTTGCCTTTGCATGCGGGACTGCACTTAGCACGAATGCTACACCATGGTTCCAAACCAATGCCCCCGGTTTGATGCGAACTATCAGCGCATTGGTCTTCCCCTATGGCTTGTGCATGATCTTGTTGACAGGCGCAGAGCTTTGCACGGGCTCTTTCATGGTATGATATAGCTGGGGTGACATACTCAATGACCGAATTATATTGTGGCTAACATGCGTATTCCAGTTTACCACAACAGCCGCACTCCACAGACGCCTACCGTGGACAAAGATGTTGATTCACTGGGTAGTAACATTCCTCGGCAACCTAGCCGGATCTCTATTCATCGTGGCCATTATCTTCGGATGTAAGTATCCAATCCGCCCAGCTGTCGCGTTTCATATCGACGTGGCTAACAACAGAATCGAACAACATAGACGGCAACGTATTCTCAGCAGAACCATTCAAATCAGCAGTAATCTCGTTCGCAACCAAAAAGCAAGTAACACCCGAATTCCACATGATCTTCTTGCGTGGCATCGGATGCAACTGGCTAGTATGTCTAGCATGCTTTTTCAGCTGCAAGGCCGCGACCTAGCATCAAAAGTGATTGGCATCTGGTGGCCCACATTTGCATTCGTTTCTCTGGGTTTCGACCACGTTGTTGCCAATATGACGTTCATCCCGATGGCTATCTGGGTCGGAGCGCCGGATATTAGTGTGGGTCTATACATCTGGAAGGGCATCATTCCAACCCTTCTAGGGAATATCGTTGGTGGCGGTGTGTTTTGTGGTAAGTCATTCTCTTCTTCTTTTTCTTCTAGAATATGTCAAATCTCCACAAACGGCTCGGGTTTCGGGTCCAGCTTCTAAAGCCGTTCTGGGTACTTTGTTGACGTGGGTATCGCGCACGTTCCTGTGCGGCTGTCGGAGGTTGCGGGTTTTGGAGCTATGCTTGGGCTGTTTGGATTCGGACTGACAGGTATAATAGGTACTTACTATTGGTATATGTACCTGCTTGACTTGAACTCTTTGCCTTTGTATGGCAAGAAGTGTTTTGATAGCCCGCTTCAGTCGGAGCAGGCGACGCTGAAGGAGACCGATATTGAGGCTTCGGCTGGTGTCATTGATCATGAAACGCGCACAAATGCGTAGAGAGACTCACTCGCTGAAATGGGGCTGAGTAGGTAAATTTGAACTGCAATATGTCCTAACAGTTATGACAACTTAATTTAATCACGATCGCTCGGCTCTTTGAGGTCTTGTAATTGCCCATTTTGCGTGAACGCCGAGGTCGTGGCCGATTTAACAATCCAAAAGACCCGGAGATAGTTGCGACCAGAAGTAATATTCAACAACACCGGTTTGATACCGGGCAATTCGCATCGGGGACTAGAGTGTGTTGGGTTGGCGTTGTGGTTTAACGGCGTTTGATGAACTTCCGGAGGCCTTGGGTTGATCCCCAAACAACATTCCACCCCTGACCACACAATCTCCGTCGAATAATTGTCGCGAGTGATATGAGTCGCTCGTGCTTGCGAGTATACGGCAACATGTTGCGCAATACCTTCTCTGCCAATGTCGGGGTAGCAGCCGACCAGCCGTGACGACAAGCCGTCACTGAGAGTCGTTTCACTGAAGCATAGCGCGGGCCAGATGCTATATTTCAAGTTGATGTGACGCGATATTCACTGAGGAAAATTGTCTCTGCACCCCCAGTCACACCAAAAAGAGATTACTATGCGTGTGCGAGGTGATTTCGACGCCCATCAACAGCGACCGGTCGCGACCGATCGACGCGACGAGCCGAGAAACTACAACCCTACGACATCTAGAGAAATGCCGAGTAGCTGTATATATAAGGATCGATGTCCTCTCATTCGGGGAATTTAAACTAACTATCCAAGCCACAGGATACATACTCCTCTAACGACACTCCACTTGTGTTTAAGTAGTATCACATCTCTATCATCATGGCTCCCGGTCTCGTGGATTCAAGTGCTTTCCCACAGCCTACACCGAAGCCAGTCAAGTTATCTGTCTTTCCAGATGGATACAAAACATCTGGACAACACCCTCCTATCTATTCACAAGTCCGCCCCTACGCCGACTTCCCCAAAGTCCTAGCGGGACCCACACTGTGGAAGGCTGAGGACTATCGCAACAACCCCGAGTCATGGACGCATACATTCACATCTGAAGAGATCGAAGAGATAAGCAATGCCACCGAAGACTTCATCAAGAGCGGAGCTCCTTTGACTGGCATTTCAAAGGTACGGTCGACTGGACAGGGCGGAGAAAACTCGTATTGACCTTCTCCAGGCGAACTTCCACCTCCCAAAGTTATCCAACCGAATGGAAGAGCTTCGAAGAGACCTCATTGATGGCAAGGGATTCTTCCTTTTCCGAGGTCTTCCCGTCCAAGAATGGGATCTCCAAAAGTGCGCGACAGCGTATATGGGCCTGGGCACATACCTAGGTTACTTTGTCAGCCAGAATGGACGAGGCCATGTCCTCGGACACGTCAAGGATCTCGGAGAAGATCCCACCAAAACTGATAGAGTCCGCATCTATCGAACCAATGCTCGGTATGAAAGTCCGAGAAGCCACCCAATCGAATCCAAAATTTAACCATCCCTCAGGCAATACTTCCACACAGACGGAGCAGATTTCGTCGGCCTCCTCTGCGTAGCAAAATCAATGTCTGGCGGCGAATCCGACATTTCATCCACCCACCACGTCTTCAACGTCTTACAAGAACGCTACCCAGATGTAGCCCGAACAATGTGCGAACCAAACTGGTACTTCGACCGTAAAGGCGAAGTATCCGAAGGCGAAGAACAATGGATTCGCGGTAGTATCTTCTACCTCGAAAACGACCGCAGCAGCAACCCCCGCGTCTACGCCAAATTCGACCCTATGAACGTGACCTCACTTGCACGATTCAACTCGGGTCCTGACGCGCGCATTCCTCCGCTATCTGATCAACAGAAATACGCACTGGAGGTCTTTGAGAAGGTCTGTGCGGAGCTTTCTTTGCATATGATTCTTGCGCCTGGTGATATTCAGTTCTTGAGTAATGCGCAGGTCTTCCATGCGAGAACTGCTTATACGGATCATCCTCCTGGCGCTGTTGATGAGCAGGGTCGGCCGGCTCGGCGTCGTCATTTGATGAGGCTTTGGTTGGCTGCGCCTGAGTCTGAGGGTGGTTGGAAGCTTCCTTATCATGATACATTGGAGAAGAAACGGGGCGGGATTCAGGTTAATGATACGCCTCCTGTTTGTCCTTTGGATGCGGAGTGAGGGCTATTTCTGTATGTGTTATAGTATATGTTGCCATGCGATAGCCCTTCCGTTCCATATTGGTCGAACACAAATGAAGTTGCATATATTCCTAGGCCGTAAGTTCCTTCACACTCCCGCTTGTATATAAACATCCGTAAATCAAGGTACCCGGAAATTGACAAAGAAGAGGTCAAGACAGGCCAAAGTAGGGCGAAAACAATTGCGTCGAGGCTGGGGTTGGTGTAGAGACTGTCCAATACTTTATGGCACTGTATACACACTTATGACCCATGTTGTAGTGTTGCGATATGATTTGCCGCGAGTACAAAATAGCACAGATAGAAAGCAGAATACTACATCTATATACATCTCCCCAGATATGTACAAAAACCGAACCCCAAGCCCCAAACTCATTCAATCACCCCTGCTGCGGAAACGGAAAAACAGGTAACCAAGGCTCCGTCTGCATAACAGGATACCCACCAGCCCAAGGCAAAAGCCCGGCGCCATCAATCCCAGATCCGACAGCCGTATCAGCAGGCTGCCACGCCCAACCCAAATCAGACATAAAAAGCGTCTGTAACTCCTCGAGACTCGCCTGCCCAGCATCAAGCTCATTCCCACCTAACAGTCTCCCGTCACTGACCCGCGCTGAAGACCGCTCGATATCGGCATGCGGGTCTGAGCGGACGCTGTTCGGGTCGGAGGATGTGCCGGATTTTTCGGGGGCGTGGCGTTCGGGTATTGTTTTGCGGGCCATGCGGAAGATTGTTAGTGGGTTTAAGACGTAGTCTGGGGCGCTTTGGGCCGGTGTTCCTGATATGCTTTCGCTATAGGTTGAGTGTTAGTATGTGCAGTTTGGGGTTGGGAAGGTGTTTGTTAGTACCTTGTGTCCTCTTCTTCGTCTGGGTGGTATGGATCGTCAGGGATAATGTTGTGTGTTACCACCTCGGACTCGATACCAGATCTGTCCAGCATTGTCTCTGCTGCGCAACCCTGGAAGAGAAGATTGAATGTTAGTAACTTTAACATCGGTTGTAGCCAATTATAGCCAATGAGGAAAACAGAGAAGGTCTCAACTTACCAGCGTGTTAGCAATCGCATTTAGAGAACCCATAGATTTAAGGGCCGCAATATTACTCCGCAACAAAGGGATAGTCGCCAAAATAAGCGCCTTTGTACTCTCCTCTCGGGGATCAAGAATCTGAGTAAGGTGATAAACAATAATCCGACAACTATCATAGGTGATAGTAGGAAGCCAAGAATCCGCCAGCATCCGAGGACCATGGTGCGCCGTCTGACCAACGATAGTAGCCAAAGCGCGAGCAGCATCAAACAGAACCTGCTGCAGATGTTGAAGAAAGTCGTGCTGTTCTGGGGGAAGTCGAAGGCTGCTCGGAGTTTGTAGAGAGCTGGTGCTCCTAGTCGATACAAGTCACAAATCGTTTGATAATGCGCACAATGTAAAACACACAGAGCGCCTAGTTGGGATGTGTCTTTGCGAATGTAGATTGCATCTGGTGTAAACTGAAGACTGGCTGGGAGGGATTCGTACCATGCTCGGCAGTCTGCATCCAAGAGGGCGAATTCGGATTCTGGGGACCATGGCACCATGGCATCTCCTAGGTGTTTGATGTATCTATTTAGATGTTTGTCAGATTTATGTGATGTTTCATAGAAGCCTTCTTATACATACCGTAGAACCCTCTTACGAAGTGCGATATGTCGAATGAAATATGCCATTATTCCCATGTTGGGCGACAGAGACTTATTATCTGGATCTCCGGGAAGAAGTTTGAGTCGATTTCCAGGATTCAAGGTTTCAGTAAGGCATGGAACTTGTTGGGTGAAGTTTCGCTCGTTGCATGGAAGCTGAATTTTGATGTCCCTCTCGTCCATCAGTGTGAGTTGGTCAACTCCGCTGCCGACGAGAGCGTCCATGATATAGCAACTCCACATCAGCCGACGGCGAGACTCTCTTGCGGTCACTGGAAGATTGGATTCAGCTTCTTGACACAGTATGTCTGTGTTGTATTCCAGATTGATTTGCAAAGCTTGTGTCATCCTCGTGGTGATTCCACTTAACATAAATGCGTTCGAGAAGTTTCCTAAGCGAACGGCATAATCATGGAGAAGGACAGCTGCCTAGAATAATGTCAGGATTGCTCAAACTTTTCTTATGCTGGCACATACCATTAGGTTTTCGATAGTGACAGAATCTAAGGCCTCCAGGATGATACGTTGCGCAATCTTGGCCCATTCAGCCCCTGCATGGAGAACGAACTTCGATTCCAGAGGAGCTATAGTCTCACTGTATGTGAGGGCAAAGAATCTTTCACTTTGTTAACTTGCGGCCAGCTATCGGAATAAGGGCTGTGAATCGTACTGAGCTCCCAATGCACAGACAATATGCAGCAAAGCATGATTGTTACCGCTCTTCGCAAGTTCCCCATCTAGCCTTTGTAGAAATAAGGGCTTATGCATAAAAGCAAAAGCGCGTAGCGGATGAACATTGTTAAAGTATTCCTCGACTAGCACCCTCGTCCGTGACGGGTTGGGTAGATGCCGTGAAGACAGCCTTATGTCTGTCAGATCAAGTTCAAAATTTGCTCCAGAGCACGTAAGTATCTCACCAGTCTAAGGGGGATGATGAAGTCTCAGTAAATGTAGGTTCAACTATCGAAAAGGGCTGCTGTGAGATTGGCGGAGTTTCCAATAATCTCCGTACATCCTGCCGCGCAGGGGTATAACTAGGAGACCCATCAACCGGCGGCTCTAAGGATGGCGACTTCTGACTATGTGTTGATATCACATTAACCCTCCGCACCCAAGTAGGCTGCGAAGCCTCAGCGAAGACACATTGTAAATTCTTATCCTGGCATCGTTGACACGTTGGTCTCTCGCCTGAGCATTTCGTTTTCGATACACGACAAGCGGCACAAGAACGATACGTTCGCTTCCTTTTCGAGCGGTCCAACTGATCGATCGCACTCTCCGATGCATGCGACCTCGGCGGCGTGGAATAACCCGAGCAGACCAGTCGCAACCGAGCACAGTTGCCACATTCGCCTGGTCGTTCATCACACTTGACCTGCAAAGTAGATTTAATTATCAGAATGCTGCATCGCCTCGCGCATAGGGCTCATCTCTCACTTTGCGGGCGCGACATGTGCGGCAACCTATGCATGTTAGCTGCATGCCTTGTATTCGGCGTGATCACTTACCGAACCGCGATCGTGAAGACTTGTTTGAACCCATACCATTCAGCAAGGGGGTATCTCTCAGCATTCAACTACATTGAGAAGCATAAAAGTTTTCGGGCTGTCGGCTGGGTCGGCTCTATTACGAGATCTGCACGTTGAATGACGAGATCGAAAGTGTGGGGTAATGTCAATTCGAAACAAACATGTCAAATTGAATATCTAACTAATAACCTAAACATCAAGATATGCTGTACAGTTATCTCGATTTCCTGCAACTCGGCTTTTGCGTGGTTTGGGATCATGCATGGGTTACTAACGGGTGTTTACTTCGGCTTTTGCGGTCGCAACATGAGCCAAGCAGTCGGAGTCGGGCTTTGGGCGAAGCGCTGTCTGCTGTATAATAAACAAACGCATTCTTTCTACAATGAAAACACAAAGAGTATTGTTTGATCCAACTGAAGCGACAGATATACTCTCGAGATGGCCGAGCAACCCCAGTTGACGCTGTACCGAGGGTTTCCCGGATCCGACGAATATACCTGGTCGCCCTTCGTCACAAAAATTGAGCTTCGTCTACGATTTTCTGCTCTCAAATATTCTAAGCAGGCCGGTTCGCCTCGTGATGGTCCTCGTGGCAAAATTCCATACCTTACACTCGCGCAACCCGATGGATCGGAAACGCAAACACTTTCCGACTCAAGTCTTATGATCAGAAATCTTGTTGAGAAAGGGTTAATCGAAGATTTAAATGGATCCTTGAGTCCCCGGGCAAGGACACACGACCTAGGATTGCGTGCCTTACTAGAAGAACGGCTATATTTCCTAACGGCAAGTAATGGACTAGCTATGTGATCCGTGATGCTAACCATCGATATAGTGTCATGAAAAATGGTTCGAGAATTACTATACCATGCGAGATCACGTCCTAGGATCGATACCTTACCCGTTGCGTGTCGGAGTAGGGTTGTTGGTGTATCGAAATATGGCCCAGACACTCTATGGCCAAGGAACACTTCGCTTCACGGATGATGAGATTGCCTCGATGCGACGAGACATCTGGGAAGAGATAAGCTCATTGCTTATCTCTTCAAAGTCTGCATCAAAGAACGCAGAACAAAATCAGGTCTTCTGGCTGCTTGGTGGAGATACACCGACTGAAGCAGATGCGGTCTGTTTCGGCTTTATTGTTGCGGCTTTGACTTCTACCGCGTAAGTTCCTGTCCTCACGCTTTTGTGCAATAGAAGCTCATTATTCCAGGTGTCCCAAGGCGCAGAAGGTTGTCAAGAGTCTGCCCGTTGTGGTCGAATATGCGCGCCGTATTCATGATCGATTCTTCCCTGAATATATGCTTTGGGAGTGAGTTGATTCAGGCACTGTTTTGAGGAGGGAATGTTGTGAGATTCAGGTGCATAGTAAATCCCTGCAAAAGAGTCGAGCCTGATATTGTGTTGATGTGGCGAGGTCTTTGCAGCATAGAGTGCTGTTCCTGATGGGTTCTGAGAGCAGGTTTCACAAATCAGCGTGTAATGTTGATAATGAGTAGCCTACTTAGCAAATTTCAGCCAGCCAATATTAGTTTGTTTGTGTCATATCCAGATGGAGTAAAGGGACAACACGACAGCGTGGAGATAAATATAGTGCCCGATATATCCAGACCGAGAGACACACCGCCCTGTCCGGCCCCACGCACAACATTGACATCTCCACCGCGTGGTCTCCATTGCAGATCACAAATTCCAGTTCTTAATGTCGAGATGGGCTCTAAAACACTTGAAAATGGGGGCCAGGGAGGTGAATGTGAGTCCCTCACTACCCAACACTGTCTTAGACTAGATATTGATTCCCAACAGATGCTCCTCCCAGCTCTACTAAGCCCAATGCCACTGGTGGAGAACCGCGTGGAACCCATCTGTCCCGCGATGGCGATGGTACCCTCGGGGATGACGATGGCGGTGATGACGGCGACAGCGACCATGCCGCCGGTGCTGTTACCTTGCCGTTGACACCCGACTCCGCGTCTCCGGCTAAATCCCAAAAGAAGAAACGAAAGAAGCCTAAGAAGAAGTCTTCTTCCAAGCAATCTTCACCACCACGAGTCCCTCTCACCAAACTATTCCCTGCCGGCAAGTACCCGACTGGTGAATTGCTGAAATATGCGCCTGTCGAGAATACGGCTCGCACCACGGGTGAGGAGGTCCGATATGAGTCTCGTAATCGCCTTGAAGACGAAACTTTCCTGAACGACTATCGCAAGGCAGCGGAGATTCACCGTCAGGTCCGACACTGGACGCAGCAGAACGTCGCCCCGGGTCAGACACTCACGGAGATTGCCGTGGGCATCGAAGACGGCGTGAGAGCGCTGCTCGATAACGATGGTCTTGGTACCGGGGATTGTCTCGTGTCTGGCATGGGATTCCCGACTGGTCTTGCGCTGAACAATTGTGTTGCGCATTACACACCCAACCCCGGTCAGAAAGAAGTGATTCTCAAATCGAGCGACGTGATGAAGGTCGATTTTGGAGTTCATATCAATGGCTGGATCGTTGACAGTGCTTTCACCATGTCATTTGAACCAACCTACGACAATCTGCTTGCTGCTGTCAAGGATGCAACGAATACTGGTATTCAGGTAAATCAACCTTTTTCCTCAAAGCCAATGTTATGACTGACAGTCCCAGAATGCTGGAATTGACGTTCGTATTAGCGATGTCAGCGCTGCCATCCAGGAAGCGATGGAAAGCTACGAGGTTGAGATCAATGGTAAATCGATCCCGGTTAAGGCAGTGCGAGGTCTCAGTGGTCACAACATTGATCGATATCGCATCCATGGTGGCAAATCCATTCCATTTGTCAAGAACAACGACAACACCAAAATGGAGGAGGGAGAGGTCTTTGCTATCGAAACATTCGGCACAACTGGCCGAGGCCACATGTTCGATGGTGTACGTTTTTTTTCCCTCCTAGCTTTGATCATTTTATGCGTCCATATACTGACAATAATCTAGATTGGTATCTACGGATATGGAAAAGACCCATTCGCGCCGAAGAAGATCAAGACCCATCTCGCCAGTGCCAATTCCCTGTATCAGAAGATCAACGAGAACTTTGGCTCTATTGTCTTTTGTCGCCGTTATCTCGAACGGCTGGGCGTTGAGCGTTATCTGGCTGGCGTGAGTTATCATATTTATAGCTGTGAAGCCAGACAATCCTCTAACTCTCAACAGATGAACACTCTTGTGAATAATGGAGTCGTTGAAGCCTATAAGCCGCTTATGGACGTCGAAGGTTCCTATTCCGCACAGTTTGAACATGTGAGTGCGCCATTGGCCTATACACTCATCCAAAGTACTAACCACTCTAGACAATTCTGCTGCGCGGATCAAACAAGGAAGTCATCAGCCGCGGCGATGACTATTGAGCCCTCTAAGGTGCTCACCGGAGCATAAAGCTCCTGCCACTCATTTACATTGCTATTCCTGTTTTGTATGCCGTTCAACACGCGTCATCGCATTTCAATTCTACTGCATCTATTCAACATGATGCAATTAAGTCAAATTTCATCAAATTTTGCCTCGGTTCAAACTGAATTGTCCCAAATTCAGCCCAACTCAGCAGATATCGCTATCAAACTTGATTGTAAGACTTAGTAGAACTCTTATCTCAAGACATGAGTGCCAATACTCAGATCCACCACTGGAATGTACATGTCCCTGCAAAGCCAGAAAATTACGACATAGCCACGCGCTACTCCCGACGCCCAGAGAACCTGGGACAGTGAAGAACGGCTCGCACCAATCAAAGCCGATCAACGCGGTTACAGGCTTGCTTTGCATGGCCAGAAGTCGTAACATTCCGGCGGGCTGCTGCATGTCAGCGCCACATTCTTGGATGTGCGGGGGCGTAGCCCGGCATCGTCATAATGGTAGACGATACAGGAACTATTGGCAAATAGTTTGACAAAATATCCACGAATTGTCCTACATGTGTATGATATCCTTGTCCATTTTGGAGGCTAGGCTCTTGCCGCTTTTTGCTTACTTGTAGAGTTGAGCACGCCTCTAAGCGAGTCGGGTTGCCGCGGTCCATGCCGGTGGTCGCTTAAGTCCAAATTGGATTTAGCGGCTGAGTGATCTACGTTTATTCAAGTGGAAATTTTATTCAATAAATGCATTGTATTGTTTTAGGCTCCTACATAATTCAACCCGGCTCACCCATGTAGCATAGTTTCGTTCTTTAGATACACTCAGTCTTCAAGCTAACAAGAGTGACATCAGCCTCAAAGCACTGCTTCTTACTATCCACACTGAAAGTCTCAAAGAGGGTAGACTCATTGCAGCCAGCGGCAGTGTAGGTGTTCAACACGGCAGAGGTACCGTCGCCGCAGGAGCCGGACTCAACGTAGGCAGTGAATGATTTGATCGGGAAGTTCTCAACGTTGATGCAGGATCCGGCGTAGGCGTTGGCGGAGTCGATGCTTGGGATGGCGCAGTCGGCGTAGAAGTAGCCTGCGTAACCGATTATGGGGCTTGCGACTCCTGCCAATGTGAGGGCGGAGATGAGAGTCATTGCCTACTTGTTATGTTAGATTTCAATGTTTCTATTGTAGTTGTGTGGCTCTTATCGTTTTGATATTGTTCAGTGCATACCTTGGTCATCATCTTGAAGGGAAGTAAAACTGTTATTCTATATTCCCTTTAAAACGGAGGGGAATAGTTAACTCTTTATATGTCCATCCTGACCTTCCTACTTCCTGCACTAGATTCGATAAGAAACACTAGCTAACAAAGCTTGACCTCGTTAGGAAACTGTTCGATTCTCAGCTGAGGTGCAATAGCTCTAGATCATGGGGAGCTGACGACTATCGTATGTTCAATGCTGCGATGTTTCCACTTCAAGGCCATGGAAGTGTTTGCTACTGCAGATCGACAAGGTTTGTAGCTTCTTACGGTTAGTGGTTTGGTCTCCTGTCAGCGTATGGCGTTGTGGGGACGAACTGTTACATTTTGCTCACTGCCCTGCGAGGCCTATGGCTCCATATATTCCACCACAGTACGGTAGCAGTCACCTACCTTGCGACAGGCTTCAGTAGTGTCGCTTGTTATTGGTTATTAACTGATGCTTTATCCAGGCACTATGGTGCAGTTAGTGAACTACTTTCAGAAATCATCCATCTTCTTGAAACGGCGGTCCACGAACATATCAGTAGTAAGACTCAGGCGGACCAATTTAGGAAACTGGTGTCAATAGAAAGTATCGCTTATGGTTGCCTGTTACTTCTCGATTATGTAATGCTTAGAAGGATCGTGGTGAACCGTTTGGGTTCGTGCCGAAGCGGTGAATCAGAAATGGATCGGGCATTATAACAATTACCGAGCTGAGTATCTGTACTGGGAATTACACAGTGATTGTGTCTTTTGGTGTTCTCGCAAAAGCGGCAGCTCCAAGAAACGTACCGAGTAAAGCCCCCGCCGGGGCACCTAGGGGCTGAAACCACTTTAATTTCTCCGCCTTGGTAGGACTATATATCGAATCGAACCCCATTGGGCCATGTAAAAAGCAATTCCAGGGTTGACTTTCCTGAAGGAACTCCAGGATGATTTTCAACATTTGTTCCTTCTTCGGTTTACTTGCGTTCTGCAGTCAGGCTATAGCATGGACCAACCCGATCCGAAACCCGGGTGGAAGTGACCCGTTTGTTGTCTATACTGGTGGATATTACTATCTTCTCACTACCACGTGGAGCGACGTTGAAATTGCGCGTTCGACAACTGTGGCGGGGCTTGAAACGGCAACTAAGAAAGTGGTGTATACCACGACGGCTACATCACACTGCTGCAACGTGTGGGCTCCCGAGGTTCACTACCTTGGCGGCAAATGGTACATCTACTACACTGCGGGCGAGAGTACAGATCTCGATGGGCAGCGGCTCCATGTTCTCACGGGTACTTTCCTCTTATCAATTTCATTCCAATTCAAATGCAACGTTTCTAACAGTGGACAGGCGGTGCTACCCCCTGGGATACCTATACCTACAGCGGACAATTGACAAATGAATGGTCCATCGATGCCTCAGTCCTTCGATTCAATGACTACGGGAACTACTTGATGTTCTCCTGTTTCCACGGCGTGACCTACCAATCAATTTGCCTTCAAAAGCTAGGATCGGACTATGTCTCTTTGACCGGCAGCATATATGTGATCTCACAACCTGATCAACCATGGGAGAAGAACGGCACGCCCGTCAACGAAGGACCTGTTGCGCTTTACTTCGGCGGTAAGACATATATCACCTACTCGGCATCCTACTGCTGGACTGCCAACTACTGCCTGGGTACCTTGGAATGGGACGGCAGCACAGCCCCCACTTCAGCGAGTGCTTGGACCAAGAGTAGTAAATGTGTCTTCTCCTCGGCCAATGGGAACTATGGAACTGGCCACAATTCGTTCTTCACAAGTCCGGACGGCTCGCAGACTTGGATTGCATATCATGCTACCACCACTAGCACTGGCGCCTGCGACGATAGTCGGTACACTATGATCCAACTATTGGGGACGCACAGTGACGGTAGTCCGAACTTTGGAACTCCGGTGGCGTGGGGACATGCTTATAGTGAGCCAAGTTGAAAATAGAGAGGTCGAACAATTGCGCGGAGTGCCGTTGTCATTGTGTCCATCATCTGATGCTCCCTGATTTGGTAATAGAAGGTCATCGAACAGTAAGCAGTGCGTGGTGTGAGCAGAACCAATCCCAAGCGAAGTAAGGCTGCCGGTGTCTCATAGTGGTGAATATATATAGTGAAATGGGGATGGCTCGATGGCAGTCTGATATAGCAGACGGGTCGATATCAATGGAGAGAAGACAACCAACCACTCCTATGCCCACCGTAGGCGTAGGAAGTAGTCTCAGGAAGCGACTGAAGTACTGATCTTGAAAATATATCATGAATGAAGAATCTGGTGGAAAAACTTTAGTCATATTGATGATGGATGGATGCTATCCCTAGAAGGAGAAGACTGCATGCAAGCTTCCTAGGGCATTTGCGACACCTTAGGCCAATAATACGCTACAGTCACGGGTTCCACCACTACAATAGTGAGAAAACTGCTGCTAGTATTTGTTACTTTCGATAGCGTAGATGGGACGATGGACACAAGTGGATATATATATTGCAATATGTGAACAATAAAAGGAGATAAATACTAGTTAATATTACCGAGATGCAGACTCATTATTTCTCATGATTTGACTTCAACCATTTGATAAAGTTTGTAGTGAGTTTCATGCCGCGAGCTTAGATTTTACTTGGATCGAGGAGCATATGAGCATTTTCACTCTGCTTTTGCGTGCTTCTCAAAGTCATGAGCCAAACTCAACACCTCCTCCGTTTTGAGGTGGATTACTGAATTTCAATATCTCGATAGTACTCTAACAAGGGAGCATTTTCTTTTCAATAGTCGAATTGTGATTGCTATTACGAAGACTCGGACAATTGCAAGGCTTAAGGTCCGTTCCGCCCGCATTTTTTGGCGCTCTCTTATCTCGTCCCTGTAGACTTTTAAATGGTTTACTTAACTCGAACATACCTGATGAGGTAGAGGGAATGGAAAACATAGGAATTTTCATGACGCGTGCCCGTCTTGGCATAGGGCGGAATGGGCAGGGGGGAACGATCTTCCGCTGGATCCTAAGTGACGTCCTGCCAAGCTTGCTTCGCCCCAACCTTCCTAGCTTCATGGTTTGTTAGTCTTCTACTTTGTTTTTGTAAAGCTTTTTTTTATCCCCTGGATTTATACCATTTTGGGAGTGGAGATCTAACCTGCTGTTTCAAATTATTGACCAACTGGAGGGTTTCCACAGCAGATCATCAAGGTACTATAGGCTGGGTCCACTTCAGCTGCGAGATAACTTGCATTCATGATAGATCGCGTTCCTTGCATGCTAAGGCTTCTCCTGATGCAATTTGATCATCTTCAGGCATCATCGGCCAAGAATTAAAATAGCGGAAACAGGAAAAGCTCCAATGATTGCGCTGTGGCGGAATGATTGAGTTCCGAGTCTGACCAACGATTTGATGCATGACGATCGAAGCTCAGAGGCCAGTATTAGTCACAAGGGTCTGACGGGTCGATCATTTCAGCGGCTGATCGGCGTCAATGGCTTCGCACGCGTACTCGTCACCGTCCTTGATTGGCATTTGATTTGAAACATCTCATAGTAGGAAACTATACGCTCCTGGGGGCTTGGCCCCACCCGCGCGGCCCAGGAGATATTCGGGATCTGCTCTTCCCCAGAGGATCTGGATGCCATTGTAGTTGACCACGTACGCAATCATCCATGTGTCCTCGCCAAGAATGCAGGAGGTTAGGAGACGGCTCATGCATGGGATACGTTGAAGAGCACAACTGAGGTTCATAAAGCAGCTTGTCTCCGAGTGTTTGGGAGATCAGATCAAGAACTATTCTTTCCAAACACACAGACACATCATCTTTGAAACATCTTTGTCTACACTATTTTCAATCCGGCGTCTTTAGAAGACCATACCATCATGTTGGTCGCACACTCTACCACAACTCCCAACCTCTGCTCAGAGCACCGCAAGCAAACAGCACCTGCTCCTACACCATCAGCCATGTCAACTCGGCTGTTCAACAAGCTCGATACTGTCCACCAAATTGAAGAAGCCCACATCCTCCATCTCTCACGACAGGTTGAGATTGGCATGCAGTTATTCCCCAAAGAAAACATCAGACTGCACCCCGTTGCTGGCGGTGGCGTGTCTGCTCTCACAACTCCTCAGCTCGGCAAACAACTAAATCGCACTCTTGGCCTAGGCATGAAGGGCATGGTCACCGAGGATGATCTCTCCAACATTGAAGCCTTGCACGAAGAAGCAAGCCTCACACCAACCATCCTGCTCTGCCCATATGCCGACCAGAGTGTGCTCCAAGCACTTGCCATGCGCAACTACGTGGTCGACGGCTTCCTCAACATCTACGCTCGTTCTCTACATGAAATCCACGTGGACTTTGATCCAAACATGGACGCACCTGCCGAACTTCCCTTTGGATCCAACATGCTTGTCTGCCGTGCTCCCGCCAACGAGGCAGGCATGGGAGCCTTCATCCACGCCTCAGTCGCTGGGTTCAAGGATGACGGCCGATCAGATGAAGTTCTTCGCAGCTTAGCCGAAACAGCAGCATTGAGATCCGACACAAACCTTTACTTCGGCAAGATTGATGGTCAAATTGCTGGTTGTGGAGCGATGGCATTGATGGAGACCAAGTATGGACGTGTCGCACATCTCTATATCGACAGCACAACGCCAAACTTCCGCGGTCGTGGTGTCCAGCAAGCACTGATCCGGGCTCGTCTCATCGACGCAAAGCGCCTAGGCTACGATTTCGCCACTATCCACGCCCGCCCCGGTATTGGAACAGGTCGCAACGCCGAGAAGGAAGGATTCGGACTCGCGTTCACTAAGCCCATCCTGACCAAGAAAACCAACTAAGGGGCCCTTGGTCGCGGTGATTTGCATCTGATCCCCACTTGCTCTCTTATTCGAATTTGCATCTTGTACACATAATTCAGGGGTCCATTCTCCAGAAAGGGATTTGGTACCTCGATCTTCATTTTCAGGCGTTTCATATTTTGGTCTAGAAGAAAAACCCTGGCGTTCGTTTTCTTTCTCAGGGTTGGTTTGTATATACTTGGAGTTGGATATTTGTTTAGAACCTACAATGAGGCTGATGGCTCTTATACACTCAATTGATGCAATTTTATTTTTATTTCCACTTTCTCAATTTGACATACTGTAGCCGCTGTCTTAGAAATCCCGAAATCCAAGTACATAAAACCGACTTTTCATACATATAGCCGAGAAACCCGGTTTAATGGATCAGGGGAATTATGCGCAGATGCTGTTATTGCTTATGCGAAACTAGTTGTTTCATATTGTTCAACAAGGGATAGCAGATGTGGGTCTACGTCGTAGATCATTCAATTGTCGGTGTCAACAAGTTTAATGTATTGGCAGGATATGCCAAACAACGGCTCCGTATTTCTTCTCTCAAAGCTTCAGTTGAGGGGAACACGTACCTACGGGCTATAGTATACATATACGTTACATGCATACTATTCAAACACCCTGGCCTTGGCTGAGATGATATTCAGGGGTGTACACAAGTGTGGAACATTTACCTCAGATGCGACATATTGCGTGCTTGTCGTAATAGAGTACGCAAGTCCTGGCTCCTTTTTATGTGAAAGACCATATTCAGGGTCTAGGAAAGTTGGGCTAGAAACCCCCTTGTGCGTTTCTAGCGCCTGGGTCTCGCGGGATGATGTCGATCAAGGATCTCCCGGACGGCGGACCGTTAACCCGAGCGTGGATCGATAGTTCGTCCGGTGGAAAATGCCAAGAGCTTGGATTCATCATCACGTTCCGTGACGGGTGTGGCGTATGAAGATCAAACTCAGGGTCCTTGATCTACAGTTGGCGCGATCGTGTGGATTAAGGTGCAAATAATTGTCTACGTGTAGTGGAGACCGCCACCAATGAAAATCATCAGTGAAAGTCGGTCTGCAAAGGGGTGTGTTTATAAATAGCAAATATTCTATTTTCTGTATGGCTCACATATGTGGTTTGGAGGTCTGTCGACGGAAAGTTGAGTTGAGAAGTTTGATCGACGGACTGGGGCCTATTATGTGACAAGAAGCAATGCAATGCGTGCAGGCTTGACGTACGCTTTACAGCAAGGAGTTGGAGGTTGGAATGCACATGTGCGTGGTTATTTGACAGGCTCTCCTTATCCTTCGGCAAACGTCGAGCATCTAGTTAGCTAACTAGCAAGATGGAAAGATATTGACTTCTCTGTCTAAATAGTAATAGCTCTTAATTTATTTGACTCGCAACTTGTCTCTCTACTTTAGTTAGAAACATTGCTCGGACAGGTGCTTCATAGGGTCTCCATTTATGGCAAGACATATCCTCCGTCAATTATCACATCACTTCCAGTCATGTAAGTGGAAGCATCACTGGCCAGGTACAAATATAATCCCTTGATCTCTTTTACATGACCCTGTCTTCCAAGCGACGACATACGGTACGCCTCGTGGACGGTTTGGGGGCTCGCACCCATCTTGGTATCGAAGAAGCCTGGCGAGACAATGTTGACACGTGCAAACTCCCGCCATTCACGGGCTAGTGACTTTCCAAAGTGGGTTACATATGCCTTGGTTGCATTATAGACGGGCTGATCAGTTGGGGCGTTCACAATGTGCGCACTCATGCTCGAGGTGATGATCAGATTGCCATAGCCCTGGCGTGCGAACACCTCGCCTGCATATTTCGCACAATAAACGATTCCATCGACTATAAAGGGGGTTAGTAAAGCGGTGATTTATCAATATAGGGAACATTCCCCTACCATTCACAGACATCTGCTTCCGGTATTCATCCAGGTTTTGTTCCAAAATGGGCTTTGAAATCGCCATGCCTTTTTGAAAATCAGCTGATTATCCAGTTGAACATTTCAGATTGCACCTACCAGCATTAGCAACGAATACATCCATCTTGCCAAAGTCCTTCACAACTTTGGCAATTGTTTCCGAGACTTGAGTAGAGTCCGAAACTTCATAGAGGTTAAACCTATGATCCCTTGTGGTTTGAGGCACTGGAACTGCTCACCATCAACCTTATATGCAGAAGCCTTGATACCATGCTGTTTTTCTAATTCCTGGGCCTTCTCAATGGCGACGTTATTTCTGGGGATGGTCAGCAACTTCAAATTAGACACCATCGGATCAGGCATAACCTACGAATTATACCACAGGGCAACATGGGCACCTGCTTCAGCCATAGCCTGCGAAATCGCATGACCAAGTCCATCGGCAGCGCCAGTGACGGCAACCACCTTCCCCTTCATTTGAAACTGCTCCATAACATTTGATGGCGTGTCGGGGAACGGCCGGGGGAAGCCGGGCCGGACTCTCGCACAATCTTCGAAGGTCATAGACATCTTGGTGGAGTTATATTGGTGCTATGAACATGTTCTGAGGAAGGTAGCCACATTGGGGGCCTGATCTTCTTTATAATGCCGCCAACTTGGAAGCGACATAACCGGACTGACCCACTATCGGTGCAGTGTTGGCCGAGATGTGCTGTATGGAGACATGTCAGAGTCTTATGATATTATACTTTTAGACTCGTCTTTAATACGGAACCTTTAGTCTTTTATCACGGATTGCTTAACTACGAAGTTCAACACAAGTAAAAGTAAGAAAGTATTGCATACACCCGACTCAGACGTTGTATTGGGAATCTGGGGGCATAATGCGGGGATTCTCGAGCAAGAAATGTGCCGTGTAATGTACTCTTTTATTTCATTTATCTACTTTATCAGCTTAGAAGTCAAAAATGATCTCGTTAATTATTGGAAAATGCCATTTCGGAGGCATTCTGCCTGTCTTAAGATGAGGGGAACTTCGTCGGTTCCCTGTGCCCCGAGATAGATGGGTCAAAACCCTGACAAATCAGCGTTTAAAGGGGAGATCTTGGCGAAAAGGTGTTCAGTGCGGTCGATCCCCTCGGTTTAGAGAATAGCGTAGTCAGCTGGAGCTGGTGGTATTCGTATCAAGGTAGATTGGACTATAATAATAACAAGATGCACGATATATATCGCAATCCTGAACAACACCCAACAATGCCATTTCTCTGAGAGAATATTAGCACCGAAAGGGTCCTCTGTATAGCACAGAATAGCATTCCATGATAGAAACAAATTTGCAGTGCTTTCAAGAGATGATCACTGCCTGGCTTCCCCGCGCCATAGTTCGGAATATCAAATATCCCGTGATCGGACGACAGTAGACCGATGCAATCATTCATGGAACCTGTAACGTCCACTCACTCACAGATTGTACTGTTGCGAAAGAATTACGTGTTCGAACTTTACGCGCCATCATATTGACTATTTTTTGGTATGACTGATCGTACACTGGTCGCCGGAATCCTCCGCTATGCCCAAGTCTAAGCCTGCAGCGTCCGGGTCTCACGATCTTCGAGCGGTATTTATTTTGGTTAATTTAATTACTTCAATTTAACTGACGAAGGACAGTGCACCGAATGCCGGGTGAGTATCACGACATACTTCTTATATGATCAACTAGTGACCGGAATGAGCAGAAACGCAAAAGCAAAGTATTGTGAAACTTGGCCCCTTATACTGTTTCCCCTATGTTGACCAAAACAAGTGCTCTGGAATATCACCTTGCTCTTACTGTACTCGAGCAAATAAGCGCTGTATTTTCGGGCCACCCCCATCCCGGACTCCACTAACGAGAAAGTATGTTACATATTACTATGATCAACTCATCACTGACACCATGTAGGAACCTGGACGCTATTGAACTTCGATGTGCAGGGTTAGTATCTTTGATACAGCGGCTGGACCCTGATGTTGACATAGAGTCTCTGCTGGAAACAATACTACGGAACCCTGATCAGGATTTTCAAGTATCTGCTGAAAGTTCTCGAAGTCTGAATCCTGGCCTGGAAAACAGTACTTTATCCGATCAAACTGAGTGGAATGAGAGCTCATTAATTTCTCCATCACAGACGCAAGATGTTCCGCTGGATGGAATGGCAACGTTGCCAAGTAGAAGGGCTGAATCTGGCTACCTTGGTAGGTCCACATGGTGGTCGGTCAGAACCAACACTAACTAGGGACCAGGAAATAGCTCGGGCTCTAACATCTTGAGGACTATCTCAGATCTTCTGCCCGTGAAGAGCCTCAGGTCGCGAGCGAGCCAACAGGGGCAGTCCTCACCTGCAGACACCAATCATACTGGTAGCCCGACAATGCCTATAAATCTCGCGGATACTACCACAATGAATGGTCTGATTGACGCATATTTTATGTGGTACAATCCATCTTACCCTATTATACACGAGAAAACCTTTAGAGAGGAATACCAAAATCGGCACCATATTCATCCTCGGTCAAGCTGGCATTCGATATTCTTTCTTGTGTTGGCGATTGGTCACTGGACATTGACTGAGGATTCTGAGGCCGAGCAGTCAAGATATTATACTGCTGCACGTTCACGCATGTCAATGCGGATGCTGGAGTCCGGAAATCTCCTTACTGTTCAAGCATTCTTATTAATGGTCTGTTAGCAGATGATGCCCGACTATCATATCGATTATATTTGCTGATTTAAAGATAGGGCAACTACCTACAAAAGAGGGATAGGCCAAACACAGGATATAACTTCATCGGTATCGCATATCGAATGGCACTCGGTCTGGGACTTCACCGAGAACCGCCTGGGGGAATGACAAGCTCCGAGCCCTTTTCCAATCAACGCCGACGAGTTATATGGTGGATTGCTTATTCCTTTGATAGTGGCTTCAGCTTCACTACGGGAAGGCCTATCATGGTATCTGATTCTTTCATTGAGACTAAGCTTCCACGAAACGTAGACGACTCGGTAAGTGTAAGACGTTGTTTTTGCAGTCACTATTTCACTAGTTCTGAGATCCCTATATAGACGTGCACGTTGGAGGCGGCTATTCCTGATGCAACTGAATACCCTACTTCCTACTCTGCGATTATTGCCCAATCTCGCATGGCATCAATTGGGAATGTTGTTTTCAGTGAGATAATTTCCTCCTCGAACCAAAGCCTCTTGGACCTGAGGATTTCGCGCTCTATCGACAACCAACTTAAAGCCTGGAAACTCTCACTCCCCTCTTACTTCGCGGTACAAAGTGTTCCAGAATGGTTCCGTGGCCCACGAGCGATTGTCCTATGGAAAGAAGAAAACATTCGATTGCTGCTATGGTGGGGTACTAAGCGAATGTGCACATCACCGTCTGATCACGAAGAGGCACAGAACATGTGCAACTTCACGGCAGTTGAGACGATTCAAGATATCTCAAACTTTTGTCGTGACAACTCGGAGATACTGCACACTGGCATTAGCTGGTATGCTACATACTACCTCTTCCAAGCGGCTGTTGTTCTGAGCATCCACCACCTTCGTCCTATCGGATCTATTAATAGAGGCTTAGGGGAGGTAAGTCAAGAGCTTTGGTTCTCTTCCATTACAAGATCTCGTGACTGTTTGGCTTCCTTGAGCCGAACCAATACGGCTGCAACGCGGTGTCTCGAGGTTCTTGAAAGAATAAGCGACCAACCTCAGCATGCCCAACACCACTCATCTTTGGCCTCAGAATCGCAGGCGAATCGTCAACCAGAAATTGTACAGCACGAAACTGTCCCCGGCGATGTAGAGGTTCCTTCCACGATGCTAGCTGTTGACCCTACACTTCAAATGCTTTTCGAGGATACTTTGTGGGATAAAGACCTTTTTCAAGGCCTCGATGGTTTTCCCAGCACAGGCGAGGGGGAAGCATTTGATTATGTTCCATCCAATGCTGACCAGGGGTGTCTCAGATCTTCAGACCCAGGCGGCCAGGATTTAAATTACACACAGTGAGCAAATGTAAATAACATACCGTACTGGGTGTGTGATTATCCGGTCCCGCGGGCCATAGGGTCAGAGTGCGCCGATAGACACGACATGAGATTTATCGGCGAAGAGTGCCCCGGGACTAAGATCATTTGTCGGCCTGTCAATGCCCGGGGTGGCTCTGGGGAACTTGTCCCCGCACCCCGGATTTCCTTGAAATACCTTGAACTTTATTTAGTATGCGTGCTTGTATAAAGCGATGTGACTATTCCTACCTACCCCTTCCTTCTATCACTGGCTTGTCCTTGGGCTGCATATCATCAAGCAAATATGGTTGCTCAAGATAATCCCTCGATTGGGGGACTAGATATCTCATACGGTCCATCAGGTCAGTTAATTTGTGGTTTCAACTGCCATTGAACACCAAGCTCATTGAAATGAATAGGCCTCAAGGGGCTTGTGAAAAGTCCTTATCTCCTTTCACAGGCATTGTTTTCTAGCATTGGAGGCTTACTTTATGGGTAAGTTGCACTTGTCCTTAGATCACTTTGTTCTGTTTTAATATGGAAGCCCTTCATAGTTACGACCAAGGTGTCATATCAGGAGTTATTGTGACGACAAGCTTTGTGAGGATTTTTTTCGTTTTCAATCTTCTAAACTTCAACTTTGCCTAGTCTAACCTAGCTTCTATCACGCCACTAGGGAAAAGAATTCCCTAAACTTGCAAGCGACCCAGGGCTTCAAGGCTGGATGGTTTCGGTCCTAACGCTGGGTGCCATGTTCGGTGCCTTTGTAAACGGCCCTATTGCCGACCGATTCTCTCGACGCTGGTCAATCTTATATGCTAACATAATCTTTCTGATCGGCTCAGCAATTCAGGCCGGCGCTGTGAACCTACCTATGATATTCATTGGGCGTTTTATTACGGGCGCGGCAATCGGCATGCTTTCGATGGTGATACCGCTATACCTGAGTGAGCTATCACCCCCAGAACTGCGTGGTAGTCTTGTTTCACTACAACAATTGGCCATCTCGTGTGGTATTATGGTTTCCTTTTGGATTGACTACGGGACACAATATATTGGCGGGACAGGTGATGGCCAGTCACAGGCTGCTTGGCGTTTACCTTTGGCCTTGCAATGTGTGCCTTCGCTGCTCCTGGCATGTGGCACTTTCATGTTGCCTTATAGCCCACGTTGGCTGATGAAAGTCGGTACGTTATAGATACGAAGGCTAATATGACCTGTCGTTTATTGCTGACTGGTTACCAAGACCGTGAAGAAGAGGCACGGGATGTCCTTTGCCGACTTCGCCGCGTCCCAGAATCTGACTATCGAATTCGCCTGGAGCTGTTGGAAATTAAAGCGGCGACTATATTTGAGCAAGAGAGCAGGGCAACAAAGTACCCGAACAGCAAGGGGAAACTTCAAGTAGCCATGCAGGAGTATAAGGATCTGTTTGTGCTGCGTCACCTTAACCGCCGCCTGTTCATCGCTTGCATGCTTCAATTTATCCAGCAGTTTACAGGTATGTGCTGCAATATCTGGTGGCGATCGAAAATCTCACAACAACAGGAATCAATGCCGTGATTTATTACGCTCCGACAATGTTTCAATCCGTACGCTGCCCCAAAGGTGGATTTGTCGAGATACTGATCAACCGTTTTTAGATCGGCCTTAGTGGAAACTCGGTCAACCTCCTCGCAACTGGTGTTGTGGGTATCATCCTATTTCTCTGTACCATTCCTACGGTTCTGTTTATCGACAGGTGAGTGCCCTCATCATATTAGTGAACGTATGCCTCCAATACTCATGGCTTCATCTTCAAGGTGGGGACGTCGTAAAATCCTGCTCTTAGGTGCAGCAGCAATGTCTATCTCCCAGCTCATTGTTGGCACTTTATATGCTGTGTATCGGAACCGTTGGGAAACAAATGTCAGTGCCGGATGGGCAGCAGCTATTTTCATTTGGGTCTATATCGCCAATTTCTCATACAGCATCGGTAAGCAATTTCCGGGGTTGGCTTCTAAGTACCTGGCTTATGGATTGATCAGGTTGTATCAACTGGATTATGCCCTCGGAGATTTTTCCTCCTGGTGTTCGTTCCAAGGGTGTGAGTATCGCTATTGCGACCAATTGGTTGACGAATGTAAGTTTCGCAAGCACCTAAGCCGTGGTATATCAATGACCTTTCTCAGTTCATCGTCGCTCTGATTACGCCGCGGATGCTCCAGTCAATCACATTTGGAACTTTCTATTTCTTCCTGGCATTTTGCGTAATCCTCTTCGTGTGGGTCATGTTCTTTGTCCCCGAAACAAAAGGGGTGCCGATCGAGGAAATGGACAAGATATTCGGTGGAAACCAGGGCCAGGCAGATATGCAGCGTATTACGGAAATTCGACACAGACTGGGTATTCTCTCTGCAGAAGAAATGGACTTAGCCAAGGCTAAGGAGGCGGATATAGACTATGCCATCGTGGAAGAACAGGAGTGAATAGCCGACGAAGCGCGGGTCACCTCCGAGGTACAAAGGTACATAAGTAGTCACTAGGTACCCAGGTAGTTAACTAAGATAAGTAAGCGAAACTTGTTAACAAAATATCTCATAAACGCCCCCCACGGGCTGACACGGCCCCAACGCTCTTTAGCGCCAGATCAACACTCACAACACCCCCGCATGTCAGACACATTGCCCACCATGGCCTCAAGTAACTCAAACTTTGACTCTTTGCAGCTTGTGAGCGAGAATATTTATCTACATGAACCTCATGAAAGTGTGGCTGGCCAGGTCACAGTTGACGGAGCGTCACCGTCAATAATCATCCTCTGCACTTGGAATGGCGGAGCAACCCCGCGGCGGATCAACAAATACATCACTCAATATCGCCAGATGTACCCAGGAGCCAGCATCCTTGTCATTACAACTACTATTTACGACACGGCATTCTGGCCGCTCCGCCTGATCCGCGCGCGTCTGCAACCAACTTGCCAAGTGATCCAACGGATTCTAGAAAAGTCGACCAATCCCGGCACTTTGCTTCATTTCTTCTCCAATGGCGGCGGTAGTATGGGTGCCCAACTGGCACTGGCAATGCAAGAGGGTGCCGACCAAGGCGCATTATTCCTCTCAAGTCTTCGTGGCGTAATCTTCGACTGTTGTCCCGGTGACGACAGCTTCGAGAAGACATATGGAGCCGTAAGACTGTCGATGGGCAAGGACACAATATCCCAACTCTACACGAAGACAATGCTCTATCCCTCGGTCGCTGTGGTTAAGATACTCCAGAACTCGGGTGTACTGCGCTCTATGCGGGACTTGCGTGAGTTACTCAATGATCCATCTACTTTTGGGAGACGGACAAGGAGGCTGTACATGTACACAAAAGAGGATAACATGGTTGGGTGGAGAGATGTGCAAACACATATTGATCAGGCCCGGGACAGGGGTTATCATGCCGATCAGGTTCTCTTTGAGCATGGGCCGCATTGTGGTTTGATAATGGAAGATTCTACGCGGTACTGGTTGGCTGTGCAGCGGTTTTGGGATGGATATGACGTTGCAGACCCTGGTGTATCTCACCCAGAGCAGATTGTTCGCAGCCGCTTGTGAGCTCTTGGTATGTGCTCTACTGCATTGGTTTCCCGATGGAGTTAAGATGATCGCTCCGATTGTGATACTCCTTGTCTCCATGAGATCATTTCTTAGCCGGCACTACCTGACGAGCGGGTTGCTGCCTATAATATACCAGACAAGATGACAAGCAAACTCTTTCCTAGGCATTATCATAGAAGACAATACCCCCGAAAAAGCACCCAGAAAAGCCCCTGAAAGGTCACCTCACCACGCCGTTTGTTCGGCACTATGTCTGCTATCCCATAGATGTGGTGATATACGTCGTGGTACATAGTCAATATTTGAAGATATGTGGCAATTGGCTATGATAGGTGTATGATGCTCAGATTCTCCGGCAGGTTCAAATAAGGAAACTGCTTGCGTACTTAATCTTTACTGGAACAACCATATGCTGGTATTTCCTCCTGCAGAAGTTGAAACGCATGACATGAAGCTACGGTTTATTGTCATCGTATTCGCTGCTATCGACGGGGAACACCCTGCTTGACACATCGGATAGCTGAGATACGACGACGTAAGCAGCTTTGGCTAAGACATCCAGCATATCAGAGTAGCTAGTTCACGCACCTGTCATACCGCACTTACTTACCTAGGGAGGTAGTAAACGTGAAAGTCACTAGAGTCCTGTGTGGCAAGATACTAGTCATTTACGCAGATATGGACCCCGATTTGGATTGGACTGATCATAAGAGACAGGCAACTGACAAACAAATGTCTGTATCGAGTCTGTGGCGTCGTCAGCCTCTAAGTGGCTTTTTGATGGGATGTGGTAGGGTGATACAACCTTGTCGATCTTGCGCATAGCTCCCCTTCGCGTAATTTTTGAACGACACGTTAGACATGGTTGGGTAAAATGTGTCCTTATGATGCAGATAGACAGGTTAATACAAGGATGAGATTGGCTACGAGGCGAAAAGAATATATCCACCACAACGGTGCAATAAGAATCGAAGTGACAAAATGTGGGTGATGAGATTAATATAAAAACCCGGGTAGGATTGCCAAAGACGAAGAATTACGAAGAGCCTTAACATTGGAATGCACTTATATTTATCGCACCTTCAAAGATTATTTGTCTCTTAACGACCTTTGACCGGATTCACCATGCATCTTGCTGAGGTATACATCTGTTAAACCTTATTTACTACTGCCTCTCACTAACAAGGATGTTCTCAATATCTAGTATCTCTTTCGTCGTATTCACCAACTCGGTATTGAGTCGGTCTTCGGTGTCCCCGGTGATTTCAATTTGACATGCCTCGACTACGTTGATACATGTGGGCTAAGCTGGGTTGGGAACGCCAATGAACTCAATGCTGGTAAGTAAATTGATGCCATTCAATTTAGTTAGGTTCCAAGCTCACAAATATATTACAATAGGATATGCAGCCGATGGATACGCGCGCATAAGAGGAATATCGGCGATCGCAACTACCCTAGGTGTAGGGGAGCTCTCCGCCATCAATGCTATAGCAGGCTCAAGCGCTGAGCTTGTACCTGTGATCCACATCGTTGGATACCCGTCGACAACAGCCATGGATAAGGGAGACTTACTGCATCATACACTGGCAGATGGAGATTTTGGGCGATTCGCCAAAATGAGCGAAAAGATCTCAAGCGCCGTGGTGATCCTGAAAGACAAGTCAACTGCGTCGAAATGCATCGACGAGACTATCACCGAGTGCTACCGCTCCAGCAAGCCTGTCTATATTGGATTCCCCATGGATCTCGTTCAGGCGGAAGTAGACCCATCTCCGCTTGAGCGTCCACTGGGCCTCGAAGAACCCGCATCCAATCCCATGGCAGTGGAAGAGAATGTCGTGAATATGGCTCTCGATCAGATCTTGGGAGCCCAGAACCCGATTATCATTGTTGATGGTTTGGGCGGCAAACCACAAGTCCTGAAGTCGACCAGATCATTGGTTGAGAAGTCGGGTCTGCCTTGCTTTATTATGCCGATGGCCAAGGGCATCGTGGATGAAAGCCTAATCAACTACCGCGGTGTATACGCAGAGAGGATCTCGGAACCTGGTGTGTTCGAGCAAGTCCAGCTCAGTGATCTGATCTTAGTGATTGGACCACGTCCGACAGATCTCAATACAGCGGGCTTTATGACAGACATGCCTCATATTGAGACCATCAAATTCGGACGTGATACAGTGCAGATGCGAGGTCAAGAGTTTACTAGTCTCAAAATGAGTGGCGTTCTCACCAAGCTCAGTGAGGCCTTTGATGGTCGCATGTCACCGTCCAACTCCTCGGCATCTACGCCAGCACGCGAAGTCAGCGTCACTTCTGAGAGAGATAATTCAGTCTCGTCCGCTTCCACGCTGTCCAAGGGAAGCATTTATTGGGATCATGCACTTGACTTCCAGGGCGGTATTCTCGACAAGTCATCTCCCCTAACACAAGAATGGGTCTGGCAACGGATCAGCACCTGGCTAGAGGAAGACGATATTATAGCCGCGGACGTTGGTACTTCGCTCTTCGGCACCACATGGACCCGATACCCACGAGGAGTAGTCTTGCTATCGCAATACCTTTGGTGCTCAATTGGATACGCAGTCGGCGCAGCCGTAGGAGCTGCTATAGCCGCACGCGAAGATGAGGAAAAGTCCAACGCCCTTCGCCGACGCACTATTCTTCTCACGGGAGATGGTAGCCTCCAGATGACTGCACAAGAGGTCAGCACTATGGTCCGCCGGAAGCTCCCGATTATCCTGTTTGTCGTCAATAATGAAGGCTACACAGTTGAACGTATAGTCCACGGCGAAGATCAGGAGTATAACGATATCCAACCCTGGGACTACAAGCTACTCCCTACTGTCTTCCAAGCCGCACCTGATACCGTACGTACCTATGATGTTCGGACCAGGGCCGAGTTGGATATGCTTCTTGCCGATCCTCAGTTTGGACCTGCTGAGAACTTTGATAAGAAGAATCCGGCCCCATTGCGACTTGTGGAGTTGCATATGCCGAAGGATGATGCACCGGTGTCTCTGCGTGGCATGATTGATGCAGTCACAAGACGGAAGTGACATGACACGTTTACTTATAACTATTGATTGTATGTAATGACTGTTTGCCTTTTTGTACGTGGGTTTCGGGTATTAGACAGGTTAGAGAAAAATCACTACTAGTATTCCATATGAAGGTCTTCTTTGTACCCACGGTAGTAACAACAGGGCTCATAATTGTGTATACAGTGCCACTAGTGAAGTACAAGCCAATACACTCAATCCTCGAAGCGAATAACCGTTTTACGCATTGTTTTCGTCCTGCTTTGGCCTCTCTTCTTCACCTCTTTTTTGTCTATTTTCGAGTGCCTCAGGTTTATCATGTAGACTCTATAAGGTGGGGTTGTGGAAGGACGTATAGCCTATAGCTGTATATAAAGACAATGACGTCGAAAGCAATAGGGCTTAGAGGAAACGACGTGCTAATTTTGTTTAACGCTGGGATATCAAGTTGGACTTGCAATCTGCAACATGATTCCCAAAGTCTGTGTCCTATGATCATTGGTTTCCAGGTCAAGGATTTATTGGAACAACTGATGTTATATACATGGGCCAACTGTGCCGGTTGTTCCACTAGGTGAGTAGAGGATCCGCCAGATGCCTGCAGTAAGTAGGTGGGTTCCAACCTTCTAACGTATAGTGAAATTGCCGGGGCGCTGCTTGGCTTTGGTGACTACGTGACTCTTTTCGTGGGATGACAAAGTCGACTACTCTAATGGTTTGGCTGCAACTGCCTTGGAGCCGGCCGGGAGAGCAAAGACCTTCCCTGGATTCAAAATCCATCTATGAGAAGTCAGTCTGTGCTCCTGTTAAAGAAAAAGAACTGAGGCTTACTTTGGATCCAAAGCCTGTTTCAGCCGCTTCATTACCTCGATCGTGTCGCCTCCCAACTCATCAACGAGGGAATTCTGAATGCGTTAGTCTCCGTCTCGGTACAAGAAGAGGGTGAGCTCACCATTTTCCCCATCCCAATGGCATGCTCGCCGGAAACCGTGCCGTCCATCTCCAGAGCTCGTCCTACCATCTTGTACGCCGCATCCTGCACTGCAGCCTTCTGGGCTGTATTCTTGGGATCGTACATCATCGCCTCGTGGAAGTTTCCGTCTCCAACATGCCCGACAATACTGGCAAAGACACCCAAGCTCTCTGCGTCTTTTTTAGATAGCTCGATAATCTCTGCTAGGCGAGAAATGGGAACAGCTACATCGGTTGACCAAAGCGCATGCCCTTCTGGCTTGATAGACGTCATTGTCCAAAGGGCTTCCTTCCTTGCTGCCCAGAGATCTGTCTCTTCCTGTTTACTTCTCGCGAAGTAGGACCTTCCCGGGTTGCAAGACTTGATTAGGTTCTGGAGCTGAGATATATCTGCTTGGACACCCTCCTGTGTAGGGCCCGAGAACTTAAGGAAGAGTGTCGGAGACTCATCCAGATTCTTCATCCGTACTGACTCGCTCCCATGCCGGTTGACAACCTGCATTTGAACATCATCCATAAGCTCCAATGCGGCCAATTGCAGACCGGAGCGGATGACCTTGGTCGCAGCAGACGCTGCGTCCTTAACAGTAGGGAAAGAGATGACGGCGACACTAGTCTCTTTTGGCACCACGGCCAACTTCAGTGTAATTTCAGTGATGATACCCAGTGTGCCCTCTGCTCCGACAAAAAGTGAGGTCAAATTGTACCCGGCGGACGTCTTACGAGGCCGTCGCCTTGTCTTGATGACTTGGCCGTCAGCAAGGACGACAGTCACGTTAAGAACCCAATCTTTCATAGTACCATAGCGGAAGGCATTTGTACCACTGCAGTTAGTTGAAACCATGCCGCCAATGGTTGCAGTCGGGGAGGGATCTAGCGGGAGAAACAAGCCCTCGGCTTCTAGGCTTTTGTTCAAGTCAACCCAGTTGACTCCAGGCTGCACGACCACGTCCATGTCATCGGGATGGGTGGCAACGACCTTGTCCATGTACGTGAAGTCTATGACTATGCCACTGTGCGGTGATGAGAAGCTGCCCTCGATGGACGATCCAGCTCCAAATGCCACTTCAATCAGTCAGACTATGTCCTCGCCAACGCACGCCTCATTGGAATACTTACCTATTGGGACACCGTGCTTGCTACAGATAGTTGCAATCTTGGACACATCTTCAGTAGACCTAGGATAGACGATGGCCACCGCGCGTCCCGTCGAGTTTGTGGAAGCCCAGTCTGAAAAGCCGTGTGTCTCAATATCGTCGTTGTCGTAGCTTACTGAATCCTCTCCTAGAATGCTTGAGATCTCATGCGCTGCCTGATGTAATCCATCCACAGTCAGCAAATGCTATAAGATGACATTCGATTGTATGGTAGACTTGCTGATATCATGGTCGCCTTCCGGGGATACTGAACCGACGTTAAACTACCCGACAGAGGCGACGGAGAGAACTGTGTCGCAAAGCCATATCCAGCTGCCATCGAAAGAACAGCTGTGAGCCCCAGGAGGGAGATAACTGAGCCTGCTGGCTTGGCTGAATTGCTCGAGTAGGGTCTTGATAGCACTCTAAGCTGCTTCTGTTTCGGCGCGTGTCGACTCAGGCTCTGTCGCCATAGACCCTGGATGCGTACAGTCTTGAGCATTGTGCTAAACATCGGAGTCTTTGACACAATTGCGTCCAGACTTAATTACAGAACTAAGATATTGGCCCGGGGTAGAAAGCTGTAAAATTGCCACCACTAATCAGGGAGCGTTCAAAGCGAACCAAAGCTTTGTCCTTGATATGGCGATCTGAGCGAGGACAGCAGCACCGCGCAACTCAGAGATATGTCAATTTGCATCCGCCTGCCGCGCCCCTGTGACGAGGAGATAGGACTGCTTATCGACGGGCAATAATAAGGTGGGTTCGTCCTTCCGCAGATCCGTTTCCGTGCCGACGAGATTTGTGGATTGGGCGGCCCGCTTTCCGAACTTCTGACCAATCAGGGGGATCCGCCTCATAGGTCCAAGGTCCATTGGCCATGGCTCTTGGTGTCTGCGACACAAAGTGAAGCTCGAACTTGGATCGAATCTCAGCTCGTTTAGATAGGGGAGTTTCCCAGGCTTGGTGCATAAAGGTCTCTCCAGGAACCTTCTTCCACGCCAAATACACTGGGCACCCTTTAAGGACGTTCGCCAACATGCTCTGTTTGGCAAGCTGATAGCCCAGTGACTCGGGAACAACAGGGCAATCTCGTTGCTGTAAGGCCTCTAAAATGATCAACTCTTGCGATCCATATGGTTCAACAGCTTGTGGTTTCGATCTTCGGGATCGTCACGATCAGATCCAGCGAAAGAAACCTGCTTGTGAATTCTCAGAACGGCGAGCTTTTTTTCGTTATTGGAGGAGCGACAGCGAAACTCCCCACGTGCGTATGATATGGTCATACCGTTGACCGTTTCGAATTCGTTCGTCACCTTGACAGCCTCTTCAATCTTCTCGGTAATTTCCCAAGCCTTGGAAACAGGGCCAGTAGGTGGTGGCAGCCACAGGTCGACGGTGACCTTGGTGCAGAGAAGCTGGAGGAGATACACTGGGGTACTCATTGTGGTCAAGGATAAGTAAAAAAAGAAGGCAAGGACTGCGAATGATGTGAAATGTGGGGTATTAGATGTAGATGATGGAGAAGGCTTAAGTAGTGCAGTGAAAGAACAAGTCCACTCAAGATCAAGTTGTTGGTCAAAGTCTAAACTAGAGATCCGAGCTCTGCACAACGCGAGTCACTCCCAAGGGCCACAACCCGGCAGGCAATTCGTGGGGAGCCTCTGTATGAAATGGTTTATATACGCAAGAATTAGAAGTTCGTTTCATTATGAGTATTGGTTGTAGTGACGTTTTGTCTTTTTGCGTCTCGCAGGTTTCGGGTATTAGACTGGTTAGAGAATAATTTGCCTTGGTATTCGACACAACAGGCAGGGGTCATAGCCATGTATGCAGTGTCATGAAGTATTGGGCAGTCTCTAAACGAAGCCTCCAATCGAGTACACTGTTTTATTTATTGTTTTTGCCCTACTTTGGCCTCTCTTTTTTTCACCTCTTTCTTGGACCATTTTCGAGTGCCTCGGGTCCATCAACTAGATTGTATAAAGGTAGAGGGTGTGAAAGGAATTATGGCCTATGATTGTATGAAGGACTTCCAAGTACCCACGGTAATTCTCAATAATAGCATATAAAAACACAATGACGTCGAAAAGCAGTAGGGCTGAGAGGGAAACGATGTGCCAAGTTTGTTCAAAGCTTGGTCAAAGCTTGGCGGTCCACTTCCTAATACTTCCGATGTGGAACTGCAGATATTACCCCTAACAGTCGGCATCTGAACACCTGAGAGTAATCTACCTGAGCCACCGATGTCATGTTTCGTGGCGGAAACTCTCTAGGTCCCTAATCCCAGAGTATTGAACCGTATCAAGAAGAGCTGAAGCCACAGGAGCGAGGTTTGCCTCACTTTCGTGCCGCCCCACCACAGAACACGGCTGCCTGTGGTAATTCCAGTGGCCTATCAGTTTCTGAGACACGTCCGGTGTCCCCGATTAGAGTGTACGACTGGCAGGGGCTTTTAGATTAGAAAACGAGAAGGAAATTAGCTGAGGCTGATCCGTTTTGCTGACCTTTATCTGTGCCGTCCCCCTCTTTCTAAACTCTACTGTTTTCTACAACTCTCAACTTCCCCTAATTTTCTAAACATCTTTCCAATATTTCTTCACAATGTTCGGTTGGTTCAAGTCTTCGAACGAGTCTAAGCCCACCCAGGAGGGTACCTGGGACGCGGCCACCATGACCATGCGCCAGCCCTCCAACACCGAGGAGATGACTGCCAACCAGGTCATCTCTCAGCAGCCGGTAAGGCCTCACTCTGCATCAAAAGCATGAACTAATCAGACAATCTTGTTCTAGAACCCCGAGTCCATGAAGATGGAACTGCGCGGCGGAGGTGAGGGTGGTGATATTTGCTGTGGAATGTAAGTATCACACCTTGGCCTGGTGCACAAACCTAGGTGCTAATTATGATATTATAGCTGCGCTGGTCTCGCCTGCATCGAATGCTGCGAGTGCTGCTGCTAAGCGCATCACTGTACGACGAACCACACACCTTGATTGAATGATTGAGCGGCGTTGGAATGGATCGGGAAACCTGTGAATACGCGAGCCATATTGGATACCAAATTATTCAAAGACTTTGAACTTGATTGCGGTTTTTATAACTCCTTGTCGCGTGTGCTTAGTTAGTACTTGATCTAGCGATCCAGCGATAGAGCGGATAATATTCACAAACCATTATAACCTTGATGGCTGTTGGTATTTGCTTCTTCTTGCTCCATCATTCTGGCATTCAATGGAATATTCAGAAAAATTTGACCAGGAATTAATTTGTAAAAGATGACACCCCCTGTACACAATTCTTGTATACATTTTAGATCCGGATCTATTTACTGTGCAACTTGCCGCTTGCTCCAGTATCATTCTAGAACAAGGATTAAAAACGACGATGAAGAGCTTTTCATTAATATACCCAGTATTATCATATATCTAGGAAAATAAACTCCAAAGTTGGAGTAGGGTATGGCCATCGCCAATGTCGGTATAGATCCAGAGTTTAGCCTTGTTCTCTAAACTTGCACTCTCCAGCCTAGTCAAGCTGTTATTTGACCAAGAAGCCAAGTGCTAGATTATATACTAGCATAGCACAAAGGACAATTCTAGATTTATCCAATTCAAAGAAGAGAAACAACTCAACATGCCATCCATATAGCTAAGACGCTAACCGCAACAGGAAATGCAGCTTCTGCGCGTAAACATCAAACTCCCCGAACAACCACAACAATGCCTCATCTGCGTCGACAACCCAACCCGCGCGATCTCCCCAACCAGGATCCAGCACAGGGGAATCTCCGCGCCCAATTCCACACCCCGCCAGCGCGACACACACCCTCAAACCCAACCCACCGACTCCCACCATCAACAGGTCCAAATGTGATCACACCCGACGCACTCGCCCAGGCGGGACACCCCGTCCAAATAAACCCCTTTACAATCTTCGGCCGACCAGGAGTGGCACAACCTCCACCAGAGACAATGGATGACGACGAATTCGACGAGGACTACGACCCGCGGGGGATGGCGCAGATAGGCGACGACGAACCACTCGACCACGACGATTCCTTCGAGGTCGAAGACGGCACTGAAGGGCAATACGATGACTCCGACATTGACGGCGAGGAACTGGAAGAGGAGGAGGTTGTCCAGGATCACTTCGACGAGGAAGAAGACCCCGACGAGGAGATGCACGATCGAGGTACGACTACCCTCCTTATCCTACAGCTGGCGACTGGTCCCACGCTTCCCCGGTTCTAACCCGCCTCTCTACAGAAAAGTCCCCTTCCCCTTTACCGCCGAACCTGCGTGAGATCTCATCTCTAGCTTCCTGGACAGTGTCGACCTCCAAACCGGGCTGCGGCGTTGCAGCCCTCCGCAACGCCTCCCCATCCCAATATTGGCAATCCGACGGCCCGCAGCCACATACTTTAACGCTACATTTCTTCAAATTAGTCGCTGTTGTCCGGATCCGAGTATACCTCGACTTTGAACTAGACGAAAGCTACACACCTACGAAAATGATCTTCGCCGCCGGGATGGGTGGCAACGATCTAGTCGAGTTCGCAACATGGGAAGGCGATGGCCCATGCGGGTGGGTAGATGTACCATTAGAAGGGGTTGGCGGACGAAACGGCGGCTGGGTACAGAATGACGCGGGAAGAAGGAAACGTCGGTCGACGAGTTTGCGGCGACGGCGCCGAACTACGTACCGGAACTGTGACAATACAGACCCTGACCACGAACATAATGAAGACTGTGATCCATTTTACGAAGATGAAGACGAGGAGGGGGATAGCCAGGACGACCAGGATGATCCTTATTCGGGGAATGTGCTTAAGGCTATGGTCATCCAGATGCGGATTATGGAGAATCATCAGAACGGGAAGGATACGCATGTTCGGGGCTTCCAGGTTTTTGCGGCTGATGATAGTCGACGTCGGGTCCTTGCAGCGCCTTCTGCTTCTGCTGATGTGAGGCTGAGGCGGCCTTCGCTTCGTGCTTCTCATGATCTGCGTGGGCGGGTGAGCGATGGTGTTGATACGGAGAGGTTGACTGCGCCTTCTGGTCTTGATGAGCCGGATTGGATGGGTGAGCCGGTGATACGATGAATGCATTATGAGATGAAACTCGAAAACGGGGTTCATATTGGAGTTTATTCGTGTCTTTCAGGTTCAAGATACCCAGTGGCAAGTGGTCATATCGTTAGGCAAGTCCAGGCGAATCAACAGGTTGCATCTTAAACGGGTATTCAATTTTTGGCCTTTTTTATGCTAGTCATATCTCATATAGAAACATTGGAGCCGCTGCTCCATATTTACTTGAGCAGCTTCTCCAGCTCAGCGGCGACGGCGTCACCAACCTCGGCGGTCTTGGCCTTGCCGCCGATGTCGCCAGTGCGAACACCAGCCTCGATAACGTTGCTGACGGCCTTTTCGATGATGCGAGCCTCGTCGAACATGTTGAAGGAGTACTGCATCATCATAGCGACGGAGAGGATAGCAGCAACGGGGTTTACAATACCCTTGCCAGCGATATCAGGGGCAGAACCTGCATATTCATTTAGCAAATCGCAACAAACCAAAAAGAAGAAAGACAAAAACATACCGTGAATAGGCTCGTAGATACCGTTAACACGAGCCTTGCCATCAGGAACACCACTCAAACTAGCACTAGGCAGCAAACCCAACGAACCAGGAATAACACTAGCCTCATCGCTAATGATATCACCGAAGAGGTTACTAGTAACAACAATACCGTTCAGCTTCCTCGGATCCTTAACCATAAGCATAGCAGCGGAGTCAATGAGATGGTGACCGATAGAGACTTGAGGGAACTCCTTAGCCATAACCTCAGTAACGACCTTGCGCCACAGACGTGAAGTAGCTAGGACGTTAGCCTTGTCCAGGGACCAGACGGGCAGAGGGGGTTGTGCTGCAGAGCCAGGTTGGCGGCGAGACGGGTGATGCGCTCGATCTCGTGGCGGCTGTAGGGCTCTGTGTCCATTGCGAAGCCGCTGCCATCATCTTCCTTGCGCTCGCCGAAGTAGATGCCGCCGGTCAGCTCGCGGATGATGTTGAAGTCTACGCCCCGGCATACTTCTGCCTTGAGGGGGAGCTATCTACTAGAGATGGGGCGGCGAAATTGCAGGGACGCAGGTTGCCGAATGTACCCATTTCTTTGCGGAGCTTGAGGATTCCTTGCTCCGGGCGGACGGCGCCAGTTCCCCATTTCTTTGTGTGTGTGTTAGTGGTTGCTCTTGCTTTCCATTGGGTTTGTGAGTTGACGTACAGGTCCGCCGATGGCACCAAGGAGAACGGCGTCGGCATTCTTAGCAGCGGTGAGGGCCTCGTCGGTCAGGGGGAGCCGGTGGCATCAATTGAGGCCTGCAATTGTTAGATGTTGAGCTTTGGACCGTGGTATATGTATACTTACACCGCCGAGGAGGTGGTCCTGCAGGTTGAAGGTGACATCACGGTTTTTTTCAATGACACGAAGAATCTACGCCAATGCAATTAGTATCTGCATCTGCGTTCTGTGTGCTCCTGCATATCGCAATTGTCAAATTTACCTTGATAGCTTCGGCAGTAACCTATACTGAATGTCAGTAGATACACGTATGGTGGGGTTCTCAACCACGTACCTCAGGACCGCAGTGGTCACCACCAAAGACAACGACGTTGAAGGCAGACATATTGAAGCAGAGGATACAAATGAAAGTGACTCAATTGGTGTTCAGGGGAGCTGCAGTTATAAAAACGGCGGGCGGGTGAATTCGACCCCGCCATCTCCGAAATCGGCGGCCGATGACATAAACGCGGCGTCGCTTATTCCCGGTCTATAGCTTCATCTATGTCTTCAATGCATAGCTTCTGCTAGCTCCATAGAACTCTCTGACTCATTATATTTGAAACCCTGGTCTTGGTTTGATTGCCATTCCAGTGAACGTGTTCGATGCACGTATAACAGCTAGTCAGATTATATCTCAAACAGGAGGCAATTGAATCAACAAGTCAGATAGTCCACGGATCAAGGAAGATTAAGCTTGAAGGGTATTTAATACGCAATGGCTGTCGTCAGATCCCTCGTCCCAAAAATGAAACTCAGTCCACGGTGACTAGCGTCTTTTGGCGCAGGTAAAAGCATTAAATGAGTTGTAATGGCATTAAGAATGACTAAAAGAAACAAGATTGAAAAACACAAGCCAGGCAAAGAGCTCGAGCCGAGAAAAGGGGTAAACGTGAAGAGTGAAAAGAGGGGAAACAGAAGAAACAGAAGAAGAAGAAAAGTGAAAGGGTAGTAAAAACACAACCCGCGTGTGTACTGTACAAAGTTCCAGAAAGCGGAGTATGTCTGGGCCACCAAAACGAGCAGTAGTCAAAACAACTCATGAATAGGATCCAGCTACCAGACCAACCATTGCCCTAGGGAGTAAGGGACAGCTCCAACTGCTGTCCGCTTGATCATCCCTGAAAACACAGACCGTAGCTCCAAGACATGCATGACAAGAAGGAAGGAGAAGGGGGTGAATAAGGTGTGAGATATGAGACATCTGCTAGATGCTACAATCAGCGGACTAGCTAGCCACCGTGTTGGTAGCATTCATGTCTCAAACTTGTGGCCTTCATTTCTTGCGGTTGGCCCGGCGGGCCTGGAGGTCACCCTCAGCCATCCAGCGGGCGGCATTGACCATCTGCACCACATTGACGAACTGCTTAAAGGCCATGACAGGGAGCGAGATGCCGGTGATGATCCAGGGCCAGGTGCTCTCCAGCTTGTTGGCACGGGCCATCTCGAGGGCACCGGCGCTCCATGGGCTGGCGAAGAGACTGGCGGGCTCGGGGTGGGCGGGGTTTCCAGGCTGAGCGGAGGAGGCCTGGGCTTCAGGGACGGGCTGCAGGAGCGAGGGAGACAGAATGGGCGAGGAGAAGGAGAGAAGGTAGAGGCCGATGAAGAAAGCCTCGTTGAGAGCGCAGCAGATGAACAGGACGGTCTAAGTGAGGGAGCGGATTAGCTTGGCTGGTAAGTACAGCTTATCGTTGTGGCTTACCTTGCTGTGGTAGTATTGGTAGAGAATCCAGCTGCGGCTGGAATCGACCTTCTTGTGGCTCTGGTCGGATCCGCCCATGCTGAGAGTCGCGTACATGTGCATGTAGTGACTGGCCATGTCGAGGCAGATCAAACCCTGGAAGACGATTGCCCAACGTGGCCAGGCGGAGCTCAGGAAGACCAGCAGACAAGCGGTTGTGCAGCGGTCAGTCACCATGTCCAAGACTGCACCGAAGGTGGTGGACTGGTTGAAGTAACGCGCCGCGTAGCCATCCAGCGCGTCTAGCAGACATGACACGGTGTAGAGGAAGGAGCATGTCCGGGGGTGGAGGGGCATGTAGTATAGGGAGGCGAAGGTCAGGACGACTCGGGAGTATCCTAGGAGCTAGTCAGACGCTAGAACTGATAACGGTCCGGAAAGGCATCCTACCGATGATGTTAGGGGCAAAGAGGAAGATGTTCTCCTTGGGCTCCTCCCGCGCGGCAGACTTAGATCTCTTCTTAGAAGGTGTGCGCTTAGATGGTGTTGACACAGAGCCATTTCCGCTAGGTGAGTCTTCGCTCTCCTCTGCGGCGAGAGCGGCCTTTTGTCGTCGTGTTCGTGCGCTCATTGTGTATGTGTGTGGCGGGACTTTGGGAGCTGAAATGGGTTCAGAGTCGACTCGAAACGGGCCGAACGCGATTCTTTATAGCTGGATATCACGGCTGTCAGCTTGATGCAGCCAAGGCTAGGCAACATAACGGAATTCGGAAATAGGCATACCGTGAAGGCTGTCCAAAACAGATAATGATATGGAGTTCCCAGGTGGGATAAGGATAGGAGGTAGAGGTGAAAGGAGGGTCAAAGATCTGAAGATCGCGAGTTGCCAGGCAATCAAAGAGAAGATGAAAAAAAAAAAAAAAAGACAAGGGATGGAAGATTGAAGATCAGGAGAGTGGAATGTCCACAGTCCCTGACGGATTACTCGGATCCTTGGAAGCTTCCCGGGAACCCACTGTAGGATCTTCACTTAACTGAAACAGCGAATATTTTGTGCGTACAGTGTAGATGCGTTGTCTACTCGTCCTTATGCTAATATCTTTCTTATCTCTAACTTTAACTTCCAGGGTTGTTTACGCCTTCTTAGTCAGACAAAATATCTGTCCGAATAGAACGCCCGGGCAGCTATGTCATAGCTAGTGTCCCTATTATACAGAACATATAAGAACTCTCAAATACACGCGTATCTTTCAAATAGCAAAGGACCACAGCCTCAGGCCGCAACATCTTATATTCACAACCATTTGATGCAAAATACTCTCAACCTATTGACACCACCAATTATATGCGACAGCCAACAGGCCAAATAACAAAAGTATATACAGAAAAAAGCTCAAAAGAAGAGCCATCACGTCCGTGACCTGCGCGGATCAGTAGCATCTTGACGACGCCACTCACGAGACTCCTTAGTCCCCAAACTCCCAACACCACCCTCAAGCCTTCGCTCCCAACCGCCAAGACGAATAACAAGACAAGTAGCGTTGTCACCCTCCTTAGTAACCTCAGTGGAGAAGTTGACCACGTCGCGCGCGCCCTGCTCAGGCGTCCTGGATTCCTTAACGATATCCACAATCTCCTGGTCAAGAAGGGTACCACTGATACCATCGGAGACCATAACCAAGAACGAGAACTCTGCGGGTCCCATTTCAATGCGTTTGAGTTCTGGCTCGGCGGAGACGCCGATGCGCTTGGATTGCATGTCGCCGAAGGCGCGCGTGTTGGCTAGCCCGCTCATGCGCTCTTCGCCGAAGGAGTCTGTTACGAAGGTTGCTGCATAGCGGCGGAGTCGGCTTGCTTCAATTGGTGAGGAGGGGTGGTGGTTTGATGTTACTGGGATTGCTTCGCCTGTTGTTGTTGAGCAGAGGAGCATACGGGTGTCGCCGACGTGGGCTACTAGGAGACTTGAGGGTCCGACGGGGTGCCAGAATGGGGTAGGGGTGGGTGTTGAGATCATGGCGATGCTCCCTGTGCTGCCGCCCTTGAATCGGTTGGGTCCGCCGATTTTGGGGGAACGGGTCATGCTGGGTCGGTGGAAGATTTCATCGTCGTTTAGAGGTCTCTCGGCTTGGACAAGGTCATCGGCTCGTTTGGAGGCTTGCGCTTTGATGAAGTCGAGGTCTGCGCGGAGGAAGGCGTATTCCATGACTTCTTCGATAGAAACGTGGTTTGAGATGCTGGGGTCATCAGATTCGAGGCCATGATAGGAGAAATGAGGCGGCTTGAATCGCTTGAAGTAACCACCCACTATACGTCTCCAATTTTGTACGAGGCTCTTCTCCAGATCTCCGAGTTTGTTCCGGTTGCCTTCTTGCATGACAGGTAGCTCGCTGTTGGAAGGTGGCATTTCCGCGCCGAGCTGGAGGCTGGACTTGAGATCGATATCTACCGCCGCTTCCTGGATATACTCGTGCAAGTAGTCCCTCAAGAACGCACTGCAATCAACTCCGCCATGGCCGTCAAAGACACCGAAATAGAAGACTTGCGGATCACCGCTAGCTGTCTCCGCAGCCCGCGACTCGCGCGGCTTGGGCAAAGGATCTCCGTTATTCTGCCGTCTGATAGTCAGCGACGTTGGAGGCCGCTTGGCAAAGGCCGGAATATCAATGACACCAGCTTGGTATGTGTCTTCATTGGCAGGGCGGGTGCCACGGGCGGTAACGGCGCCGAAATGGTGCTTCGCGCTGCGAAGTGGAATACGGACAACGGTTGTCTCGCGATCTATTAATGCTTGGTATGAAGCCGAGGCAGAAGCTGGCGACTGCGGCGTATCTCCGGTATGCGGTACGGAGGCGGAGCGAGGTAGCTTATGGAACGGAGAGGATGGACCACGGGGATCTGGGTGGAGGGAGGACGAGGGCAGATGTGTCACGAAGTAATCGTGGAACTGTGGCTGCTTCTTCGCCGTCGACTGGCCATTGGGTAACGCAGGGTCGGAACTGTAGTATCGCGCTCGAAGAAGGGCGGAGCCTGTTGCGATTAGCTATATGTTAGAGGAATATGGCGTCCGCACATACTGTAACGGTCGGCCGAGGTCCAGACTCGGCCTGTTACTCGACTCGCTGCAAGGAGAGTCATTGGCCCATTGAGGAGAGTGAAGTTGAAGGTCAAAGGAGAGATGAAGAACCGGGCGTGGGGGAGCCGTGGCCCCGGCTTCGGCAGATAAGAAGAGTTGGGTCGGCACATCCCTTCCGCTATAGAACTGTCTATACTACATTCTATACTACATTTTATACTTCGAGGCATACTGCACAAATACTAGACGATAACATATATAAGGGACAAATCCGTAATCGTATCAGCAGAGACAATGATATAGCCATGCAGGTCACAGACCCAACTCATGGGCTCCAATTTGCAATGTTACATCACTACGACAAATGGAAGATGTTTCGATAATTTGATTTTGGTAATGTAGAGCATTCGATATGTAGGCCATGCTACTTAAAACAATCATATCGAAGAAAAAAAAAAGGCTCAGGCTCATGAAGTGGCCAGAAAAATATCACGCTAAGAAAATCGGCACCTACCAGGAGCAGAATCATCCAGAGAGGCCCAGGCAAGAAGTCAAGGAATCTGCTTTCAGAAAATGTGCCAGGTTAGAGATC